AAAATTTAAAATTTAATAAAAATATTAATTAAAATATATTAAAATAATTTATAATTAATTAATATTAATAATTATAATTATTTTAAAATATATTATATTTTATATATTAATAATATATTTATTTTAATTATTTATTAAATAAAATTTTATAATTAATTTTAAAATAAATTAATAAATTTATAATTTATTAAATATAATTTATTTTAAAATTTTAAAATAAAAATTAATATTAAAATAATTAATATTAAATAAATAAAAAATTTAATATAAAAATTCTTTTATTTATTAATTATTATTTATAAAATAATAATTAATTTAAATATAATAAAATATTAAAAATATATTAAAATTTATTAAAAATATATTAAAAGTTTATATTTTAAATATTAAAAATTTAATATATTTTAATTAAATATATAATTTTATATAAACTTTTATATAAAATAAATATTAAATATATAAAAAATTAAATATATAAATTAATTTATTAAATATATAAATATTAATTCAATTTAAGTTTTATTTATTTTAATTATAAATATAATTATATTATATTTTATATTTTAAAATATAAAATATATATATAAAAACCTTTTAAATTAATAATAATAATTTTAAATTTAATTATAAATTTTATTATTATTAAATAAAAATTTAATTAATAATTAATATAAATTAAAAGATTTTTATATATATAAAACTTTTAAAATATTAAAATATTTTATAAAAATATTATTTTTAAATTTTATTAATTTTATTATAAAAATATATAATTAAATAAAAAAATTTATTATTTAATAAAAGTTTTAATTATATTAAAAAAGTTTATATTTTATATTTTATATATTTTATATTTTATATTTTATATTTTATATTTTATATTTTATATTTTATATTTTATATTTTATATTTTATATTTTATATTTTATATTTTATATTTTATATTTTATATTTATATTTTATATTTTATATTTATATTTTATATTTTATATTTTATATTTTATATTTTATATTTTATATTTTATATTTTATATTTTATATTTTATATTTTATATTTTATATTTAATATTTTATATTTTATATTTTATATTTTATATTTAATATTTTATATTTTATATTTTATATTTTATAATTTTAATTTTATTATATTATTTTATAATAATATTAATTATAAATAAAATAATTTATAATTAATTAATATTAATAATTAATATTAATAATTAATATTAATATTTTTAATATATTTTATAAATTTAATATATAAATAAAAATTAATTTTAATATTATTATTAAAATTTTATATATAAATTTAATATTTAAAATATATATAATATTTTATATAATAATATATATATAAATTTAATATTTAAAAATATAATATTAATAATATTAATTATAATTATAATATAATAAATATTATAATTTTAATTTTAATAAATTTATTTAAAATTAATAATTATATAAATTAATATTTATATATATAATATTTTATTATTATATATAAAATTTATATAAAAATAAAATTTAAAATTTAATATTTAAAAATATAATATTAATAATATTAATTATAATTATAATATATTAAATATTTATAATTTTAATTTTATAATAAATAAAAAATTAAAATATATTATTTTAATATTAATATTAATTTAAATATTATAAAAAATTATATAATAAAATTAAATATAAAAATAATTTTTATATAAAATAAATTATATTAAAATAATTAATTAAAAATTATTTTTAAATATATATATATATATAATAATAAAATTTTATTAAATAAATTTATAAAATTTAATATTATAATTTTTATTTAAATATATAATTATTAAATTTAAAAATTTTAAAATAAAAATTAATTTTAATATATTATTATTAAAATTTTTATAATAAAATATTAAAATTTATAAAATAATTTTAAAATAATTTATTAAAAATTTAAAAATATAATAAATTTATTTAAAATTTATATTTTATAATTAATAATTATTATATTTTAATAATATAAAATATAATAAATATAAAAATAATTAAATTTATTTTATAATAAAATTATAAAAATATATATAAAATTATTAAAAATTTTATATATAAATTTTAAATTATTAAAAATATTAAATAATTATATAATATAAAAAAATATAATATAAATAAAATTAAAATTATTTATATTATAAAGTTTTATTTTTAAATTTATTTAATATTAATTTTATAAATAAAAACTTTTAATATAAATAATAATTATAATATAATTTATTATTTATTATTAAAATTAATTTTAAATTAATTTATAATTTTTATTATTTTATTTTAATAATTAATTATAATTTATTTATTATATTTATAAAATTTTTATTATAATAATAAATTTAAATTTATAATTTTTATTAATATATTTTTATTTTTTATTTTAAATATTTATATTATAAATTAATTATATAAATATAATTAAATTTTTAAAAATTAAATATTATTATTTAATTAATATAATTATATTTTTAATTTTTATATTAATTTATTTTATTTTAATTATTTATATTTATTTATTTTTATTTAAATATTATAATTATTAATTTATTTAATTTATATATAAAAACTAATTAAATAAAATAATATATATTAATAATAATTAAAAATTTATTTAATAAATAATAAAATATTTAATTAAATTAATTTAATTTATTAATTAAATATAATAATTTTATATATATATATAAATTTATTAATTTTATAATAATTAATTTATTATAATTTATTAATTTTATTATAATATTTTTATAATATATTAAAATAATATTTAAATTAAAATTTTTAATAAAATAATTTTAATTTTTATTTATAATTTAATTATTTATTTTTATTAAAAAAATAAATTAATTTTATAATATTATTATTTTAAATTAATATTAATATTTTTAATATAAATATATTATTAATATAATTATATTATATTTAAATTATATAATATTTTAATTTTAATATAATATAATTTATTAATATATTTTTAATATATTTTATAAATTTAATATATAAATAAAAAAATTAATTTTTATTTAAATTATTTTTAAATTTTTATTTATTTTAATTATTTATTAATTATTTTTAATTTAATTATTATTATATATTAAATTTATAAATTTATTAAATAAAATTATAAAAATTTATTATTTAATAATTTATAAAATTTAATATTAATAAATTTAAAATTTTTAATATATATTAATATAATATTAAAATTTAATATATAATTAATAAATAATTTTATAATTTATAATAAAAAATTTAAATTATTTATAAAAATTATTAATTTAAAATTAAAATTATTAAAAATAATATAAAAAATAATAAAATTAAAAATTTATATTATAAAAATATAAAAATTATTTAAATTAATAAAATAAATAAAATAAATAAATTTATTAATTAATTTTATTAATAATTAATTTATAATTTTAATAATTAACTTTTTTATAAATTTTATTTATAATAATATTTTATTATTTTATTATCAATATTTTATTATAATATTTTAATTTTAATTAAATATTATTTTTAATATATTATATATTATATTAAAACTTTTTTAATAAATTTATTTTAAAAATAAAAATAAAGTAGAATAATTATTTAACTTTTTATTATAATTTATATAAAATAAATTAAGAAATTTATTTATAAGTATATTTTATTTATAATATAAAGTTATTAATTTTTTATTAATAAAAATTTAATTAATATTATTATTAAATAATAAATAAAAAAGTAGATTAAGTTAATAGATAGCTATATTAACTTTTAATAATTTATTTTTTATTAATACTTATAAGTACTTAAGTAACTAATTTACTGATTTATAGTAGATTAATCCTTCTCTTTTAACTCTTAATTTCCACTACATTTCCACAATCTCTCCCAAGGTCACCAATACTCTTTATTTATACAACTTAGTTTTAGGGCTATATCATCTCCCTTATTCAATTAAGAATGTCATCAGCCATCAATATATCCTTGATGGCAATCCTTATTCTTCTCTTCAGAGGGCTATTAGCAACGTGGTCGACACCGATCTGGCTGTCGCTACCTATACACAGATCATTGACGGACTTCCAACCGAAGATGTGGCTTGGGACCGCAGTCGACATAAGCTCCGAGCTTCACACCCCCTCTCCGACCACGTAACACTCTGTCCCGGTATTAAAGATAGACTGGACGCCATCAAAGCTGACTTCCAGATCGACAGCCTAGATTTGAGTTCCAGTGTGAGTAATTAGCCCTCAATCTTTCGAATGATCCGGATGATTAATCTTTTAAACAATAGTTGCTTGAAGCATTCCAGTCGGCCAAAGAGGCATCCCAAACCTTCAGGTTGAGACTCTTGGAACTCGCAGCAGTAGCTATCCATCAAATAGCTGTCCATCTGTTTCAACTCAAGGCCAACCTTCACGACCGAACAACAACCCAAGGGTTTGATGTCGATGGTGTGGTTACATGGAAGCCCGAGCCACATGCATTCTTTGTGAATGTGGAGCCGTGGCCGACACTCTTTGCCCATCGTTACTTCACAGCACACGAGCAATATCCAAACGGCGTTGCAGACATGGTGGGGTACTAGGCAGAGGATCGAATCCTCGGCGGAGTTGCCATCTTCGATCGGTCCAAGGCATGGGACGGAGATGATGAACCCAACGCTTACTTCCAATCTTGCCGTAAATGGTCCACTTGGCGCGTATGGCAGTTGCTGCCCGAACAGCAGGACGATCTTGTGAAGTTCCTTCTCCGAGATCCGGGGTCTTGCACTGATTTAACGGGCTCTTCCGATGGCCCTCTGCCTCTCATGTCATCCCGTGCAAACACAGTCAGAATAGACCCTGTTGATACGATTCCGGTTCGCAAGGTCTACCGAGATATATGGGAGAGGAGACCGCCGCCAAAACGCCTTCGAATGCAGGAATTAATGTTCCCATGTGTTATTGACACAGATGACTACCCTGAGATGGAAAGCAGCGAGGATCAATTGAAGCGGTTGAACGAATTGTGGCACCGCAACCACCGGCGATAAGTCTCTATACTTAAAAGGCCACCCATTCTGAGACCCGAGGACATATGGGTCGCCACATCGAACACAACACGCTAATACATTGGCCTTGGCCTTGACCTCCTGAAGTCGACTATGCCCGTGATGGCTGAATCGTTGCAAGTGTCAGGTCATTCGGCTCCTAGGTATCACCGGTTTCTGCTGATGCCAACACAATAGTGGTTTCATTCTACCCGGGCTACTTACATAACGACATTGAGCGCATAGCATAGCATAATCGACTTGGTCAATTAATAAGGATGTCCTCTTACGCGGTCTAGTCTAGTTAGCCCAGGCTTGGGAGTGAGCAATGATGGTAGCCTTTAGGGCTTTTCAAATATCGTAGATGTTGCTGTCACTGTGACTGGTTAGCATGTGCATATTCAGCCCATCGGTGCGTGAGCTGCGAGAGCAACGCAACAGAGGAACAAAATAACGGGGCAGAGGGTGTGGTACGGATTCGAAAACACCACTTACAACTCCTGACCAAATTTCTCCCGCCCATCAGCGTCCTTGTTCACAAACACACTCACGCTGCACTGCCCACATACGAACTCGCCAAACCCATCTTGCCCAATCTCAACCTCCGCGTCGCTCCAGTCAAGCACGTCCGTCCATTTCTCGCCGGCGTGCATCTCGCCGACATGCATCCTCTTGGACCCGGCACCGGCGTTCGATAGCACGACAGCACACCCGAAGCGGCGGTCCCACGTGCCATAGCGGACGAAGCCCAGGCACGTCGCGTAGTCGAAGTACTCGGCCTGCCGGCCGTAGGCGTAGAGCTTGCGGGCGAGGGTGAGCTTTGGCAGCGCGCCGCCGCACGAGGGCGGGAAGGACTGCTTCTCGCCCTTGGGGTCGACGCCGTACAGGTCGCCGTACCAGACGCAGGGGTACCCCGTGTCGCGGAGGAGGATGAGCGAGTAGGCCAGGGGCTTGAACCAGTCTGCGATTGGGGCCTCGAGGGCTTGGTATGGCTGGGTGTCGTGGTTCATCACGAGGGTCTGTGGGAGACTGCGTGTGAGCACGGTGTAAAGGTAGATCAGGAGGAATATGAAGAGATCTTACCACCGCACAAATCGGCGCAGCTTGCACAAGGGTGTCGTCGAAGACCTTGCGCATGTCTGCGCCGTTGCCCTGGCTGATCTCGCTGAAGTTGTAAACTAGCGGAGCGTCGAAGAGGGCAAACTTCCTGCCCATGCGGTCGAGGTAGCCCTCCATGTCTTGGAGGCTGTCCTTCCAAAACTCGCCCACGACGAACCAGCCTGAGCCATATGTGTCATCCATGTTGGTGATGAATTTCCGCAGGAAGTCTTCGCTGTAGTGCTTGATGGCGTCGAAGCGGAATCCCTTGAGAGGGATCTGAGAGGCCAGCCACTTCCCCCAGTTGAGAACATCTTCTTGGACCTCTGGGTGATCGTAGTCAAGATCTGAGCCCATGAGAAAATCGCTGTTGGAGATTTAGACCGAAACAATTCGATAGCCTGAGTGGACAGTCTTTACTCACTAGTTTCCCTTCTCGCCATCGACGTCTCCATCGTCTGCCCAGCCCTTGACCTTGTCGCCCATGATCTTGTAGATGGCATTCTTTTCATTCTTGGCGTTGAAGTCGACACCGCTGAAATGATACCAGTGGTACTTCATTTTGCTATACTTGCCACGTCTCCCAGGAAACGTGTAGCCGACCCAAGCCTCGATTTGATAGGTATCGCTGATGTCTTTGTTGCGATCCTCCTGGTCAACCTCCTTTGCATCGCACTTCTCTTTGCGATCAGCAGCAAACTTGTGATTCAGGACTGCATCCCAATAGATACCGACGCCGTTGTCCTTGGCTGTGTTTGCCATCCTGACCAGCTCCTCCTTGGAGCCCCATTTGGTGGGGACGGTCCCTTTCTGGTCGAACTCGCCCAGGTCGTAAAGGTCATAGATGTCATACCCATTTCCGTCTTTGCACGAGCCCTTGCACCCTGGTGGGACCCAGATGTTGTCGATGCCCCATTGCTTGAGCTGAGGTATGTGTTTCTCGAGGCGAACCCAGTGCTTCTGGTCAGCGGGGACATACCATTCAAAGCCCTGCATCATGGTCATATTCTCCGGGGTTGGATCCTGTTCGCCTCCCATCTTGGTGTTTTGCAGCGATGCCTTGAGCTGTACTTGGTGTGCAGTGGTAATGGAATAAAAATCACGAGCATGTAAGCGAAATCAATGACTGATCTATGAAGTTGAGAATCAGCAGCTGCTTATGAAAACAGGCTCACCGCCATCGATACTTGTACCAAAATGTCTCCCCCCTCCAAAAGCAATCCCGCCCGCTAGGACCGCGCTTATCGTTGGATATGTGACATCCGGCCCTGATGGTGCCCTCCACGGCCTTGGAATTAATCTAGAACAGGCTTACCCGGACAAGGTTCCTGGCGCTACGGGCAGCCAGCCAGCCCAGCCCGGGCAGAGCTTCCAGGTTTGCCAACAGGTACATCCCGGTAAACCGGATATCAAGTCGCGCAAACAAAGGAGCCGGATGCCAGCGTGCCGACGTGACTGGCCCAGAAAGGACTGTTGGTCAAACGGTAGTGCTGGTTCCCGTCAGCGGAAGCTTGGAAAATGCTGGAATGGGACGATGTACTGCATGAGGTGACGTCGGGTGGCTTTGATAAGATGGCTTGGGAAGTGTCAGCAGTTTGACAGGTTTGGGCGTTCGATGCAGTGTGGACGCGATTGAATGTTGTGAGACGTCTCGACACAACTACCTAGGCCCCCAAGTAGTTGGGTGCCTTTTAATTTGGGATCCCGCTGCCGAAGCCTTTCTACACCATAGTAAGTTCCTCAAGCCTGTGCACCTGGAAGTGTGGAAAGTTTTCCCTCTTCTTCGTCCAGCCATGATGGCACATAGATTGAGAAGTCGACACCAGTGACGTCATGGCTGAACGGCCGACAATAATTCCTAATGAAGAGAGATTTATCGAGACAACCTGAATGAGAGACCACCCGAGTCTATACAGCATCTCAGTCGTCAATGGTCTATTTCTGTAGTGATACCTTACAATCATGTTAGTGTCAGGCAACTTCAGCAGAACAGTCAGTCAGTACAAGGCGAATCCAGTGGGTCCAGTGGAGCCACGAGCATTAAAGCACGAATTTGGAGTACAGTACACAGGTACTGGCAGTTCGGAACGACTCGGCAGGGTCAGGAGGAAAAACCTCCTGGAATTGAGAGGTTTAAAACCGTCCATGAATAACAAATTAATGCCTCTATTGGGTTATCAAACTAGGGAACATTTTGTGGACAGTATTTAATGTCATAGCTATGGCGGGGATTTGCTGCAAATACCTGGGGGTAGGGTTAGGGTTCATAATTCACCGTGAAGAAAATCTTCTACCAAATTAGCACAGGAGAAGGGTCGACGTGCGGGCAACACCCGAGTCACCTGGGCATTCAAGAACGTGCCAAAGATGGTCGATTTCCTTATTCCCTCTGCCAGTCTCACTCGCGCCAAGTCTTCGGCACGTGGCTGAAGATGCAAGCACGCGCCCTGCCCCAGTCTGCGGACAGCCTCGAGCAGTTGACCGATGACCTGATAGATTTCAGTCAAACTTCACTGGTGCACCAGATCACAGGTGGCGTCCACGTCAATGATGCCTTTATTCAAGATGCCTGGGGCAAGCTTCCAGCAGAATGGACCAATCACTGGGACTCACTCCCAGACTCTCGAATCGCACAGCGAGACATGATCGACAGCATCGATGAAGGAGAACACACATGCCAGTCTCCCAGGGCTGACAGTCACGAGAGCGCTCTGAGCCGCCCAGAGTCCCTTGTATCGTGGCTAGCAAAGCTCAAGTCGGTCTCTTTGCCTCGGATCCAGCGCAATGGACCCGTTCTGGTCCTTCCTAAAGTTCTCGCCGACCGCATGGAGACAAAGAAGCTCAACGAGGTGTCCGTTGCGGCGCCTTATATCCATTCCATCTGTCAAGCGAGTGGCGTCACTCACATTATCGATATGGGCTCTGGCCAAGGCTATCTTTCAAACACACTTGCCTACCTCTTCCCGTCCCTTCGTATCCTGGCCATCGATGGGAGTGAGTCTCAGATCGCTGGGTCCAAGGCCTTTGCCACGTTTCTTGGCATCACAGAAGATAGGATTCAACACCTTGTTCGATACATTGATGGGTCGATGAAATTGGCCTCGGAGATAGACGCTTGGGCTGGCGGCCAGAAATGCCTGCTCGTGGGCCTTCACGCCTGCGGCAATCTGTCCGAGCACATGATTAAGTACTTCGCCGCATGCTCCTCCATCACTCACCTGGCGGCCGTTGGATGCTGCTATAACCACATCGTAATCCGCTCAGAGACCTGCCCGGATGGCTTTCCTATAAGTGAGCGGCTACGGGAGCGGAACGTGACACTGACGCCGACAGCACTGATGGCGGGCTGCCAGGCCCCCAACAACTGGGCGAGGACAGACTTGACGAAGCCCAAGTCGATTTATTCCAGGAAGCAATTTTACCGATCTTTGTTGGAGAAGATGTTTCATGACAAGGGTGTTCAAATTCACGACAAGCCGAACTGGGGCATCCGTAAGGGCGACCTAGCCAACTTTGAGAGCTTCACAAGACGTGTGGTGGAATACCTAGGTGTCGAACAACATAGGATATCGAAGCTGGACATCACCAAGTATGAAAATCAGTATGCGAGCCAGGAGGGCAGGATCTCCATTCTGTGGACGCTGAGTGTGCTGTGCTGCAAAGCTATCGAGAGCATCATTGCTCTTGATCGTTACTGGTTCCTCGTCGAGAACGGAGGGCACAATGTGGAAATTGTCCCCATATTTGATTACAAGATATCCCCGAGGAATCTGATGATAGTCGCCGAAAAGCACCACAAACACTAAAGTATCGTCGGCAAGAAATGATACCATCCTACTTAGAAGCGGACGTTGGGGTCGCAACTGCAAACTGCATATGTGCACATGAGCGCATGGAGCTTGATGGCTCCCGCCACGAGTGGTTGGACAAGACATCTGGGTCACCTACCTAGGTAGGTATATGTATCTTCCCGGTTATTACACGAGCGACCATCAGTATCAAATTTACAGATCGAGGGCCGATATTTTATGTATTTGTATTTTGTGATCATTGTTTGAAGGCGCCACATACGTCTCATATGCATAGGGATTAGAAACGAAACCACCGTGTATTCTGAGACAGGATCATAGTGTGTGTCACTGAGTATGGTGCCGTCTTTCATGCGTGTTCGGCCACTACCCACACCCAGAAATCATCTCCTGAGGTCCTTGCCCGCTTTGTCCTCAACCTTGGCGACAACAAACAGCTACTTCAAAATGGTGAAATCGCAAAATCCTAGCTCAGTGCAGGTCGAAGTCTAAGGTGCTTCACTCTAGGACCGTTTGAGGCTGATATTCCGCATCTAATGTCTGCCAGCACTATCGCATGCGCTCCAGGGCTAATATTTTACGGCCCCAGTCGGTGACTCGTCAACTTCAGAGCTACTCCTGCTGTTTAATTCTTATCCTGTTGGCCTCATCCTCGTTTCATGTTGCCTTCAGTATGTTTTGTTGGTTGATTATCTACCCTCACTTAGGACTATCAGAACTACCTACCTAGGTAGTTAGGTCTTCAGAGCTGTGGTGAGTCAAGACTCATTAGGCTAGGAGATGGGCCGCTCAAATCCGTGCGCGCAGCTTGCGTACCACGACAGTCCTCGGGACAGTTACAGGATTTGAGATTGTCCAGCGTTCTTTGAAGTGCTTCCAATCTTTCTAGTTGAGCTCGTAGGCTTCTGTCAGGAGGAGGATTAGGGCTGGTCACGTTGATATCGAGATCCATGAAGTCAGCCATCTTGAAGTAAATTAGCCTTAATTTCTTGCCGTGTTGTCAATTGTATAAGTGATGAGGGTCGTCTAATTCGAAAGTAAGAGGTAAGAAGAAGACTTTCAAAAGCAGGATGTGCACGCCGAAATATTAACATCTCGCCCGGGCGGCTTTATGCCAGGCCACACAAGAGTGGTTTACAAAGGAGGTCTATGGATCCTGCCGATAGCGGTGACCTTTGCCACACTAACCTGAAATATGCCGGATCCAGACAAAGGAGCAAAGGTCAGGGACGTGTGCCCCAAACTGTGGGCGGTGATTGCCGGGGGTAGGGTACCTACATTTCGCGTGCGGGACGGGCGGCAGATGCGAGTTCCAACACACAGAAGGGGCTTCCCTACATGGGCTGCAAAAATCTCGGACAATGTTTTTTGAGAACCATTAGCATCAGTGAATGAGCCCATGCTATTCATTTGATTCGCAACTGCTGATTCTGACCCAGTCGGCAGCGTCTTGTCTGCGTTGGAGTGGTCGCTCACCACTGCAGGCCCATCGTTGTTAGAAGGACGCTTTGCATGTACCTGGGCGACAGTTCAAACAAATCAATTGACGACCTTCACAAATGTAGAGTTTTTTTGGCAGTACTTAAGTATTGCAAGACGGCATATAGGGTGTGAACTCTCGTTGGAGATGGGTAAGTGGTGGGCTGGCAGTGGTGCGGATACTACGAGATAGATGCCCAGGTGGTGGCGATCAAGCCGTTGAGGCTCAACACACTGAAATGAAACTCACCCAATGTTACTGGAAAATACAAAAGCAGTGCGCAACTCTATTCTCCGACAACCCTACTTAGGTACCTAGGTATGAAGACTCCTGAAATCTCTCCTGTCCACCTTTTCTGCTCACAATATGCTGTCTTGGGCTACCTGTGATCCTCGCAGCACCATTTTTAGTAGAACACTAAGCCTGGCTACCAGAACAATCAGGCTTGTGGTTTTTCCAATCCTTTTTCTGACACTCAACAGAGCAATACGTAACCAGCAGGCACCTCGCACACCTCATCAGCTTCTTTCCATCCTTCTTCCGCTCCGCTCCGCAGGCATTGCAACCACCGCTGGTTTTCGGGATCTCCAAATTGTCCATCGGGGGCATATACACCTGGTCCGCAAACGGGGCCCAAAACACAGGCGATATGGCCGCGCGCGTGCAGTACTTCCTGGCCACCGACAGCCACTCCGGAACGCTGTCCAGGGTGAAGTCGCTGGGGAACACGCCCTGGCCGCAGGAGCACAGGAACTGCGCGTCGTCCTGCTGGTCGGTCAGGGGGATCTTGCCGGTGGCGCGGTACTCGCACTCATCACTGTGGCTCCAGTCGGTCCGGCACCGCTCGACCCATGCCGGCAGCACTTGTTTCCACATTCTCATCTCTGCCTTGTCGACGATGACCTGGACCACCCCTCGCTGTGTGAGAGCGCCGAGGAACCTTGGGAGCTTGGGCATGATCTCTTCGTGGAGAGGCAGGATGGCTGAATCCATCACCACCGTACGCGTTGCCAAGTCGATCCGAAGCTTGTTGGGGAATACTAGGATGTTGATGCCACCGTCTTGAGGGATGCTGATACCGAAAGTGTTTGATCTGGTCCCTTGGAGCCCTGAGAACTGCACAAGGATTGAAAACAGGGACTCCTTGAAGTCCAACCGAGCCTTTTGGCCGGGCGAACGTGGGAGGCTCTCGTTCTCTCGCATGGCGCATTCGGAGCTTGACCACTGCATGGAGAAGTGATTGTTCAGCCAATGATGTTTATTGGCTTTGCTACCCTGGGGAAGACTCAGGACGGGTTGCTTCTCCAAATCCAAGTGCGACATTGTCCATGCCAGGGGAGCCTTCTGGCTTCCGACGAGGTACATGGGATAGGCGAATGAGGTGGGGAAGTCGGTGCTGCTCGAGACTGTTGCCACCCGAGAAATGACCTCGACATAGGAGGATTTGCGGGCGATTCGAACCTTTTGGTTGGTTGAAAGAACAGGGACCGGAAAGAACAGGTCCAGCGGCTCCTCCTGTCCCAAACACACGGTTGAGTGGCACGGCGCGGGATTGCCAATAACGACGGGAGCGCCGGCTTTCAAGATCGCCCGAAGCTTCTCTGACTTGATGTCGAGGCGGCCTACCATGTTTGCGAGGGATCCAGTCTTTGGGTCTCCGTTGGCTGTAACTGTCTGGATTTCTTTCCGTTCGGGGTCATCGGGAGTCATCAGTTGGTCCAAGGTGAAACCTTGCACAGTCGGAAAGGCTCGCTGATGTGGTGCGTGCTTCGTGATGAACACGTTCTCGATATTGTCGATTGCAGTCTCATAGATCTTCAGAAACGGTCCATAGTGCCTCATAAAGCGGCCCACCGTAAAAGGCGTTGAATGGAGCTCGAAAGACACGGTCGTCGAAGAGTAGTCCCGCAAAATGTCCCATGACGTGGTGTAGAACGTGACAATGAGCGCCGATTCGCCGTTCCATCCGGTCTTGTCTTCTGTAATGCAGACCTCATATCCATCACTGTGTCTTCTTCCCTTGGTTGAGACCTGCCCAAAGCTGAATTGACATGCAGGGAAAAGGTTCTCCCAACCAGAGCCACCAGCAACCTTGCAATGAACAGTTGGGGTGCCGAAGCTCAGTCGGTCTTCCTCGGTGAATACCTTGAGGTACTTTCGAGGCACTGTTAAAGTGACACAGACAACATGATCAATGCTCATCCATCCTCGCAAGTCACGCATTCCAGGGGCAGCAACATCTGCTCCAAACCGGGTGGGAAGAACAGAGCTCGGGTGCTTGAGCATGTCGACAGTATGGACGTCGAGGACATGAAGATAGGCGCACATCTCTTGAAAATAATGCATACCCATCGGAGCATTGGGCCGCTGCAGTACGAGGTCATGAAAAAGTCCCATTGTCTTGATCCAGTCGCAAGAGACACGGCGCTGGACCAGACGGAGAAAAGCTGCCAGACCAGCGCGATGGTATTGCGGCTGTGGATTGAGTTGGTCCGGCGTTGGTGGCAGACCCATAAGTAGGCCCGCGAGTTTCTTTTCCATGTTTTCACTTTCAAACATGCGCACATGAATCAGGTATAGAATATGTGCAAGGTCCTCCTCAGCAAATCGGATTGGGACCAGAGTCACATCATTGTCGCCGGAAGAAGCAATACAAGGGGGCCTCTTCCAAGCAACCCGTAGAAACATCTGTGTCTTTTGCGGCTGACCCGAATGCTGACTGGGTCTCTGAGTCCGTTCGAAGGTTTCAAGGAAGGTTTCATCTCCGTATGAGACACAAGAGGCATTCGTCCAGTACTCAGCAGGGACCAAACCCAGAAGTGTGGATACTGTGGGAGTATCACCGCAGAGCATCTTGTCCATGAGTTCTTTCCGACTATCTGCCGAGCTTGAGAGGACTTCCGTGTACATGGTGGACGCCAAATTGTTGTTCAGGAGTGGTGACACCGCTGTCAGCAGATTGAGTCCGCCAACATGGTCACACAAGTTTGACGTATCGACAATGTCAAATGAGAGGGGTGCGGATCCAATGTTACTGTAATCGCTCTCAATCAGTCTCAGGGGTTCAAACTGATATCTATCGCGGTAGAAACCAGCAGTTGCGCTGCCAGATGCACGAACGTGCTGCAGTGTGTAGGCAAAGGCGATCGCATCTCCGGCGAAGAATCGGAGGGTGATGGAGCCTAAATGTCTGCGAAATGAGGTTGCCCACTGCGTGAACTCCAGGCGAGCAGTATCAATTGCTTTCTGCAACTGGTCAGGCCGCTCCTGCAGACTGTACGATGGCGACTGCGCCTCGACAGGCGCATAGACTGTTGCGAGATGGAACCCCAACAGCGGGTCACATCCATAGTGAAGAGTGGAGGTTCCCTCATCCACCACAAACATTGGATTTGGGAGCAGCTTCTTTGTGTTTGCAGCGTGTGGGGAATCAAGTGTACCCTGAGTCCAGAAACGCTTGTGGAGTGTATTCATGTCGAGCATGGCCGCTGAGAGGTGAGCCGGGGCAGCTGCTCGAAAGCCGGTAAGGATGGTGCTGTCTCCCCGTTGTCGCTTCATCTCTTTGGCAGTATCAACTGCAACATCCAGACGCTTTCTGATGTCGGAAATCTCGGCCTTGGTTCTCCGGCTGTAGAACAGCCACATGGTCCTGACATCTGCCAGCGTAGCAGTGTCGCAAAACCTAAGCTGCGAGCCATATTTGCTTTGCCTCCAGGTGTCCCAAGTAGTCGCCAGTTCGGCCAGTTTGGATGACTGGGCTTTGAGAAGATCATCAGACTTCTTGTCGATGCGCATGTGATAGTAGATGTTCCAGATGGATGCATCATTCTTGGAATCGACGTCGTCGATGATCAAAGTCAACAGCAAGACGTTTCGTGCTGCAATGGCGGCCGATTAGCAACTTGTAAACTACAAGCAACAGGCTTGATGACTAAAAGAGGCTTTCATACCTATTATGGCTTTCTTGACATCGCAGCTTGTGATGTCGAGTGGGCGGTCTGGAATCTTGGTCAGCAACGGATGTAGCACCCAGTGCCACACTGGTTGGAACTCACCATCAAGATGAGCAGTGAACAAGACATTTCGTAAGTCCCCACATCCTAGAAGGAGAATCTTGGCAGGAGTCTTGAAGGGAAGGGACTGAGTCAGAGACACAGCTGGCGTGTTGCCGATGGGGTAGAAGAAGTCGACCACGTTGATGCACTCCGAGGTGAACATCTTGCTAGCGACAAAGTAGCAATGCTACTGTGGCGAGAAAGGCTCGACAGAACGCGAGAACAGTTTCTGATGGGAGATAAAATGAGGAGGTGATGCTAGTGATGATGCTGGGAAGAAAATTGGGCGAGTGTATGAAATGCAAACGGGGTAAGTCTGTTTGTTGCGCTCCAGATGTCCAGGCCATAGCACGTGCCACCTGCAGTGTCCCGCCAACTGATAGTGGAAGAGACTCTGAATGAAAAGCACGTCATAAAAGAGCTTCCGAAAACTCTGGTATGGCCGTTTGGCTTTTTGTGTGGCTGTGCTTGCTCGTGAGTGAGATGGATTGACGGAGACACAGGCAGCTCTCCATTTGCTGCCTGGACAGTTGCTCTCTTCTCCGTCTTATTCTGCAGAGGCTCTACATAACTATGTACTGATCTTGGCCACTGAATGTTTTGACAGGTACATCAATCCCTTTGGACCCTTCCGTGACTATTGTCTTTTTTTTTTTTTGCTTTCTGAAAGCACAACAGTAATTAACTTAGAAGTCCTGGACAAGTTCTCTAGTTGGGGGGGGGGGTTGTTTCTAGGAACTGCTTTACATCCTTTGTATGATTCTGCACAGAGCTGCCTAGTACCTTGTTACGAACTAAGACTTTAATATATATTATGTGTAGGTGTTCAGGAAGGGAGAATCCTCCCTACAATTACCAGTGGGTAAGGAATTGAAGGAGGGATCTGTGCTGACAGCAGACTCATGGCCTGTAATTGCATATACTTTGCATCGCTGCTTGACATAGGTGCTCATCAAGGCTTCCACGCTTAAGGCGAGAGAAATCACCGAGCCGATTCATCGAGCTCCAGGGCTGGCAACATTGAAACCATGCGGTACCTAGGTAATACCAAATGAGAATGTGTCTATCTCTCTTGATGGCCAGGTGTCCGCTACTTGGGCACTTAAGATATTGATTGATATACAATGGCCACCAGCTAGAGTTACGGATCCTAGAAACGAAGAGATGACTTTTATTCCTTTTCTTTCTGTTCAAATCTCCATTTGTTACCGACAGGATGAAGCGCCTCTGTCAATGAGGGCGAACATCAAAGTAATCCCTCAACCATAGACGCTAACGAGGCTCTACCTATCTGCGCATAATCCTACAAGTATTTTATCAAATGCCTCCTTCTTGAGTTGTAGCCAATCCGTCAATGGCAAGTTGTCTTTGATTTCGTTTGTTGTTTTTTGGGCCTGAAAATCAACGGGTGGTCTGGCAGCAAAAGGCCGTGCATATGACGTTGCAGTGTGGACCCTCCAATTGGACGGAGCCAGGGTGGTCCCCGCGGGCCCGCCCGCGTCGGTGGGGAGCTAACCCATGTCTGCTTCCAAAACAGGCAATCCCCAGCCACCCGCCCAGGCGGTCTCCAGGCAACGCAGGGCCGCCACGGCCCATGTCAACACGAGGAGACGCGGTTGCCCAACGGTGACAGCCACCGGGCCACTGATAGCTGTCCACGCATGCAGCAACGGCCCTGGCTCTTTGGGGGAGAGACCAGCCTTCCCTTGCCGGCCTGATTCGCTTAGATGCTGTGCAAAAGTCTCGTCTCCATGCTCCAGCCGCTGCATTTCAAGTCGTGCGTATTTACTTATTTTGATGCTTCGTTATTAGGCTGAGACCTTCTTCTCCTTTTCCCACCCAACCTATCGACCCTCTCGACCTTGACTTCAACACTCACGTCGATCAAGACTGTCCGAGTCCCAACATGGAAGAAGAGAACCACGCCAGCCCACCCGCCGACTCGGTGGAGAAGCCGGCCGATCAACCCGAGACCCAAAACATTCCAGTCGAGGAGGATGCACATGCCTCAGCCGCACCCGACGCTGTGGGAGCCCCAACAGCCCCAGCCAGCGGCACAGCTGAATCAGATCATACCAAGGACGAGGCACTCGACCAAGACGAGCCGCAGCCAAGTGCTGAGGACCCACACGACGAGGACTCCCACATAAGCCTCAGTGGAGAGCCCGAGTTCGACTCACATCAAGAGCCGTCGATCCAAGACGAACCCACACAAGAACACCACTCGGAAGCAGAGCACACAGAGGAAGAGAAGGATGAGCCCTCATTACCTACAGGAGACTCTGTTCTCGAGTCCGAGTCAGATCAAAGCCATGCAGCTTCGACACTCCAAGACCCGAGCGAAGCCACCGAGAATCAAGATGGGACAGAACTCTCTTCAAGGAGGGGGTCCAACTCCTGTGACTTGGACAGGCGCCACTCCGTGAGGACAGAGGCATTGATCCAAGCTGCTGCACGAGCCGTCGTCTCGATGAGGGAACAGAATGGGGAAGAGTCTGCACATGAAGATCCAGACAGTGCCGACGAGTCCGCCATGAGCTCCACAAATGACACCGAAGATCAGGACGATACCATTCACCCTGATTTCGACCAGGACGCTCCGAGCAGACCCCAGTCATCCGCCTCGCGGTCCATTCACTCCTCGGAGGGCGATTGCGCCGAGAACAGCTCGCGCAACAGCACAGAGGACGACGTGTTTAGTGACCGCAGCCCTCGCACCTCCATCCACTCGTCAGATGAGCACTACGACAACGATTCCGTCGAGGCCATGACTGAGAAGGGCGACCAGTCCCCGTATGTGCGATCTCGTGTGGCTTCTGGAGTGTCCACTTCCGATGCTTCGGTCATGTCTGAGCAGTCTCGGCTATCACGATACGACAAGGAAGATTTTGTTCCTACCTCACGCACCAACAGACCTGCATTCCGAAGCCCATCCTCCGTCCGCGCTATGCAGATGTCATCCCCTACTCCATCAGCCTACTCGTCGCCTGCCCGCGCCAAGAAGCAATATGGCCTGCCCACAATCTCGAGGCTCGGGAGCCCAACAGTGTCGGGTCAATTTCCGCCTAAGGGGCGGTCAACGCCCACGCGCTTCAAACGCCCTGAGCCAGCCCCGCTGGTTCTGCTGCATGTCACACTGCTCCCTCTCCGCTGGGCATATGGCGAGGTGGTGAACTATTTTGAGGGCAAGAAAATCCCCCCAGCCCTGTTCTCCAGCGAAGGAATTAAGAACCTCCGCGTGGCCTGGCGTCAGCTGCAGGACCGCCTTGGAGACACCGAGATGGAACGAGGAATCCTCCTTCCCCACCCTCAAAATGACTACGAGATTCTCGAGGAGCGTCTCTTGGAGGCCCTCGAGCTTCCTTTGCGACGCCGGGCCCGTATCCTGGAGTGCGGACACTACCTGGGACCTTCGAACGAGATGACCCCTAGTTCCGACATCGAGGACGACTCAGAGGATACTAGCGATGCCGAAGACTCTGAGGCCAGCAGCAGAAAGGAGAAGAGACACTGGTGCAAGACCTGCAAAGGAGACATCAAGTACGAAGAGCTCGGGTCAGAGAGGGTGTTTCGCATCAAGGTCTACGCTAGCAACGGGCTTATGAGTCCCGGGGCCTGGGAGGCCTGCTGGAAAGAGATGGAGCGCGTGGACATTGAAGTGGAGCCCATCACTGGTTCCCAAATCCAAGGTGAGCTGGCCAAGCTTGGCGCTACTTTCGACCAGGAGCACCAGCAACGCCTGGACCAGCAGGCCGAAGAACAAGAGCGGTTGCATCTTGAGGAAGAAGAGCGTCTGCGGATGGAGGTTGAGAGCCGTCAACAACTCGAGGAGGAGCGTGCACAGCTCGAAGCTCAGCGCCAGCAATTTGAAGAGGAGCGACGCCGGTCTCTAGAGGAATCACAGAGGAAGCTCGAAGAAGAACGTCGACAGGCCGAGAAAGAGCAGCGTGAACGCCTTGAGGAAGAGCGCCGCCAACAGTTTGAGGAGGAGCGTCAGCTTTTGGATGCTCAACGACGGGAATTCGAGCTCCAACGCCAAGAACTTGACGAGCAGAGGAAGATGATCGAGCAAGAACAGCGGCAGCATCTCGAGGAGGCTCGTCGCCAGGAGCTCGAAGAGGAGCATCGCCTGCTTGATGAGCAGCGCCAGCAGCTGGAAGAAGCACGTCAACAGTTCGAAACAGAACGACGCCAGCGCCTGGAAGAAGAAGAGCTTCGGCGGCAGAGGGAGGAAGAGGAGCAGAAGCAGCTCTCGTCAGCACGCTCTATTTCTCGAACCTCATTTGTGGAGGACGACCTCGCCTCACCAACTCTCGACACCGCCAGCTCCACTGATGTCGACGGTCGTCGGCGTGATTCTGACCGACTCCGTGAGATCTATGGCAGCCACGGTCGCTCTTCGTCCGAGATCACGGCCACCAACTCCTCACCGGCGATCCACATCCACGTAGGCTCGGGCCGACAACAAGAAGAGGAGCAGAACTCGCGGCAGCTGGCAACCATTCCCGCCCCACGCGAGCCTGATATGCCGCCAGCTCAAGCACACGCTGATGCCCGGCAGCCGAATGCTTATGTTGCCCCACAAACACCAGCATCGCCGTCTGAGCAGGCTTACCAGAGGCGGGAGGATCGCCGTCGGTCGCTGGACTCTGCCTCGCTGGCCGAGCTGGTCGGCGAGTCGATCAGGATTCTCCTGCAAGACCCCAAGAACGTCGCAATCGCTGTCCTGGTGGTCCTGATTGCCATGCTCGCCGGGCAGTATGCGAAGCGTGACGAGCACGGTGTCGAGCTCTACAAACCCCAGCAGCACCACTCCTACCAGCACCATCAGCTCGACGCCCGGGAGCCCGTGGGCCAGGTCATCATGAACACACCTGTCGTGCAGCGTGTCGAGACCATGGCGCCGCCGCCCCCTGTCGCGGAGACGGTCTACAGGACTGTCACAGAATCCCCATCATCCTCACCGACACCGCTGGTCGAGACTGTCTACAAGACCATCGTCGAGTCCTCCCAGGCGCCCCCACCATCCCAGCGCACAGAGACCGTCTACCACACGGTGGTCCAGCCTCCTGTCCAGGAGAAGCCGACGCCTGTTGTGGAGACTGTCTACACCACGGTGACGGAATCCCTGGCCCAGCCCCACCACCAAACAATCGTAGCGCACGAGCACGCCCGTGAGTCCACACCCAGCAGCGCCGACCCCAGTACTGTTTTGAACCCCCTGTCTTCCGCTACGGGCGACGGACCTGGCAATTCCGCCTCTTCGTCTCCCCCCGCGCCTGAAATTGAATTTGTTGCTGCTTCCCCTTCTCCGCCGACTGCCGAGCGCGACATCGAGCCGGGATCTCAATCTAACGAGGACATTCTCAAGGCCATCAACAGTGAGGAGGCTGAGATAGATACCGATGTCGATCATATCATCGCGACCGCGTTCAACCCCACTTGCGGTCTGGAGCAGGAGGCTCTTGTCCTGGAGCCAGACGTGATCTCCGCGGGGGAAAGCATCGAGAAGCATGAGGAGGAACAACAAGAAGACATGCCTGTCGATTCGTACAGCCCGGCGGAGGCAGTCTCGCCACAAGTCTCGTCTGTGGCGTCGCCTAGCACAGACGAAGCCACCATCAGCGTGACTACAACAGTCAGGATCGCGGAGACAATAACGGAGACCGTGGTCGTGACGACTACGAGGACAAGCTATCAGCCTGACCTCGGCGCCACCGGAGTCCCTGAGGTATCCGAGGTATCCGAGGTAGCGTAGGTGTACACCTTAGCATCAGATGTTGATACCTGGATGGGTCCAGAGAACATATGAACATGGATACCGGAATGGGCGGTCGATGAACGTCCTGCCACACAATAACATACGCACAAGGAGGAGCTGTTCCGAGGCTCGAAGGGTAGGCTTTGAAGGATGGGCAGATGGTGTTGGAAATGTTTTATTGCATGGCTGGGGCGCGGTTTCTTTTACGTTTTGAACTTATTCTCTGATTCTTGCTCGGGTTTGGGTTCTGATTCTGCGGGATTCAATAATGTAAATAGCATACAACAGACAGCGAGCGAGCGAGCGAGCGAGCACATGTGGACTTTGACTGAATGAAGCATTTGAATCCAGGGAAGGAGATTGACTGAAAGCGCTCGCATACACAATTTTTCATACCCCCTACAGTAGATAGATGAACATGGTTCCGTTTTGTAAACAACGATCTCGAACTGATCATTACCCAGGTAGAGAGTCTAGCCCATGTATCTCAACAATGCTGTAGAGGACCTTGGAAAATCAGTGGCACATGGAAGTCCTCCCGAAGACACTACGCATTTAGTGGTCAACCTTTCCCTTCATTATCTACCGTCAAATACTTACATCGTATAACATTGGAGCGTTCCTTATGGTGCCTAACTATTCAGATGACACGAGAATTGGGAGTATCTTGCCTATGGCTTGATGCTCTTTGAATTATTCACACTCATCATCTGGATATATTTCGACGATGGGAGCGCAAGGGTTCCACTTGCCGAAGGAATAGTCCCACACGTTTCAATAATTTAATTTCTAGTCTTCTTCTCTCCATCGTTCCCTTCTGCTGCCGTCACTTGCAATTCGCCCACAACTCTACAAAACTCCTTTTGCGGGATATTAATAAATGCACCGGATGATAATGTTGGCCTTCGGTGGACTTCAATGAGATAGAGAGGAATGTAACAAGAACTTGCAATGCATGCCCAGGTGGCAATAAACAACTGTTTTGCAGTCAAGGACTGTCATGTCTTGGATATCCCAGCATTGCTACTCTACTCCACCTGTTCGCCTGAGGACAGTCCGATCGGGACACCGACGGTCGGCAGCCCCTACTATGTAGTACAGCATTGATGGCCAGCCGGTAGGAACCAATTGGTACCTAGGTACCTACCTTGCTTGTCAGGCTTGTGCGCCCGTGTGTGCCGTCGCATGCGGGTTGTTGGCAGGAGAAGTGGGTATCGCTGACGTCGGAGGGATCAACACAAGCAGCCCGCACGGGCCAAGGCTTTCCGCATGCCACCAACGTCACCGTGAGCTCTTCGGACGCATCTCGCCATGGGGGCTGATGAAACTTGCAGAAGCCCATTATGATGCTCGTGGGATTCTGCTGGTGCCGTGCGGCCCGCCTATGACGCAGGCCAGGGCTGGCTGCAGCCTGCACTTCTTTCTTATAAGTCGCATTGTCAGGATTCAGGGACCACAATGGATTTCTCTGTTTGCCCTCTATACATTTGAAACGAATTCACATTTCCTGCCAGTCAAACTTCATCACCAAGATACACAAAAAATCGTACGGTCTCCTAAAAGATATCAAGGAACCCAACAATCAAGATGTCTCTTGGCGGCGACGACTTGCTGAAGACAGAGGAGCTTCCCGGCGCTTTCCCATCCGACGATGCCATCACCACCGAGACGGCGACGACCGGAACGCAACAAAACACAAAGCCATATCCCGAGCAGGAACTGGGCGCACACCAGAATGTCGCCCAGGTAGGCGGCGCAAACAACAGCGGCATTCCTTCTTCCCAGGGCCAGAACATCGCGCACGCAGGAGCAGAGGGCACACCAGCACCATCCAGAAGCACACAAGGCACGACACCATCAGCAGAAACCCGGGACGGCGCCGCACAGCCCGTCAGCACGCTGGCATCAGCAGCCAACCCCCTCAGCGGGCCCACGGCGGCCGCCGATGACAATAGCAGCCTGGGCCCGGACAACGCGCCCAACATCACCGAGGACCTCAAGGCCGTCGGCGCCGGGGCGGCCACCGCGGTCACGGCGGCGGCCACCGCCGCGCGGGACGCTGCCATCGCGGCCAAGGACGCCGCGGCGCCCGTGGTGAGCTCTGCTACCGAGCAGGCGATGCAGGCTGCTGGCTACGCGACGGAGAACGCCGGCCCGGCGGCCAGTGCTGCTTCTGAGCAGGTGAGTGTCGGCTTTTGCGAATCTGATTTTGCCACTGGCCTACCAGCAAGGACATATGACTGACTGACGTGGGAACTGTAGGCCAAGAACGCAGCCTTGTACGCCAGAGACTCGGCCGTGCCCGCCGCCAACGCTGCGGTGAATACTGTCCAAGCAAACGTAAGATCCAACCAGCTGTCATTGAACCAACCAGTTTAGCAAGTGATTCTAACCCCCTGAACAGGCCCCAGCCGCCCTAGGCGGAGGCCCAACGGCCAACACCGCCAGCCCGCGGGACGTCGCGCCCGAGGTGCCAGGCCAGGTCAAGAGCTCCCTCGTCGAGGCGGGCGAGTCCCCCGAGGCGGCGAGCAGCAGGCGCGCGGTGCACGACAAGGGGCAGGTCGAGGCCGAGCTCCTGGGGCACGCGAGGGGCCTGGGCGGGGAGGACGAGGCGGCGACGAGGCAGTTCAAGGACCAGCAGGCCCCCGTGGCCAAGGGCATCCCCAGGCCGCCCGCCCCGGGCACGCTGGCGAGGCTCGACTCGGAACCGCAGACGCCTAGCGTCGGCGCCGCTGTTGTCCTCGGCACGGAGACGGAGAGGTCGTTCCCGCTGGGCTCGCACCCTGTCCACCACGAGGGGGCCGGGACCGGGCCCGATGCTGCCGAGACGGGGCAGTTGGGTGGTGGTTCTGCCGCCGGTAGGCCCATGGCCACGGATGGTGCGCGGGCTGAATATGATGTCCCACAACAGACGGGTTCGGGAGACGGTCAGTCTGCTGCTGCGGCGCGGCGGCCACCGCCTGTCGAGGACAAGGTCCCCCGGAGAGCGACCGAGGAGGAGGCCGTTGGAACCGGGCCGGGTGCCTACCAGAGCCTGAGCTCGGGGACGCCCAGTGGTGTTGCGCAGTAAGGGCTGTGTGTCGTGAGATACAAGCCAGACGGGGCCGAGGTTGCGCGGTTAATGTATGATTATAAAGCTAGCCAGCCGCAAGTAACTTAAAGTAACAACTTAATATTTTCTGTTATTTCTTTTCTTCTTCTAGAAACGCACAATATAGCTAGTTTGTTCCTGATTTATACGACCTTGTCTAAGAAAACAAGAAAGGAAGAAAGAAAGTTTAAGCTTAGAAGAGTTAAAAACTTTAAAAGTTATAAGTAGTTTATATATTTATTTACTTACTTTAACCTCTAGCTTACTATAAATATAATATTAAATTAATTTTATAAAAAGAAAGATAAAAGTTCTTTTAATAATTATAAGTTTAAAATAATTAAAATATTAAAGTATTATAAATAATTTATAATTAATAATTTAATAATAAATAAATATACTTTATTTAACTAATTAATTTATATATTCTTACTTTTATATTATATATCTAAGAATATATATAGCACATTTATTTAAGAGTAAGCACTTAAAACCTATTATTTAAAAAAGATATAATATTAATAACTATAAGTATTATAATAAGAGGCGCGACTATTAGCTACACACCTTAACTGTCCGGCTAAAAGACTATAATTACTAATCTACTAATTAGTTACCCTAGCAGTACATAAGTGCCATACCGTCACTAGTATAATATAATAGGTGCTTATAGCCTCAGCCTTGTGATGTATAGATAAGGCTAAGTGGTACTATTTTAACGACGGTGTTAACTAGAACATTATAATGGAGTTATACGGCGAGACTAGGTCTTAAGATTGTCGCTATATAAATGAATTATCATATTACAACTATAATTATGAACACAGTGTCCTTTTTAAGCGCTAGGTCTTTAATGCTTACTACTATATAATGGTGCTATATATGTCCTCGGACGTATACGGAATAGAAGCGAAACCACCCATATAAATGAATCACACAGAGGGAATCCTAGCCAAAAGATCGGCCCTCCAAACACACACACACACACAAAGCCCTTATACAAATCGCAGTACCGATCGTCTTACCTGACATCTACCCGTCCGAATCGCCAGCTTGTTACTGCGACTAGTCGTTCCCACAGAACATAGATGGAACCAAAACGCTTCTACCGTGCACAGAGCAAGAGGTCTTTTACAGCCTACACTGAGGAAGACGGCTTTGAAGCTCTGGGTCATTATTGGATGGACTATAGCCATTGGCTCAACAGGGGCAAGATCGAACGCCATCTCAACTGGGATGATCGCTCCGAGCAATGCACGCCATTCATTTCTGTATTTGATAACTGGGGTCAGTGCCTATGAACTTATTCCAGGTTGAATTGTACTGACCGGCAGTATGCATAGGGGATGCCGAAGCTCGAGCCAGGCAATTCGTGGGCCGGGGGCATAAAGAAGTCTTCATCGCGGAAATTCTTGTTCCTGGCTCTCGGCAGTCAACTCTGGATATTCATTTCAGTGACCAGACCGTCAAACTGCCAGTCCTGCTGCATGACAGCGAGATCAGTACTACAACCTTTATCTCAACTTCTGCTGTCCAGCAACACCTCGGTGTAAACCACCGTGTTATTCAACGAACGGAGTGGCTCGTTTTGAATTCTATCCCAAGCAAACTAGTCTCTAGAACCATCAGATTCAATTAGGGGCCTGTCTAACATAGCCCTGAATGATTATATTCTGCGTCAGGCAGCGTCAGGACTGCAGACAAATGCGAGCGCTGGGCACCGGCCAGCTGTATTGTACACCCAGTCACGAATGGTATCATGGTCGAGGCCATAGTGACAAGCCGGATGCGTTGTGTATCGAAAATAGGTGCCATACCTTCCGTAGTATTGATCGTGGTCAGTATGCAAACGTCTCCACTTTGCATTCTTGGCCAGCACTTCCTAACCTTCCCATCATCAAACACGTCTCGCTCATTCTGGGAAATACAAATAGTACTCACCGAGTTGGACCTTAAGTCGGGCTCGGCGGTGCCTGCTGGCATCATCAGTACTCAACCCCAACGACCGTTTCTTGCACATGTAACTTGATTCGGGAGTAAATTGAAAAACATCCTTTCTGCCCATGATGCCGCGTTCCTCCGTGACGGGCCACAACCTGCGAGGCGCCCGGGGCTCGACTGCCGGGACTGTTGGTCCTTCTACGCCTCCCAACTGCCCTCTAATCTGCGCACTCGAGTGGACTCGGGATCCACGTCACAGTAGGACCCACATGTGACAGGGGTCTCTCTGATCAAGAGTCCAGAGGCACCTCGAAGAGCTATTAATACTACGTCGCCCCGGGCATGGAAATGTCCAGAATTGGAGAGACAGCCTCCCAATTTCACCCGATTCCTCCAAAGACCTTTATCATCATCGCGGACGTTGATCTGTTGCCGTCATGTCTGAGAAGCCCGTTTTTCTCCTCGCCCACGGCGCTTGGCACCCTTCTTGGCTATACGAGCCGCTCAAGGAAGCCCTCGCCAGGCTAGGCTACGCCCTCGCTGTACCTGCTTTGCCTACTATGGGTACCAACGCCAAAGGCGTCACATGGGAGGCGGATGTGGAGGCACTTCTACAAACCGCTGAGCCTCTCTTTGCGGAGGGAAAGAAGGTCATATTGATCGGGCACTCCTATGGTGGCATTCCGGCCTGCATAGCAACACGCGGCCAAAGCGTTGCCGAGCGGCATGCTCGCGGCCTAGTTGGCGGATTCGTTCAAATCCTTTTCCTCTGTGCTTTTACTATGCCATATAATGGCATTAGTCAAGTGGACCTGACGCAGAACACGCTGCCTCCTTGGCAGGAGCACATTACCGAGTCCGGACGTATTGTGAGTCTGAACATATCCGAAAGCTGGGGTTTAGCTAACAATCGACTAGACTCAGCTCATTGTTAATCAGAAGGCTAAGGAAGTCCTGTATAATGACTTGTCAGAGGAGATGGCGGACAAATATTTCAGCGCCTTGGTACCCCAGTCTCAGGCTGCTCTGGAAAAGCCGGTTGACTTCTCAGTACCTGAAATCACGATTCCGAAGGCGTATATTGTCTGTGAGCGCGACCAGGCCTTCCCCACAGCTGCGCAGCGCCACTTTGTCAACACGCTCGGCCTCCGAGAGCTGTCGGTGTCGGGAGGGCACACGGCGTTTGCGAGTGTTCCCGATGAGCTGGCGGGTGTGCTGGTGGGGCAGGTGGAGTGATCAGCGTCCATTGTAACCTGGCTGAACTACCACGTCTTCTGGCTGGGTCATGTGTTCGAATACGATCGTTGGGGCGTGGTTAATGTGTAGCATTGGTCTGGCCAAAGTGTTGTTAGTGTGCATGGCCGGTCCAGTAGGTTGCACGTGTTGTGAAGGTGCAGCAGTATCCTGCCCACCTCTTGCCTTGCTCATGCTCAAGTGTAAGAATATATTGGGCGAACAAACTCTAGATTCAGTAGCTCAACGATGAGTGGTCCCATGCAGGCCGGCTTGCACAAATGATAGCTATGTCGGGCTCAACGGTTGTCCATAGGACAGGACGCACCATCGACACTGCCTAGGTACCCTAGGGTATTCGACCCAATTTATTAGTCGCGAGGCACCAAAGGAACCTTGCAATTGCTTGTAAATTGATGTTGTAGAAAGAAGTTGGGAAAAGAGATATACTTGTGAGATCTGCTGAGGTCCTTTCCGAGTCCTGGGCGAGACTGATTGAATAGTACCTAGGTATTACAATCAAACTGCTCACAGCCACAACTCCAGCACCACGGAGGAAGTGCTGCTTCACATGGCGCGTCGGCCTTCGTAAAATTTGAGGCTCTTGATTTCGTATATTATTGGAAGACATAGAATCAAAATATTTGGAACGTTGGGGACAGCATTGATGATGAAAAACTTGGTGTTGTAAAGACAATGACCTGTTGTGATTGATGGGTCATAACTTTGGCGATAGGATGGCATTCAAATAAGCCCTTGAGGACACCAGCACTACTATGGCTACTTAGGTAGACAACATGCTCCTGTAAGTAGTCCATGCCAATGCAGCACACCCAAGCTTTATGAAGCGCGTAGGGAAAATAAGCCAGTGCAGGCCAAAATGGCAAGCTTGATTCACTGGATTGGGAAAGCCTAAATGGACTCGCCGGGAAATATGAGCTTATAGATATTTCAGTTTTAACGAAGCGGCAATTTTCATGAAGAAAACTGAAATACCTTAAGAACCGCAGACAGTCTGGTAGGATTGATGGTCTTCTTGGTGAGATTGAGTTGCCTAACTGCTATTTGACAGTAAGTATTGATCAAGTTCAAATTGTAGATAAGTTTGGGTACAAAAATTCTTTGACGGAATGGGTTGAGGTCTTGAACGCAATCACACAGACAGCACTCGGATGGCCGTGGGAGTCAATGAGTTCCTGTATGAATATGGGCCCCCATTTTTCAACACATTTCAATTCAGTGCATGCATGGGTCAGGATGTGTACCACTTGAGGGGAAGATGTCTCGAGTCTCGAGGAGTTGGCAAATTCGGAAAGGGCACCATGTAATCTATCACATTCCTGGGCCCATGCAGTTGAGGTGTTGCATACACAGTTGGCTCTAAGCTGGCGGGCCTGTGCTGTTGGTTGAAGTTGGAACCAATGATGACCCTTGGCCTGAAAATATTCAGCGCGGTCCGTCCGCCTTATTACGGAATCGGGCTGGTCAGCCGGCTCAGCCAACAAACATGCAGACTCGGCGAGCTCACCTGCACCGCAACGCGAGCCCACTTCGATGCAGAATCTGGATGATTACGAGGTGAAGTTTCAGCAAAGTAGACAGGTTCGCGGCTTGGATAGATACCATGCCGGTCAAGCTCCGGAACCCAACCCCGCATGGCCCCCAGCATACCTAGGTACCCAAGGAAGCGAGGGGCCCATGTTGACGTCGATAGCCTCAACGTTCATTTCTGGCCAGACGTAAGAAAGTGAAGACGAATAGTGTATATTCAGTTGTCTAGCTTCCCAGAAGTCTTTTAGGTTCGGGAGAAGACGTCTTTGTCTATCATCCAGTATTACTACTAGAAAACCATAGTCAAGTGGAAATACATTTAGTCCTCGGTCTCCAACAGGCGTCCTCCGGAGTAACTAGCGGAGCATAATTTTGCAGGAGTGCAGGGATATCAAGTGCTGAATGTTTGATCCAATCTTATCATGATTTTGAATGCCAAATAGGTAGCAAATTCCGATGCAAAGTGTAGCTGCTGCAGGCAACTTGGATCCGCAGAATGGGTCTAGATGGGCTGGTTCAGTCTGCAGGCCAAGACGTTCACGTTGGCTGCAGGTGGGTCGCGATGCATCTTCACAGAGTCCATAAACTTCAGCCATGATGATGTATCGCTTCTTTGCAACATTTAAAACAAGGCCTGCAACTTTCAGAGAGGAATAAAAGAGGGACCTTCTCCCATCCAGCCTAGCACCAATCTTTGCACAACACGTCCTGAGGCTCTATACCAACTCGGATCTCCATTCCCTTCCAAAAACCCTCAGAAACAATTTGCATTATCACATTTCGCACCAAAATGTCGTCAAAAGCTCAAACTGCATCAAAATACGCGGCAAACGGCGACAAGAGCCTCGTCTCGTCGGACTGGCCGCTAGTCCAAGCCCAAGATGATTGCAATCCATTCCCTCATCTTCCCCCCTACCAGCACCCAAAGACAGGGCTCTTGTCAAAGCTCCCTCACAGCGTTGTTCCATACGCTGAGCTCACCCGCATCGACCGTCCTGCAGGCTGGTTGGGTGTGTACTTTCCCTTCCTCATCGGCCTGATCTACGCCGGTTGCATCTCAGGCGATGACGAAGCTTCCGACCCCCTGGCACTTGGGAGCCTAGCCATCCGCTTAATCCCCTTCAGCATGCTCCTGCGCAGTGCTGCGTGCACGTGGAACGACACAGTCGACCAGGATTTTGACCGCCGTGTCGCGCGGACCCGTCATCGACCAGTTGCTCGCAGAGCTGTATCGACCAACCAAGCACTAAGCTTCACCTTTGTGCAAACCGCACTGTGCGTTTTTTCAGCTCGCTCCTTGCTGCCGCAGGATTGCGCGCTACACGCGTGGGTGATGGTGGCGTTGGCCGGTGTGTATGCTTTGATGAAGCGCGTCACCTATTACCCTCAAATCGTCCTCGGGATCCTGTGTGCTTGGCCTATTTTCTTTGCAAGTTCTGCAGTCGGGATCAGCCCAGTGCGGGCCTCGACGATCGCCCTCTTCGGCTCAAATCTTTCATGGTCGGTTATAAATGACGTGTTTTACGCTTTTCAGGACATTGCCGATGATGAGAAAGCTGGGGTTAAAAGCATGTCGCTCAAGTTCAAGGATGTTATGCCGTTGGTGGCTTCAATACTCCTGCTTGGACAGGTGGCTCTGCTTGCCTGTTGTGGGTATTGGGCAGGTTTCAAACTGGTATATTACACAATTTCGGTCTTCGGTGTCTTCGCGACAATGTCAGTCTATGTCTGGAAAGTCAAGTTACAGTGCCCTGAGAGCTGTGGGTTTTGGTTCAAGGCGCAATACTTATTAGTCGGATCTGCGTATCTCGGGGGGCTGATCGGGCAATACCTCTCAAAATCAGGCTACTAGCTTCCAAGGTTCTGAGGCAGGCATATAACAATAACGGCTCGGTAGACTTGACCACCGCCTATCCCAATCCAGTGAGCAGTGAGAAGCTGTCTTGACAATTGGGGTTAATAAAAGCTTGTTATAAAATTTCGTGAGCCTCCGGAACCTACCATGACTTTAGGGCCTGCATTCCGGAATGTCCGCTTCACACTCCCTAGGACTGGCGATATATGTGAGGTGGTTGGTTGGTTGGTTGTCTTCAGCTTCACATGGTCTGCAGCATCCTCGCTAGGCCAACCCTACAAGACGGCAGAGGTTGTTCTTGCATGGCTGCTCGCCGTTTGTGGCGTGCCAGATGATGCACCCCTGCCCTGATTTCTGGATGCTTGCCACACACTGTACAATGGTGAGGGAATACTTAAGTATGTTAGCACGACGCTAAGAACGGGAAGAGGATGTGAGTTTCTATGTTAACAAAACGGGTGAATGCTCGTTGTGGACACTATTAGCGCCGTGCTAATATGTTCACTCCCTCACTGTTGTACTGTTGTGTAAACGACGACACGCTTTGATACCCGTTTTTCAACCTCGTCAGAAAACCACCACCTAATTAGGACGAGGCCAGAAATGCCATTTTTAACCGTATAAGCTACGTTATGCTTGCACATAGACACCAGTGTATAATGAACGGTGCGAGAAAGACGTATTCCAATCTTTGGGTGACAAAGAAAGCTGACGCGACGTTTCGTGCTCGTATTCACAAACTTGATTGATTTCCCTGCACCATTGCATCCGCACAAACTGCAAGTTGCCATGTATTGTCTCCAGCAGACACAAAAGCCTGAAGATGACGCATAAATACTCTGGCCCGTGCACCGCGGAGGATAACTAGGGCGTCGTGCCCGACGCGGTGAAGTTGGCCGTCGTAGTCACTGCATGTTATTCTGTCATGACTGACTTCGTATGCATCCCCGTCAAGAACTGTCCCTCAACATCGAGCAGGCTGCTCGGAAGACCGCTATCGGCGAGCGCGGTACGCCATGTCCGCTCAACAAGTCACGAAACCGACAATTGAAGGCCACATGCTAACATCTGTGACCGTAGCTGATCCGCAACCTCCGGGCCGCGAGCACCCCGCGCCCGTCAAACGCTTTCCAAACAACCACATCGCCTCAATACCTCAGGTGCCCTTCGACCACAGTCTCCCGCGGTTTCTACTCGGCGCCTAGAAACATGCCGTACCTCATGATTTTCAACGTCGACGGGGGTTGTCGCGGAAACGGCAGACCCGACGCGATCGGAGCCGCAGCCTGCTGCCTCCAAAAACCGTTTGGAAGCGGGTACAAATACAAAACACGGCTTCTGGATACCTATCCCGTGCCCCCAACCAGCCAGCGAGCCGAGATCACAGCCATCATCTTGGCTCTGGAGTGGGCCTTGGAGCGCTACGACGAGCTGAATGGGTACCCTAGCCTTCGGGTCACCATCAAGTCGGACTCCCGCTACGCCGTCGAGTGCATGACGAACTGGATCTACACCTGGGTGCAGAATGGTTGGACCAACTCGCGTGGCCGCGAGGTTGCAAACAGGGACCTTATCGAGATGGCTTCTGATCTGGACGACCGTGTCAGGGCGCTTGGCAAAGTGGATTACATTTGGGTGCCAAGGGAGGACAATTTGGATGCCGATGCGCGATGTCAGGAGGTCTTGGACGAGGAGGAGGAAAAGGAGCTGTACCAGGAGGACGACAATGAGCAGTACGAGGAGGATTACGATTCACCATGGTACTAGTAGTCTTGGGTATGAGGCGAGCTGTGCCGTAGAGGCGTGCAAGTAAGGAGCCAATAGGACCAGGGAGGTGAGCAGAGGGTCGGATTTTGTCTTGTTCAAGGCTACGCAATATTCAGGGTGTGCCTTCTGATCCTCTTGAGTTGGAATATGGCCATCACGCTCGATTTTAACACAAACATCGCCATCTACAAGGCTGCGAGAACGACATGACTGACATAGCCAACTACGAGAGCGGCACCACGGACCGCATCGTGGGTATGAAATATGGCAACGCAAGGAGGAAAGACGGAAAAGTGGATAAGCTCGCGAGTTGGTGTGGATGGCATTTTGCGGATACTTGCCTACCTACTAGGTGTTCAATCTCCGCGCATGCAGTGTTACAGAATCCAAGTTCCCCGGGGTCTGCGTGCCCATACGTTGACGCAGCACATCAATCGATGTGAGTTGCACAGTCTGACTCACCCGAAAAACCTCTGGGTTCCTCACGATCCATGCAGCGTACTGTCTCCCTCTTTCTTTCGACGCACCAATCACTCCGAGTACAATCCCGCCTCTACCGTAGTGATAAGTCTCCTCGACAGCATTTAAAGTGAAGCCTCAAGCTGCATCGACAGACCGCCGACGACGGTCATCACGTTGTGCCCCAGAGCCTCGTCCACATCATCCCGCAACTGGTCAAGGCCCCCAAACTTCACGACTATACCTACCAGAGTCTCGCCAGGTCGCGCCTCGATGGTTCTCCCATAACTAAACGCGTGCGCACCTTTCTCGCCCCAAGAGTGCGTCCGCCCTAGGCTGGTGTGAATCTTGGAAGTCGTTGTTAGTCATCGGTCGTGTGCCGGATATCAAGCGATGAGGCGTACCTTCAGAGCCCTTGTATACTGTTCCGCAGGCACTTCTAACTCTGTCACCACCTCCCCTCCCGGCCCATCAATGTCAAAGGACTCGAAGATGCCGTCTGGCTGGTTGACGCCGACCATCCGCCGCATGTCTGTCGCGGGTTCGTGCTCGGCACTGAGGCCAGAAAGACAGGCGCGGACTGGGCCAGACTGGTCTCTGGCGGAGACGATACAGCCCGTGAGCCGTCTCAGCGACCGATGCTCACCCGCGTTCTTCGCCCAGATCAGGGCCCCACAAGAGACCAGATCATTAGCTAAATATCCCCTACCGCTATGATGGTAATTCCGATGGTCCGTCAGCTGGAGACCCTGGTATTCTTGGATTCTCCGCCCTAGTATTTGCGAATAGTCATCATCCCACGTAAGCTCTTCGAGTGAACCTCGATGCGGGTGCCGAAGACGGTGTGGGGGCGTCGAATAGTCGACAACTTGAAGTTCGGACGGCTGCGCTTGTACCAGGCCGATCCGGATGAGCTGTAGGTTGCCTCTGACAACCCCTGTATTGCCGTGGATGCCCGTGATGCACCAGTCTGGGGCGGATGAGAGCAGCTGTTGCATTTGACATTCGGATGTGGAGCCCATGACTGACGTCCTACCGGAGTCGAGGAGGACCTTCCTCGCAATGTTAGACACAGCAAGTCTCACGTACTCGTATGATCGAGGCCGCCCACTAGATGGGGACATAGACACTCACCGTCAGGCCCTTCGGGGACGTCTCTAATCGATTATCATCTAGGTAAGTTGGGATAGGCAGATGAATGACCAACCCTTTTATCCACTCCTCTGCCCCAAGCCTCATGGATTCTCTGGAGACATCGTCATCGAGGTCAGACATCCCAAGGAGCCGTCTTCTTTGGCCGTCGGGAGTCAACGAGATGCCAACGAGTGAGCCACGACGATCCCAGAAGGTTTCAAGCGTCTTTTCTTGAGACCGGAGCTCGGGCCACGTCTTCGCCCAAAACACTTTGCGTGTGGGACCGAGTATGGTCGCTTTTGGAGACGCGACGACGGTAGGGTGCACGCTCTTGGAGTATTTCCGTATCAGTCTCTCTTCGTCGCTAATGGAGGCATCATTCTGAAGTTCCTTGTGCTCTCGATAGAGTTGGCTAAACTGCTCACATGCCGACCAGATGCGGCGCCGGTTGACTACTCCCATCAGAGGTCCTGTCAGCCATCTGTCGGAGCGTGTCGACCTTTCCAGCCATTGGAAGATGCGCTGAGGGTTGTTGCTCTGCAAGAGCGTTTCGTCTTGCTCGAGAAGCGCTCCAAACTCGAGGAACCAAGGCAGGAAGGACGCCCCGATGCGCTGCCGCCAGAACTGGTCGTTGTTATGCAAAAGACAGTGGATTGGCCATGACGCCCTCGCCAGGTTGATGAGATCTTCGTTTGATACGAGGCCAGATATCCTGTGTACTATGTCGTAAGGCACCCTGAGGAAAGGATCACGCCGGACGCGGCTCCCGAAGTCACTGCAAGGAGACCTTGATTTGAAAGCATCCGATGAAAAAACAGACAAGACAGCCTCGTTGGCGCCGGGCACGTCGAGGGGATGGCGCACAAGGAACTCGTAACCAGGTTCTATCTCCCAAGTTTGTTCCTGCATGCGACGCGCCTCACCATAGTCGATGTTCGAGAAAGACTTGTAGCCGAAATTCCTCAGCAGCTCCTGCATAATGCTGTACAGGAGGTCATTGTCAATGCTGTACACCAGGACACCATCGTCGCTAAAGCTGCTAGCTTCGAAAGACCCGGTAATGCACTTGGACAGCATCTCGTAGCAGCACCAGTGGAAAGGGAAAATGGCATCACGGTTGTCATCCTGATTTTGGTAGCATAATACCCGGCCAAAGTCGAAGTCCTCTGCATTTGGGTCGTCACCATCGTCGACGAAAACACCTCCAACCTCGTCGTAAGTGCCGGGCCCGCTGACAAAAGCTCTGCGAGAACAGACACAGGTTAGCGAGGTTTTGCGAGCCACCTGCCAGCGTGCCGGGATGTCTATCGCCAACAGGGAGCGCTAACTTATAAGTCCCCCCCTCTGCATTGGGGTTCAGTGCCAGAACATGGAGTGTCTCGGCCCATTTCACGTCTTCCACGCTGATGATATCCTGGTCGTAAGATTTTTCCTCTTCAAACCGTTCCCAACGTTCTTCTTCATCGCCTTCCTCGTCATATTCGTCGACAATGCAGCCTTTCGCATGCGCAGCTTTGTCCCCCGATCGATGCTGTTCTATGTCTCTCGCCCATTTCTTCAGGAACGCTGCTGTTCGGGGCTTTTCAGCGATATAAATTTCCCTGAAAGGCCCGCCACATATGGCGCAATAGTCATCGGAAGTACCCATAGCCGAGGAGCAGAAGTCTCGACAATGATAGAACTGTCGCTGTGGGTCAAGAACAGGCTTCAGACAGGTGGTCGTCATCGTTTATAGTCGATGAGCTTTGTCGTACGAGTGTGAAGACCGCGGCCCAGCTGACATAAACTAGCCACAATCGGTCAAGTGTCGCGTTGCTGCCTGCTGACATACATATGCAGGGGAAGAGTCGCCAAGGCGAAGTCCTCGCCAGTCTTGGAAGGTCACACAGGGTGCTCAGTCCCGGGAATGGCTCTCTCGTCAAAGTCGATAAAGGGGATGCCAAAGTCAAAATCCATGACGTCGCTGTCAAGAAGGTTGACAGGAGCCCAGCAATGCCGCCACTGCATCGCGGCCATGGGGTCCGTGAACCCATCCTCAGGAGCAGGAACAGCAGCCGCGGTGGCAGGGCCGTTGACTCCGGCTCCGCTGCCCATGTTTTCTAACGCCGGGACTTCGCCCCCGCCGTTCGTGGACATAAGTGTCGCGGCGAGGCGCTCTGAGCTCTTCTCGTGCCGCGTGGTGGCTGACTTCTCCATGGCCTTCTGCAGCAGCTTGGCCGACTTGCCGGCGACGACGCACTCGTCCGCCATGGTCTCGAGGACCTCTATTGCCATGTGCACGAGCCTCACGAGAGGATCCATCTCCGCCTCGGAGGCTTCCTGGTTGATGTACACCAGGATGATGGACGTCGCGAATATGGTGTATGTTGTGTTGTAAAACCTATTTGGCGACGAAACGCGTTAGTTTCTCAGGCACAGGGAACAGTAAGGCAGCAGCTTTTGGGATCATTGACCATGTGCGGAAGAACTCCTGGTGGTGATACGTCTCGTGGATTATTTCGATGGTCCTCTTCGCCGAATCCAGACATTTCTGAACACACTCGTGTGACCCTGGCACGGACGACCTTTCGGCAGGTGTAGAAGTCAGGAGGATGGATCCAAACAGTAATATGCGGAGGTTGAGGTAGCCTGTGGCGTCACGTCAGTCTCACCTCCGGGAATTGGCTCACCTGAGGGATGAGAGAGTGTCACTTACGCATGTTCAACACGAGTTTCTGCCTCTTCATCCACATAGCCTCCTTGTGGCTGCCTATCTTGATCGACTGGCCGGACTCCAGCCTCGGACGTATCGGCTCCGGAAGGTGGGCCACCCAGCTATCGAAGCGCTGGTCGAGGTGCTGCGCCAGCTCGACCGTCCTGGCGGCTGAGTTCTGGGGCAGGTAGATGTCTATGCAGACCTGCCGTATCAGCCTGGAGAAGTGAACCATGTGTTCTATGATGGCACAGTGTGGTGGATCTAATAAAGGAGAGCCCGGGTCGAAGCCCGGCGTAAATTCTGTTAGGGGAAAGGCGCGGTTATGGTACTCTTCGGCGCCGAGTCCACTTGGGCGCCCCATCGCAAATGACAGCTCTCTGGCAAAAGGTCAGTCACAGAGTCTCCCTCAGCGTTGGGGATATACACACTCTTCCAGGGAATATATGCCCCACCAGGTCCTCGCTTCTGCTCTGAGCTGGGCAGGGCTTTTCTTGCAGTTGGAGCCTGGCTCGCGGTTGATACCCACCGCCAATGCTGTCCGCACCGCCATGCCGATGTAGAAGTAAGACCAGTGCGCATTCAGCTCGTTCTGGCAGACCTTGGCCATGAAGAAGAAGGTCTGGACCATCTCCAAGTCGGTGGCGAGCTCAAGGTCCTTGAACCTCGCCCTCGCCTCGTTGAAGAAGCGCCGGCTCCACTTCTGGTTGCTGACGCCGCCGACGGGCTCAATGTCCCTGTAACCAACCAGGGCGCCGATGGACATGATACTGAAATAAAGCGGCACGAAGCTGGCGTGCTGCCTCATGGCCTCCTTGTCGCCGGACCAAAGTATCTCGCACCGCTCGAGGAAGGAGGTCTTGTCGACCATGGGGTGGATGTAGTGCATGGTGGAGAAGAAGTTGTGCAGGAAGACGCTGCACTGGCGGTAGTAGGCGGGCTCCATGGCCGATAGATGCGCCTCCTCAACGGACAGGACCGTCGTCCCCTCGTCGGCCCCTCTGCCGGCGCCAGCGCCGCCCCCGGCAGCAACACCCTGGTCCTGCGCGTCCAGCGTGGGCGGCGAGAAGGCCGGGTTATGCAGGTTGGACAGCAGGGCGGCGGCGGCAGCGTCCGACTCGGAGTGCTCGCCGGCACCGCTGGCGCCGGCCTCGGATGACGCGGGTGAGCGCCCGCCGCCGCGCTGGACCTGGGACAGCAGGGCGACCGACGACGAGCTGCCGTAGAACTCGACGTTGCGGGTGTGGCTGTTGACGGCCGTGACCTCCTGGCCGCTCCTCTGGCGCGCCCGGGTCGTGATGTTGGTGGTGGTGGTGGTGGTGGTGGTGGTTGGCGGCGTGGCAGACAGCGCAACGCTGGTCCCGGGCGAGCCGGACGGCGGGGCGGCGTGGTTAGTAGCATACTGGCCTGGGGCAGAGAAGCCTGACTTGACCGAGGATGAGCTGCCTGCTGCTTGCGCCTCGAGCTGGGCTGACAGCTGTTCCACCTGTTGCTCCAGGCCCCTGACATATCTGAGCAACGGACGGTCAGTACCGGCGCGCATGAGTGAGTGGGTGAGTGGGCAGGGCAGCACGTACTCGGGCGTGTACCGTCTCCTCGATGAGTCCTGGCCTTGATATACGCATTCGACGTTGCGATCTGTGAGCATCCATCAGCGTTCCGCGTACCCTCAGGCTTGGTTCATCACATGCTCGTCGCGGGCTAGGCTCACTCCTGCAGTAGGTACAAGGGTACAGTTCGTCACACTTGTTCTTCTTCAGCCGGCAGAGATTGCACGCCCTGGCCGCCCTCGGGCGGCGAACCTTGTGGCCCGAGTTCTGGGCGTGGGCCGTCGCCGTCGAGCCGGTAGACTCCATACTGGTACTTCTTCTTCACTACTCAACGCCGCGGCCATAGAGTTTTGTCAGGGGAAGGATGGGGAGAGCAAGGTCGTTGTCCAATAGGGCGCTGGCTGCCAGACATTGATGACGGGAATGGACGGGGCCTGACGTTGACCGGTTCCAGGCCCGGCAAACTGAGGCTCAAAAGGGGATGGGACGAGGACGGAGCCCACCAATGCGCGCTTCCCCGCAGAAACCGGGGTGGCTGGCCCCCAGCATTACGGGCTTAATGCCTGTGGGGAAGCCAAGGAAGCGAACATGTGCACATGTGGTCTTTTGTGTGCATTTGTCAGGTAAAAAGGACCCGGGGAGGCATGCTGCCTGCGGCTGCCGGGACTTGCGACGAACTACACAGGTGTAGGTAAGATACGTGTAAAATTGACTGGAAGCACTCGAGTTCATAAAGAAAACACAATGCAACTGAAGCTGTGAGCAGCATACTTAAGTACGTGAACTTCAACGTGGCATCCGTTGTTGGACACATGCAATTGAATATATCGATTGGATCAAGCGCGATCGATATCTACTGCGATGTGTTTTCATACGACCAAGATTCAGGCCGGTGTACGTGAGAACTACGCATGAATAAAACCTTACGTATGGAACAAGCCCACAAACTACGATCTACGACCGGGGTACATGTCTTCCGGTTTGAACACTGCATTCCAATCATTGCGCACGCGACACCCAATTTCTAGGTTCAACACAAGGAAAGTCACATCCTCATACCGCTGCATAATTCATTACCGAAGTTACGCACCCTTCGAGAGATCTTCCTGCAGGGTCGTAGGGACTCCGTGACCCTAAATCCGAGCGTGTGTTGCCGCTTCGCGTTGGTGGGGCCGCCCATCGTCAACGATCTCAGATGCACCAAGCGGACCCTTGGAGTAGCTTTCGGATTTGCCGGGCTACCTTGGCTGCCAGCCAAGAGGGGCCGAGCACACGGCCCCGTCCGGACCAGAGACCTCGGGAGTCATAAAGCATGGGCAAATCTCTGCAGATGGTGGGACTTCATGCCATAATTCCAGGAGTCTGGCGAAGTCACGTAGTATTTTGACGTAGTATTGCCGAGTTCCTTTCAATTTTGCATTTATTTATGGGACATTATTCACTCGAATAATCACAGACAAGATGAGCATCCCGATCCAGGCAACGCCGCCCGACTCCGATGCCGCGTACATCATCGACCAACTCGAAGGCGAGCGTGTTAGTATCCCGGGCAGCAAAGGTGTCTTCAGGATCCTCGCTTCATCCAAGCAGACCAGCGGAGGAATCGCCGTTTTCTCAAGTGGAGCCGTGCTCTCAGATGCCCCGGGCTTTCACTGGCACGCTGAGACCCACGATATCTTCCTGGTGACGAAGGGTTTCCTCAAGCTGTGGAATGGGGACAAGTGCAGGATTATGGGGCCGGGAGACTTCGCATACGTTCCACCAGTGAGTCGATAAGCAGGGATACAAAAGTCAGACAACATGATGGCAAGCATGAGCTGACCATGGAAAAAGAAAGTCATACACAACCCGGAACTAACTGGTCCTCACACCGAGATGCTTGGACTGATTGCCCCAGGCGACTGGGTCGACTTCTTCAGATACGTGGGCGAGAAATATGAAGGTGTGATCGTGCCCGAGTCGGACGACCGCGATCTCAAGAGCCTGCTCATCCCAAAGGTCATGGCCGCCAAGGACCGATTCGACGTCAACTTTGTTCGGGACTACAACCCTCCCGAGGTCGGCGAGTGGCGCGACGACGAGAATGTCCTCCCCGAGCCTCTGACGCCCTACTTCTTGCGCGCAAACACCGGGCCGAGGCAGATTCTTGGCGGCATTCTGTCGCGGCCATTTATCTATGCCTCCCAGTGTAGCGGCAAGTTCGCCATCTCCAGCATCGAGTCTTCCAACCAGTATGGCCAGTCTGCGTTTGCGCAGCAGTGGCTCACGTTCAAGAACGTACACCACTGCTTCGCAGTTCAGGAGGGAATCCTGAAGGTCAGGCTCAGGGAGGAGAACTCGGACAGTTGGAATGAGGTCAGGGAAGGGCAGACGCTGTTAGTGCCTGCGGGTAAGGCTTTCGTACTTGACTTTGGGAGCCGGTTCGTAAGAGCTATCTCATTCACGAATGGGCCTGGGCTTGAGGAGGTGGTAAGGATGGCGGGTTCTGATTGCCTGACCGTTGTGCTGCCAGAAAAGCCAGCTGCATATGAAAATAGCAAGCTTCAAGACGTTTTAGGGCAAGTTGGGGTGGTGGCCGAGAATCTTTAGACAGTGGTCAATCCTATTGCTACCTAGGTACTCTACCCTTGATCCCTTGTGTTTCCCCCATATTTTGGCTTCTCTGCTCTCGCTCCTGGTTAAATCCGACTTGTTAGCCATGCTCGGACTTCTCAGGCTTCTCCGGCTTCCTAGAGCCATGTTTCAATGTTGGCTTGGGGTATACAGAAGCTCGAGGGATCATCTGCCACAATTTCTTTCTGGCACCTTGAATGGCCAGAATATGCCTCATAAAATCGAAGGGGAGGTCACATTGTAATTGCTCTAGATACAGATGGCCATAAATCCAAATGTCCATAGAATGAAAACTCTTACACAGGATCTATTACTGTACTCAAAGGCTCTCAACGCACTAAGCTCCTTCCCATTGGTTTCCCGAAAGGCTATTCAAACGAAAGGCTCGTTTCTGACTGCTTCCTCTACCTCCTTGAAAGCATCATAACCATACAGCCATGGTTGGACTTCTGGGCACGTCCATCTGCTAGGGAATGGCCCTTTCAACTCTTTGCCCAACATAGACAGAAACAAGGAATCGCGAGCTTCTTGCTCGGGTCCATTCAGCATGTGAAAGTCGTGTCGCTTGAATGTATGTCAGCCTGGCTGGGTTCCGCCGACTCAAATATTTGAGGTTGCAATAACTCACCTGCTTGAATGTTTCCCTTACAATGGCCTCTCCTCTTGCCTTTCTCAGCTTCTCGTATAGTCGCAGAGCCTGGGGAACTTGATCTCTTGATTTCACATGCCCTAGTAGTTGACCCAATACGGCTCCATCCTCGACTGCAGAATTCGCACCCTGGGCGAGGTATGGAAGCATTGGATGGCACGAGTCGCCACTAGTATTGAAAAACGTCAGCCTGTATTTCTCACTCATAAACAGCCCCTTGTGGAACAATAAGATAACTGACACAAATACCAAATTCGACTTGTCATTAACCCAAGATGGCAACTCTTCCCCTGTATCACATGATGTCAGCTTGCATCCAATGTTTTGCGAGAACCGGGACAGCGGGGGAACAAAAACCTACTGTGCATCAACCTCCACTTCTCCACGCTATTCACCTTGTCAAGGAACCGTCTCAAGATAGGATCCCACTCCGCGAATAGGGACTTCATCTCCTCTAGGCTACCTGGCTTGCGGCTCACACCTTCAGGGAGGTCGTCGGGGCAGAGCAGCACGAGATTGTACATCTTGCCTCCCCGCATCGAGTAGCCCACCACGTGCGTGCCAGGGCCGATCCAGAAGTGCACAGTCGGGTTGCTGACCCACGCGCTCAGTTCGGGATCATCCGCCACCTGCTCCAGGTCCAGCACAACGCGGTAGGCCAGGTCGCCCGTGGGCAGCGGGGGCACGTGCTTGCCCAAGAAGCAGGTCTGGCACTTTGACCAGAGGCCGTCCGCGGCGACGATGATGTCGGCCTTGGCTTCCTTCCCGGACTCGGTCGCGATCACGCCCTGGTCGAAGTCGATCGAGTCCACCTTCTCGCCGAGCTGGAAGCCGACCCCGAGCTCCTTGGCCTTGTCGTACAGGGAAAGCTGCAGGTCCACGCGGTGCATGTCCAGGAAGGGCGCCTGGTACTTCTTCCGGATGTTCTTGTGGAAGTTGTCCTCGTGCGCCAGGACCTTGCCCGTGTACCGGTGCACAGTCAGTGCCGTTGGCTCCGCGGCTTCTCTCCACACGCGATCTGAGAGGCCCCATCGCTGCAGGATGCGGGTGGAGTTGGGTGTCACTTGCAGGCCCGCGCCGATCTAGTGTTCCTTGTGAGCTCACGGGGGTCCTGGGAGTTGGGAGGAATGATATGAGACTCAAGTGAACACTGACCTCAAGAAGCTCCTTTGCTGATTCGAACACTGTCACATTATGGCCTGATAATGCCGACGATATGGCTGTCGCGAGGCCACTGATACCCGCTCCCACTACAATTACATCCAGTTTGATCGGCGACTTCTGCTGAGCGGCGTTGCCGTTAACAGTCTCGGCTGTTGAGGGCCCATTCGACACCGCCATCTTCTGAGTAGGATCTCGAGGCTCTATCGAGGAGAATGAAGTGTGATGATGATTTCAAAGACCTAGGCTTCTGCCGCTCTTAAGCATACACGTCTGGAGTCCTTTTTCAATCCCCAGCCAGCCGTTGGTATGTGTACAGCCCGGCTATCCCAGGTCGGTACCACCGTGCAGAGATGCCGAAAACACGCGGCTAACGTTAATGCTAACGCCGGGTATTCCGGTTCTAAGGTTTGGTTTCGGCCGGCTTTCCCGCCCCCCGGAGTCCGAGGAAGCGGTTATGTCGGCCTTCAGTTTTAATTTCCTGCAATGACTTACACCAGACAACTCACATGTTCTCTGGTGTTAAAGGTGTTTCCTAGATTCATTATAGCTGCATTGTAAATACAAATCACTCAAGGCTAGGCCCAGGCCCCCACAAGACTCATAACAAACGCGCCCATGAAGACATGCACGCAAGCATAGAACCGACGTCGACCACGAAGAACCTGCCAACTGCTATCGCTGAGAAAGTCTTCGGACAAGAGCTCAACGAGAGATTGGAACGTGAGTAGCCCTGCCGAGATTGCGTTCATACAACCGACAACCAGAAGGCCGACCTCCGAGTCCTGGTTATAAAATGAATGGGTCGCAAGACCAATGGCCTGGCCCAAAGGAGTTCTTGACCGGACAAGTTATCAGCATATTATTGTCGGACATAAAAGGGGCAGAATCGTCATCAGAATTAGACTCCAGGACTTACGTGCATCCATATGCCAACGCCATCAGCCACGGCTTCCACGCTTTTTCGTGCCAACCAATGTCAGCGATTCGAGATCCAAGGGCCAGCCCTTCGAATGTTTCTATTTCAATGCAGCGTTAGAATCCAGAACAAACCCGCTTGGTCCTGTGTAGAGATCATACTAGTAGTGAATGATGAGTCACTTACGATGGAAGGCAATAGCAATGAGCAGGACGACGAATTCGTTGTTGATGGAAACACTCAGCGCCATGCCAATGAAGATGCTATGAAACAGTATCCCAGCTTCAAGCATGACGCAATGCATCATATCTCTTCGCTGTTTCTCCTCTCGTTGTATCCGCTCCGCGGAGATCTGCCGTTCTTCATCAGGGCGGTCGATTCGCGATAATCTCCTACCAATACTCGACGATCTGCCAATTATAGGGCGCATGGTAGCCGGGTGTGTTGCTGTGTTGGTTCGCGCAGCTGTATCCTCACGAACACCTCCAGTGTCACCTGAAACCTCCGGATGACGGCGAGCAGGGTGGAATGCCATCTCAATGAGCATCAGCATGAAAATCGCCGCCAAGGCTATCGCACCAGGCATGGCGGGATACTTGTCTGTCCAGAAACTGGAAAGACAAGAGTTTCCGAGGAGGGTGAAAGCTGTGGGTAGTAGATGGACGAAGGCAGTCGCGATGAGCACTCCAGTACCGAAATGGCGAATCGCGAAGAAGAATGATGTCGGGATACGCAGGTCTGGAAAGCGCGTGGCTAATATGGGGAACGCGCATGCTGTAGTCGATACAGCAAGGATGATGAACAAGGCCCCCACATGCAGAGGCGTGTTGTAAACACTCTCATCTACGCCGTTGTTGGCAGGGCACGTTGAGCGTCTTCGAACTATGCTCGTGGACTTTTGGGTAACGGATTGTCTGGCTATTTTCGGTAAGTGGTCAGTAGGACAACTTTCTTGCTCGTACAACACATGCCTGGTGAGCATACCACTTGTTGGCGAATCTGCCTGAAAGAAGTCCCTAACACCCGAGAGAATGACAGAGCATAAGATGACCGATAAGAACCAGCCAATCCGGTTCCAGATTACTGTTGGAGTCGGATCTGTGTCGCGGAAAGCAGTGATAGGATAATGGGGAGCCTGTCTGGCATTATCGGGTTTGAATCCCTCTGGATGCAGCCCGAGAGCTGAGTTGACGCAGCATTAATCAGTCCAGCCTCACACAAATCGTTTCTTGGGAATGGCTTACCAGAGGCCCTATCTTGTACGGGAGTTCCTTCATAAAGCTCCCGGGTCAGGCTTCTATTAACCTCGGTCTCGCGCCCTTCTGCTTCTTTTACGCCGGCGGCGCCATCGAGATTGTGAGAGCCTGTCATATTGCCTACCGAAGGTATCGGGTCTGGCCACCGAGTCGGCCCCCTTAAATCGGTGTCGCCCATCTGCGAATTTTCAATGGGAGACTCATCGAGGTGACAATCTCCATTCCTAGACAAATTCGACCCTGTCAACGGTCAGAAGGATGCGAATGGGCTGCTACATATACGAAATTTGATGTAAATTGCGGGGCAGAGAAAGACCTTGGCATCCTTAGTTATGCCACTTGCACTGGTCATTCTTCGGGAGGCCACGGGATTCGCCTCTTGGCGTCTTAGTTCGTGCGCCTTGTTGTGTAGGACGATCTTGGAAGACCCCGGAGACCCACACCGTCTCTACATCCGTCTTTCCGGCTACTAAGTAAGGGGACAGATCTGACAGGTAAGGAATAGCGTTAGGTCATTTTTGGGGGCTAAACCTCATTCACAACAGTCATCACGTACAAGCAACTGTACACCACGTTCTTGGGGGTTGACTACTGTGTGAGGGCACCGTGTATATCTTCGCACGTATACGGAATAGAAGCGAAGCCAGGTAAAAGCCCGATTTCGCAGAACATAGTGTACTCATTGAATGCGTGTCTTCCTCGGCGGTGATAGTGTTGTCTTGATCTGCCCAATTCCCTCCAGTTAATGGCTCATAAGCAACGTTGATACTCAAAAACCGGATCTGAACAACGTTGATTAGGTCCGACCCCACACCTGCCTGAAGCAGGGCTTTCTGGCTTTCACAGCGATACCTAAGTACCTAGGTAAGTAGGTAGTCACATGAGCAGAATCACATTAGGTAGGCAATTTAATAAGGACCCTAAAGCTGTGAGTCACAATTTGTTGGTCTTCCTCGTATAACAACTTCGCCGGCCTTGTAGTTGACGGAACCGTCAGGAGCGATTCTCGCTAGCCTTGTCTGTGCGCCTGTCCCAAGGCTTTGGTCTTATGTCATAGTCTCAGTTGGTTTATTCTTTAATTCTATCAGTATTAGGGGTTGTTTTGTTTGAGTTTTCTCTTCCAGAAAAATGAACTCTTGGATCTTTGAGTGTTTCCTAGTTAATGACTTCCATCAAGGTATGGCATATGCTTCGGGTGGATGGGGACTAGAAACAAAACCCCCTGAAGCCTTCTTGTGTCTCTAGTAACGGCCGTTGCTGCCTTAAGTGATCCAAAAGAAGCTGCGGCGTGCCATTTTCTTATCCTAACTTCTCAGGAAGGTACACGACAATCCTCCACAAATCAGCCGCCTTGGTTCCGTTGCCGTTGTACAATCTTGCATCATTTTTCACCGCCTGTTCAAATTTGAAGCGACATTCACGCATGGCGCTGGTGATCTCCTTGTGAGTGTTCCTCGTGTCGATTTTACGATCACTTGATGGATTATTGTTTACCTCGGGCCACTCGCGATCCCTCCGTGAAACGAGAACACTGTTCCAAAGTTCGCGATACGCGGAAACAGATTGCACCAAAGTCAAAACCAGTCGAGCAGCACTGTCACCGTGGGCAAGGGTACAATTTCGAGATTCTAATAGCTCCGCTGTCAGTAAGAAAAGAGACAAGTTCGCATTGTATCGGGCACTTTCAAATGGAAGAATAGAAGGCTTGGTATGCGGTGTCCCAGCAAGCATTCACGAGCCGTCTTCGAGTGTCTGCCACGCAGCCACTGTAGCTCTCACCTACCTAGGTAACCTGTAGGACAAGCTTGTATTTGGTGTTATCCTAGAAGATCGGTAGGCATAGTAAAGTTGGGCAGGCGTCGAACCATGTCATTTATAAGGCTACTCCGCAGTGATGCGCAACCAGTCAGAATGCACATTGCACTGGCAGGGTATTATTACATGGATGTCTTACCCACAAAATTCTTGGGCAGACAGCGCGCCGCGCTAACTCAATTCCCCTGACTGCGGCTGAAGGAAGCATCCATCCTTCCGAGCCCCGTTTAGGCTGCAGACTTCAGCTTCGACTTCAAATGCTCAGTCTCAAGACTGTCTGATCTGTGGCTAACATTTGAATTGACAATTATCCAACCATTTCAGATCGGCCGTCATGAATCTCTCTCCTATGACCGAGCCCACATCATGGCTGAGCGGAAGAGGGGAGTACGCAAAGCTGGTCAACGCTCTCTGCGCATCGGATCCCCGACTGAGTCGTCGGGACCCCAAAAACATCAAGCAGAACATACCGTGGCCACACCGACACTGTCGAGTTGTATCGCTGCAAGCAAGTCCCAGTGGCCCCTTCGAATTGAACCAACCGATCTCGACGGCCCAAGATCTCAAAACCCAGCTAGAGACAAAGCCGGCTTCGGATGGTCAGCGAAGAATATTCATCATTGAGGCGCCGAGCCCAGATTACATTGACGCACTTGGATCTCACTACCAAATGTGCCCTTCCTTCTTCATGGAGCATCTGGCAACTGTGGTTTTCAATAATTCTACCAACGCCCTGAGCGATGGGCCCGTTCTTCCAACAGTGGCCATGACAAGAGAACATGTGACGCTCCCGTATTTCGAGCTGTGCTCTATCCCTAGCTCCGTTCAGAATACTTTCAAGCTGTTTTGTGCTGTCACAGGGAGGCACCTGGGTGTGACGCGCTACATGGGAAAGTTTTCGGATGCGGGAACCCTCCGTCGAAAGTGCTCAATATGGAAGAGAGATGGATCAAGTGGAAAGGGTTGGGATTGTAAGTGGTTTTATCAAGTATTCCTCCACCAGCCTTCCTATGACTCACCCTCCTAATTCCCAACGTTCCATGGAACAATGTATTATCGAGAACCTCCTATGAATTGCGATCGCACAGAGATGCAGTGGGGAGTTCAGCTTTAGGAAGCCCATCATGATGTATTGTCGTTGTCATGGGTTTAATGGGGGCATGCATATTTAGCGATAGTGTATGCAATGTTGAATTATATCGCTGACACTTGGGTTTATCGCAGGCGTGATTCTCACAGATCCGCCTCTGCTTCAAGTCGGCAAGGGCGGGGCCGGAGCTGTAGTTGCATTGCAGAAGCCCCCAAGCAAGTTTCAAGGGGGCTATGTGGACTTCATTCCACAATCAGAACGTACAAAGGCGTCTCATACGACGGGCCCGCGGCTTGACAGAGGGATGCCAGTGCGTACAAATCAGTCGGGTCCTCCCCGGACTTCGATGCTCAACGACATTTGCTTCTATCTTCAGGTGCATGAGAAGTCCTTTGACTTGGAAGACCCGGCTTCGATCAAGCTCATCGTTTCCAAAATCATCGCGAGTCAATACCTCAAGCAATCCGAGTATCTTGCAGCGGTGATCTCTCAATACCAATGGCAGATGTCCCGACAGGAGAGGCTGTCCATCGACGTCGCAGACGTCGAGGGCCAGTGGAGCGATTCCCAAGCCCTGGACAGGCGTATGAGCGAGTACTGCGAGTCACTGGCGTGGAACATGATGCAGCTGGGTATACCCTTTGAAGAGCCTGACGTGAGAAGTGTAAAGGACTGGCGAGACATCAACGTGGACTACCAGTTCCTCTACAAGCAGTTCCAGGACACACGCCACCGGGCTGAGCAGCTCAGCTCCCTGATTACCGGCCTGGCGAGCATGGCTGGTAACAGGCAGTCCGTGTTTGAGGCCAAGAGCACTAAGACCCTGACTGTCCTGGGCCTGGTCTTTATACCCCTGGCCTACACGGCGAGCTTGTTCAGCATGGCCGAGCCATATGCCCCGGGCAACAGACTCTTTTGGGTGTATTTTGCCATATCCGTACCGCTCATTGGGCTGCTCATGGCAGTCTACTATCTTGTCGACAAGGGGCGGCAGGGGGGTTTGTGGCAATGGGTGACGCCTCATAGCAGCTAGGGCATCGAATGCGGACATTCTCTTGTTGAGAAGTCCCCGAGGGTCCTCACGACTTCATTTCATTAAACTGACTGGTCGCCCTTAGTCTCTGCCGGGACGACATTGTCCTGACATTCTAGCTGCGATCACGTCTTCGGAATATAGTCACTCGGGAATGCTTTTAGCCCGGTCTACAGTCTCTGGGGGCGACAATCATGAGTGGGGCGGCCTGCCCCTCGGAATTTTCATGAGCAAGATGCCAGGATACTGTCGGACATGTTTGTTAGACTACTACTGTGCTGCCCATCCGCCATTCTGGTTTTGCCATCGCTTGCTGCATAGAGACAACGACCGGGCGAGGAATCATCACAGGGCGTCTAGCTCAAATGGTAGAGCGCGCGCTTAGCATCATGTTCTCTTCTGTTCACTCGAAGAAAAAGAACTACAGTCTGCGCGAGGTACACGGTTCGATCCCGTGGTCGTCCATCAAGTCATTCTACAATCCTTCTTGCGCAAGCCATCCGGCTTCACGAGGAGGATTTCCCTTTTGCACAACCAGAATCTGCTCCTGAGATGTTCAGGGCCATTCCAGGAACTGCAGGGTTATGAGTGAGAAAAGCAATATCATACTAGTAGACGCCCACGCGCACATGTGATGCGCAGGCTGTGATCTTCTGGCCCGAAAACATTTTTGAGCACGCCCGTGTGTTTCTTGGCACTCGGGAAGTGGAGAAATGGTGCCCACAAATGTATGGCTGCCATGCTGTTGCAGCCCCTCGGACATATAACATGATGCGAACGTAGGCTGCTTCGAGGTCACATCTCCGAGACGATCTCCAGGCAACGCGGGTAAGTGGTGGCGGCGTATCCGAACATCGGCTGACGAGTCACGACGCCCGGGACTAACAGCAATCCCATCAGGCCCATCTGATAATGTGATAAGATCAAGAAAAAAAATCCCTCCTGTGCCGCACCACGCTACCGAGCGCTAGGGCGCCACACAGACCGGCTGATTATCGAGATAAGATTTTTTTCATCGGGTCTGGGCCGAGCTTGAAAGTTGAACGTGCATGATGCGGGCTTGTTCCTGCTTCAAGACTGGTGCTTGTCGCTTAGAGATGCGCTTGCGGGGATTCCGATCCTACAGGAGCATTTTCGTCTCATACTCGGACCGAGATGGTGGTCTAGAAAGTGCAGAATGCACATGCAATGTCCTTGGAACGGCGTGGGCAGTTAGGTCGTACAAGTCACCTCCAGGGGCTGGGCAGTGGCGTTGGGGTCCTTTTGATTCCGCGGTGTGGGATGGACCCTTGGGTCCCTACGATTCGCCTACTCGCTACCCAGGTAGGTATATAAGGCCGAAGTAACCATGCGTTGCGGTGTTCAGGAACCCCCGTAGTGCTCAAGTACTTATTTGTACGACGTATCTTCACCATGGGCTTCTCCTTCCGTGGCCTTACCTCCAACGCCTTGGTGTCCACCGGCGCCAACACTGAGGTCGATGCTAAGGATGTTGCTGACGTCCCCGCCTCGGTCCAGGGTCACACGAGCCTCGATGTTCCCCGCCCTGACGAGAAGCTCGGCACGCCGCGTACCACTGGGCTGCCCGAAGACTCTGATGAGGACCTGAACCAGGTCGACAAGACTGCCGAGCATGGAGTCCAGGCGGTCCAGGCCGCGACCCAGGTTTGGAGCAAGAGGGATAAGATCGTGGCATTCGTCTCGTAAGTGTCGACATGTACCAAGAGGAGACAGAGAGCCGGAAGAGATGTGAAGGAACATTTGAAGGCGGTCGCTAATTGCGGGCGGATGCAGGATGTGGTTGATCACCTTCTTCATGTCCTTCTGCTCGAGTTCCGTCTTCACCCTGACGGTCTACGTTACCAGCGACTTCCAGAAGCATTCGCTCACGGCCCTGACTGGCGTTATCTCCTCGCTCGTGGCTGGCATCTGGAAGCTGCCGTATGCAAAAATTATGAACATTTGGGGCCGTCCAAAGGCGCTGACCATCGGCGTAACCTCCTACACCGTTGGTCTGATCATGATGGCCTCGTGCCGGAATGTGCAGACGTATTGTGCCGCGATGACATTCTATTATATGGGATATAACATGATAGACTTCTCCATCACCGTCTTCATCGCCGACTCAACCAAGCTCAAGAACCGAGGATTATTCATCGCCTACGCGTCTTCCCCCTGGCTGATCACTACCTGGATTTATGGCTACGGGGTGAACAGCGTCATTGCTGTAGATGGCATCGGCTTCAGGTGGTTCTTCGGGATCGTCGCGATCCTCGCCCCCTTTGTGTGCTCCCCACTGTTGGCCATCTTCTATCTCAACGAGGCCAAGGCGCGGAAGCAAGGTCTCATCCCGCCCAACCCCAGCCGAGGGACCGCTCGCCAGACCCTGGTCTACTACCTGAAGGAGTTCGACGTCGTTGGCCTTCTGATCTTGGCGCTTGGCCTGTCGCTCTTCCTACTTAGCTTCAACATCTACTCCTACCAGCCCGCGCAATGGAAGTCGCCGCTCATCATCTGCTTCATCATCTTCGGAGCCCTTCTGATCATCGCCTTTGGCCTGTGGGAGAAGTACGGTGCCCCGGTCACCTTTATCCCGTGGCACTTGTTGAAGAACAGAACCGTTATCTTCACATATACCATGGCTGGGTCGCTCTACATTGGCTGGTAAGCAATTCTGAAAACGTTTTGATATTTCAAGACCGCATCTATCCCATCTGTATCATGTGCTTGATCATTTCACCGGTCTACGTGTTCTGGCACAGGCCTTGAATATGCCCTCATCACCCTCTCATCCCAAGTCAAATTGGCCTTGGTGTTTTTTCCAGCTAACCGTTGATGCTGCAGGTATGTCTGGGACTCATACTTCTACTCACTTTTGACCGTCATGTTCAACCAGCCAACCGTCTATGCCACGTATATCTCAAACATATACACCATGGGCAGCTGCTTCATCTGCCTGGTCTACGGCTTGGCGCTGCGCCACTACGGAAAGCTCAAGATCTACTCGCTATTCTGGGGTGTACCGCTCACCATGCTCGGTGTTGGTCTGATGATCATGTTCCGCCAGCCCAATGTCAACATCGGCTACATTGTCATGTGTCAGATCTTCATCGCGTTCGGTGGTGGTGTCCTCGTTATTTCAGAGCAGACGACGCTTATGGCTGTGTCCAAGCAGCAAGACTTCCCCGCCCTGTTGGCTGTCGAGGCCATGATCATCGCTATTGGCAGCGCCATCGGCTCAACTATCGCCGGAGCCATGTGGACCGGTATCTTCCCTGCTCGCCTGGCTGCCAACCTCCCAGCTGAGGAGATTGGCAACCTCACGCTTATCTATGGCGACATTCTAGTACAGCAGAGCTACGCTTGGGGCACACCGGCGCGAGATGCCATCAATCTTAGCTACGGCCAGACTCAACGTTATATGCTCATCGCAGCTACGTGCATCTACTCGGTCACCATTTTCAGTGTCGCTCTTTGGGAGAATGTCGATGTTAGGAAGATGAAGCAGCGCACATTCGGTCTCATCTGAGGCAAAAAACAAGCATATTCGTTTGAGTGGCTGAGAACGCCCCAAGAGCTTTCGCAAGAGTCATTGTGGGGCCCAACTTATCTTGTCGATAATCTAGGACAGCAGGACGACAGATACTAGGCAGTCCTGTTATCCACTGAATTAATACCTCGTTTATACTACGTTGCCTTCTGGATACACCTTTCACTATACGTGATTCCTAGTGAATTGTACACGTAAACAATCATCACGTCACGAGAATACCTCCCGAGGTCGCCGGGCACCACTGGCATGCCTCTACAGATCATGCACACCCAACACTCCCACTCAAGTGCTGCCAATGAAGATGCTGGCCACAATAAATGACCAAACTTTTTCGTCCTTTCTTATCCCATTTCTCATCAAATATATCTAGGTTCTAGCCAAATTCGTGCGAAAGCAAACGAGATCTAACCAGCTTCTGCTCATCAATTGATGAGAATCGGCTCTGCCCAGGTGAGTGAGCAAGGTAACTCGAAAATTGCCAACTTGAGACGATCAACCTTGTTCACTCATTCCTGGTTATCCTTAATGAGGCACTAGTCACATTTCTGCATATACAGTAGCACACTCATGAACAAGTCCCAATCAGGTAGATTTCGACGGATCCCGTGCAAGTTTTGTGCGACTGGTTGATCGCACAGCGGGAATTTCTGCAGAATGAGGCCAACAAGGTGTAATTGCGAGAGTAAATGAGAGAATTCAAAATCACAATCATGATTCGCCGATATATAACGGTTGGGATGCTCCACTGGTGAGTTGGCGACGTCGAGCCACTCCGAAGAGTACCTAGGTAGAGCCCTGCACTGGGTATGCCTCAAGATCAATGGCTGTTCGACCTGTGCGGCTTTCATAATTGCCTTCAAATGACAAAGACCTCATTACGATTAGTGGTCCACATGCTTAGCACACTCGATCTTTTTGGCGACTCTGTAAACACAGAGATTGTGGTATTTAACAGAACACTCACTCACTTCAGACCAAGCGGGGCTTTACCCAGTCTGCTTCCTTGTTTTGAGGCTTACCCAGCACTGACAGATCACTCCTGGCTGATTATTGAAGCTCGACTGCTTCAGGAGTGAAATACACAGCTGCTGGAATCATCCCGAGGCCCATGATAGGTTGCTCTTACAGTTTTGAACCCCCCACGCAGAGGACAGTTCAGGCTTTGCTTGGCGTGAACCATGCGGTGATTTTGGCGGAGACTAAAGATGCTAGCCCACTTGTCATTCGTCACCGTGCTACGTCGTGTCCGATGCCGCACAGCACGATGACTTCATGGAAATGTATAAAAATGATTTCCCCTCCCCTCCTCCATCTCTTTGGAGCTTCCCCACCTCGCATTCTCAAGCTCCACGATTCTCATTCCAACTACCAACGAAACATCATAGAGAGTACGGTGTTCCTCTTCAGGAAGCATGATATCTCTCGCCATGGATTCATCCAGGTCAAGGTAACTAGGTGATAAGTACACATCCGGGTGTTCGGCTCTTTCTGGTGCGAAACTGTGCTGCATTGGCCTTGTCCACGGGGTTGACATTATGTTGAACTCCGCATTCAAGGTGAATCAGCTTCTATTTCAAACCGGGGGAGTCGATCTGAGAAATACCGGTTGAACTTGAACTGGATAATACCAGCGAAAGGACATGTGGACCTTAATCCTCCCCTAGGTTCCCATGGCATAGATCAGACTGACCGTTCTAGCTTTCCGTCCTACCCGGAACACTTGCAAGATGTCGACTGACAAGATCACCTTCCTCACCAACTGGTAGGACAATCTGAAAGTAACCTTCCAGCAGCTTTTTGATAACATGGTGCTGCTTTAGGCACGCCACACCTTACCACGCGCCACTGTATCTTGCCCAGGCAAAGGGCTTCTTCAAGGAAGAGGGCATCAAGGTCGCACTCCTTGAGCCCAACGACCCTAGTGTTAGTCCACGCGCTGGACATGGTACTCTCTCATATATACTCACCACAGTCTCTCCAGGATGTCACCGAGATCATCGGATCCGGCAAGGTAGACCTTGGCTTCAAGGCTATGATCCACACCCTTGCAGTATGTTGGCCCCAATTGCCATGGTGGACGATAACTTGCTCACGAACATGCACAGGCCAAAGCTCGCGGATTCCCGGTCACGTCTATTGGAAGTCTTCTTGACGAACCGTTCACCGGCGTCGTTTACCTCAAATCGTCCGGCATCACCACCGACTTCCAGACCCTCAAGGGCAAGCGCATCGGCTACGTGGGCGAGTTTGGAAAGATCCAGATCGACGAGCTGACGTCCCACTACGGGATGACCCCCTCGGACTACACCGCGGTCCGTTGTGGTATGAACGTGTCCAAGGCCATCATCAAGGGCGAGATCGATGCCGGCATCGGCCTGGAGAACGTGCAGATGGTCGAGCTCGAGGAGTGGCTTGCCGTGCAGGGCCGACCCAAGACCGACGTCCAGATGCTTCGCATCGACCAGCTCGCCGAGCTGGGCTGCTGCTGCTTCTGCTCCATCCTCTACATAGGCAACGACAAGTTCATCAAAGAGAAGCCGGACGAGGTCCGCGCCTTCCTGCGCGCCGTCAAGCGGGCCACCGACTTCGTGCTCGAGCAGCCCGAGAAGGCGTGGCTCGAGTACGTCGACTTCAAGCCGCTCATGGGTACGAAGCTCAACCGCAAGATCTTCGAGAGGAGCTTCGCGTACTTCTCCAAGGACCTCAAGAACGTCCAGCGCGACTGGCAGAAGGTCACCAAATACGGGAAGCGGCTTGGCGTTCTGAGTGAGGACTTTGAGCCCAACTACACCAACGAATACCTCGAGTGGACCCTGGCGGGCGAGTCGCAGGATCCTCTCGGTGATCAGAAGCGCATGGCGGAGCTGCAGAGCAACGTTGCGGACAAAGGTGGTTTCCGCCGTCTTCAAGTCGAGGAGATTCAAGTTTAAGTCCAAGGGCATCATAGCCATGCACTCAATGCGTGCTGGAACTGTAGGCCTCTGTTCCACGGATTTTTACATGTGGGCGCACACTCATTTTGCACGAATCAAATGTGCCATTCTATCTTTTTAAACTAGCACAATGAAACCCAGTTGGCCACCTCAACTCCTTAATAGGAAGTTCCTCACTGGTATTCTTCTTATTCCTCGGCGCTGTTAAGTCCTCATCGCAGAGATCAAGACTTGCTTTAGGGACTGCGATTTAACTCCTTGGCCTATTCATTCGGGACATGTCTTCGTTTTGCTGATTCTGGACATGATTAATAGTGTATTTTGTCTCGTGGACATTTCCTATCACATGAGTGGTCAGATCCATCGAAATCGGAAGGCTTTGTTTCTGATTTGGGTCTGAAATCGTGGCCTAATTTTAGAGATGCCGGAAAGTTCGCTGGTCCGACCGACTTTGATGTCCGTGTCATGGTCAAATTAGAGCAACTCAACACAAGTCAGCTCTGCCCTATTTTTAATTGTCTTTCCATATAAAACTCTCACCCATTGGCATCCGTGGTCATGTGGGTCTTATAGAGTTCCGGCTCGGGAAGCACGGCATGAATGTCGGGTTGGGCGTCCAGGGTGGTTGAGTCGCCATTTGAGAACCACATTATCGGAATTACATGCAAGGTTCTCCCATGGAAACCAGACCGGTTTGTTCTATCGTATTTCTGTACTCGGATTTGCCCCACCAGGCCCACCTTTGGAATGCCAACATGCTCCGATAATCCGGAGGATGTGATGATCAACAGCGCGGATCCACTGATGTTCTCGTGCCCAGACTGATGATACTACGCAACGTCATTGCAGGTGAGGGGGTACCTAGGTATCAGCCAGCCTTGATTTTTCACTGCAAAACCATCCAGCACTGTATACTTGCTTGTCCTGCTTATATCAAGTCCGTCCCAGTCCTTCGGATATGGATTCACCCATGAAGACGGCCATGACTGGCGGGCAGGTGGGTACTCCGTCACCGAGTCGAGACCGAAAAACCTGAATCATCTTGACCAGACTCAGCAGAACCACGGCACGCAAAATCCAAGAAGTGTAAATTGAGTAGGCATGTGCCTGTATGGATGATTTTAAGCCACAATTGACCTCAGGTCATGACACGTATCGCATCTCAAGTCACGTCGTATTAGGTTCCAAGGTTGCCATAGAGTAAGGCCAACTCAATAAGCTTCTAATTCGCCTGTTATTCACATTGTAGGGGCTCTTTCAACTACAACAGCCAACCAAAATGATGTAGTACAATGATGTTCTTCTTCCCTACTTAAGCAATTGTAGAAATCTCGAGATTCTAATAAAGAGTCCTGTTTGCCTGCAGCTAGACAAGCTGAGCGTTGAGTTCAAGAAAATGCACATTTGTATTAAATCAATTATCACGGATGCATTGCACTAGATCAATTTTTTTTTCTTGACGCTTTTGAATTAACTAAGACTAAGAGCTTATGTATTTCCAACTCCAATCTCATCACAAGAGACCCGTTATTCAAATCAAATTTCGAACTCATCCAACGTTCCTCATAATGCCATAACTAGGTGTGCTTAGATCTTGCTGGGGGTGTAGCTCTTGTCGGGGGTGACGACGTTGCCAGAGGCAACCTCGACGTCCCTGTAGGCAGGGTAGACGATCAGGCTCTGAGCGTAGTCGACAACAGCGAAGGTGGTGAACTCGTTGCCGGGGCCGAACTGGTCTGACCAGCCGGAGGTGACGGTGTAAGCACCACAGGTGGCTGGGCCGCCGTTGAGCGTCGAGGACTTGGCTCCCTTGACGACCTCGGTGCAAGGTGTTGTGGTCACACCGTTGTTGATGCCGAAGGTCCAGGTAGTGACGGTGTTGTCGGCGTTGACAGTGCGCTTGAAGTTGGTGATGGTCCAGGTGGTGGCCTGGGCCATCATGGAGACAGCCTCGGCCCTGGGCTCGAGGGGAGCAGCCATAGAGCCGACGGCGGCGAGGGCAGAGAGGAAGACGGTGGTGAACTGCATTTTGATTATGGAATTATGATTATTACTCAAAGAGAATGAGTTCTTGGAGGTGTGGTGAAAGGTTTGCAGAGTTGGTGTGATTGTGTGAATGGTGGATGAGGTAGAAGGCCGAATATGTCCCCTCAACAGAGCAGCCCTGACTTTATATAGAGATCATGACCTTAGTGGAGCATACATGTTGTCCAAGACATATCGTGACAGTAGCCTCAGACCGGGTGAGCGCACATGTGCTTACTACAAAGTACTACTACGTACCAGGGGTTGCCGTTACCTCCGCCTTCTCCGTTCTCCAACATCGTCATGGCTCGTAAAAACCACCGAGTGATCCTCGTTAACATCTCCCCACTGAGCGAGATGTCAGCTGTTTGCGGAGGTATGGCTGGCAAGGTGGGTCAGGTGGCCGAGGAGAGGACACCCCAGGCTGCCATCGCGTACAGGGCCAACGGCAGTGTGCGTTCCTGGCGGCAGACGTTGAGCCTTGGATCGGCATGGCTCCGAGGACCCGAGCTCGTATTCAACCCTCCGGCTTCCGTGTGATGTGGAGTAGGGTGCCAACACTAGAGCCAAACCCGCCAATCCTACGTCAGATTTTGGGGAACTCCTCTGTTCTCGTATGTAAGCTTAATCTGGGTGGATCTTCGCCCCGTTGCTTGGCGCTCGGCTTGCTGGAAATAGGAGCAATGCGGAGCGGCGAGATCGAATCCTGGGGGCTGTGGTTCGGTTCCAACTTGAGGCTGCACGCCTGACCTTCACCGCGCTGCACGTCGTATTTCCTTTTTTCACAGATTGATGCAATAGTAAGCCTTATATCAACGAGCAAGAAACAGAACATATGAGGTGCATGAAACGTTCCATCCGACCACACCGTTCATAGGATGCCTAAAATGCATGTCTTTTGCTTCTGCATCAGTGCTCATGTAGGGACAGATGCCTAATGAGACTTTTGCTCAACAGATTCCATTGATCAGCAGGGGCTCATGCAGTATAGGCGTGTCTGTTAGCAAGGGGCTACTCGGGGTCATAGTCGTGTCTTTACCCACAGCACATGCGGGTGTTCCCATATGGCCACCAAGTGTTCATTGAGCCCCTCCCGTTCCCACTGCGTCTTTCGCCTCCACGATGCTGATGAGGTGCATAGCATCCCGACCACGCCTTACAGCCAGCGGGCATGACTTACGCCGTCACCAGTATCTGACAAGGTCTTAGCCACATCACGCCACGAAATCGGCTAAAGTGTCGCCGATGATGCGCACATAAGACCAGTTAGAAGCATGCGTGTGATGGGAAACTCGAGCCTCAAGCTGCATCAGGACCATTAGGAGATGTGGCGACCCTCAGCCACGTCCGAGTTTCGATCTCCACATCATTTCCCTCGGGGCTGCGATAATGTGAGCCGCGACAGCCTGTGGGCCATTTTGTGCCTCTTTGACACATATGTGTCGTCAAGACGACTCGAACCTGTCTTAGTCGTGTTTTCAAGGAGAGTTCGGTCTCAGCCCACGCGCACGAGCTAGGCGGAATCAACAAGTGGGAACGGTCGCCCTTGTGCGCAGAGCCTGAATGACACGTTGACCCGTGGACCTTGACCACTTGGGCAGAGCTGGCAGCTCCACATATGTACCTAGGTATGGGTCCTTGAATTCAATCCCAGTCTACTCGACGTGATGGCCATCCCGAGGTCTAGACATATGCATCTTCTCCCTAATCTTGCTGCTCGGGCAGTCGGGGATCCCCAGTGCTTTCATCGAGTACCTAAGTACTTTCCAAAGAAATTGCGCTGGCAGGGAACATTCGATTTATGCACTCACCCAACCCCTGAGCAGGATTATGTTGGTACCGCATTGAGTCGTGAGCTTGAGGTGTCCATAGGCACATTACATCCCGGCTTCTAATCCTAGTGGGTCAACAATTGCACTGCAAACTTGCTTTGGACTACCAAGGTTGTTGATGTTGCAGAAGAGGTAGTGGTAGGCGTGTCCTCAAATTGACAATCCAGCCGACTCGATGGCTATACACTCTTTACAAGAATGACTAGCACCAAGACGGTTTGCTGGAAATACTGAGGACATGATTTGTGGCACACAGCTGGATCATGCAATTGATTCACTTTGGTGGATCCACCTTGGTATTACGTGCAACGGCTTGTCAGCCTCACAAACGTTTTCGGCACGTTGGCTATAAATTACAGCAGGCCTGGCGGCAGGCAGAAACGCGAAAATGGCGCTGAAACATTGATGCATGTGGACGATTCGGGTGATCCTGCTTCCTCAATGTGGCTCGCGATTCATCTCGATTCGTGAGGATCCTGGCAGCGGTGGCCTTGAAGGATTGGGCCCGTGAGAGATGGACGTCAATAGTCGCTTGATATAAGCATTCTCACAAACTTCTCGCAATACTTCTTCACGGGTAGTCAGAGATCCGAGATCTTGATATTCCGACGACTACTCTGGCCCATGGAGGATTTCCACGCAGTGATAAGCTCGATGATGGCCAGCTGGCATCAATTGTCCCAGGTTTGGGTCCCATTGCTACCCTAGCATAAGATTAATGTCTTCTAGCTCCAACGCTTCCCAATCAGTCTTGTGGACTTGGCCTACTGCCAGCCGGTATGCCACTTTGTTGATCCACTCAACCCACAGTACTGTGTATTCCTCCCATTTCTTGATAGGGCCCGTGTACAATCGGAGGCCTTCATCAAAAGTCTTGTGATAGTAGCGTGTCCGGCAAATGGCCACTAACTCGACCTCAGCCGCTGCAGCCCACCCCTCGTCTGACCGAGGGAAACGTTGCAGCTGCTCCTTGTTGTGTAGTCTCAAAGTTCCAATGACCTTGTCTTCATTGCTGTAAATGGTGGCCCTGTTCCCCTCTCCCGCCTGAAAGGCAAAAACATGGGCACGATGGGTGGCACAGGAGAGATATGATGTTTGCTCCGGCATGAATGGTTGCGTCGACTCCTTGATGTCTGGCACGGGAAACGGCCAGTACCAGGGATGCTCCTGGTCATTGTTATCTGACATACTCTCATGCCGAAAGATGTATCTGTCACACCCATCGGGGTAAAGCAGTGCGTCATCCTTAAGCTTTCCCTCTCCTTGGTTAGCTGCCTCCGAGATGGCGTGTCGAGTCCAACCTGGAGGCAGAGGCTTTTCAGAGTCTTTGTAAACCTCGCGTGTTTCGAACCAAGAGCTTCTTATTCTTCGCTTCTCCAACGAGGTCGGGGAGTCGCAAGTATACCACTCAGTGATGGGAATTGTCTCTTTGATCCACCAAGCCCTCGGATTTGCGGGGCCAGCTTCATATTGTGAAATATCCACAAGGCCTTCCCATCCTACCCATGACCAAGACGGAAGTTTACAGGGACGTAGTTGGCCCAATTTAGGGTTATCAGAGGGTATTCGTCGTCGGAGATCAATGTGGTCCCAATGCGGCCGCCAACTCAGCGCCGCCTCGAAGAACATTTCCGGGATTCCACATAGAAATCCTCCTGTGAAACAACGGCTGAAGACGGTAAGTAGGCCGAATATTGCTGGGAGAGCATCCTCGTCATATGTCAGTGCTCTTTCATTGTAATTGCCGAGTAGGTTTCCAAGGGACAGAAGATTCGGCATGCCGCGCATAATTTCTCCCAAACGGGGATTGATGTATTTATCAGCTTCCACTCCGAGATGTAGATGCTCTTGCCACACACTGCGTTGACACATCCAGTGTACGGACCCTTTGCTGAAGATAAGGCGTTTGGATGCCATTTCGAATTCTTGATAGGTCCACCCCCGCTCGTGGTAGTCGCCCCAATTGCTGAATTCGAAGTAGCTATGTTTGTCATGAACAAAGTTTTCCTCGCCGAACGGGATGAGCTGATCGGGGCGATTTCTACCGCGCGAGACGCCTTGCAAGCCTGGGAGACCTTCTTCAGCATCGACATCAAAGACCACGATGGTCAATGAGGCATTTGCATATATAGCTCCCATGAGTTCAAGTTGCCTTGTGCTCTCAGATACCCGGGAATGATCGATGCAGAGAACATCAACCCAAAGATACCTCTCGCCAATCATGGACGCCAGTGAGATAACATGCCGAACTATAGGCGCAAGCTGTGAACAAATGGAGGGATCGTCAAGCCCGTTACGCCTCCGGAGTTTGGCCATGGTATCCTGCTGTATCTCCAGGCCGCGGGCCTTTCCCCACCGATAGCTCAGTGTCACGTATGATGCGCAGTCCTTGCCAGGCACTAAACACCTATTCTCTGTGTCAACGACCCAGGCTGGACGTGCTGGCCATATCTTTGTTGGATTTTCGCAACTTGCTCCATGCAATGACGCGCATTCGTTTCGCCAGTGGTTCACCGCGCTGATGTCAAGCCACTTAGGGTCCAAGGCACGAGCGATACCTGGATGGTGCTGGACAGATTCTCTCCGCATTAGCAATAGATCGGCGTACAGCCCACCGTATTCTAATGATTGTGTGAACGTAAGGGAGCCAGGTCGACGGATTCTGATGCCGAGATCTTTTCTGTCCGGTCGGGTATTGAAGGGACTAGCTGGGTCCTTCTCGTTGCAATATCTCTGGAACCATTCGACTAAATGCTTGTGCCTTATACATCCGGTAGATAAAGCATCTTCGAACGAGCCTAGTTTGATTTCTGGGTCTGTTCTATTTCCATCGGGTCCCGAAAGGCGACTCCAGATCGCGTCGCAAATTTCGCAGTCCAAGACCGCATCCAAACTGGTAGATTGTGTCACCGGGTTTTGTTCCATGATTCACGAAAGGCTTGATTGCATTCATTAGTTTAGATTGCCACCTACATCGTCTTCAAACTGGGTAGAGTGGAAAGGGCACTTGCCCTCTCATCGTTGTGTTTGGGGGACTTGCCTCGGCGAGTCCTTTGAAGGCCTGCTCGACGATGAAACCGATAAGTGATTTGAGAGGTGCGGTCAATTCACGGACGGGTTGGGCGACGCTCGAGTGATGTCAGAAGCTGTCCGTGAAACCGGTGCCTGCTTACCCCTCAAGATGCTTAATCAGACAGGCAGCCGCGAGTGGCGAACCAATCACAGAATCAAAGGAGCTAACAGTGCCTGCCTCGGTGCCGTAGGAGATGCCCGTAGCCCAATTCAGACCCCTTTCTTATGAGTGCTCGGAAAGATGCCGTAATAGGTCCCCGAACCGTAAGCAAAACCATACCTAGGTACCTAGGTAAGCAGGCAGAAATAGTCTATTTCTGTTGGTCGGACTCTCAAGTCTATCCTAAGTATTTGCCTTCTTCATACCTTTCTTCTCTTCAACCATAGGAACACCAGGATATTTCTGGAGGGCCTTTCCAGAGAACATGGATGAAGAGTTCAATGTAAAGAAACACTCCTAGACATAGATTAGATCCATAAAGAAGGTAAAGAAGTTCTCACTAAAACAAACCGTCGTTCAATTCTGCCTCGGCTAGACGGTATGCCGAAGCCTGATTGGCTGGGAGGAGGCTGCTCACAGTTGGCAACTTACTTACGATTGGTCCTCAGCTTATAATTAGCTATTCTATTACCGTATCTTTCCCTGCTAACATTTATTTTCACTCACCGGCTTCCACCACGGTGGTTATATCTTCCAGGGATACATAAGCCCGCTGCAAGGAGACCCATAGGTGACGAGCAGGAGAGGTAATTGCATTCACTGCCTTTCGATTCTAAAATAAGATAGCCTCGCCACTGAGTCAGAACTTTCATCCATTGTACTGACGTCTCCACAGAGCACATATTTAGTCATCCGGACTCAAAAGAACTTTTCTCGCCGCTTGAATGTAATAACATTGACATTGATAAATACTCAAGACCCAGAACGTAGTCCGAAGACTGGCCTGTTTGGGTTTCTACATGAATGTCAAACTTGTGGCCAACTTCAAACCGTGAGACATCTAACGTCCCCGTCTATGCACAACACAGGTGCCATCTCCCTTGTGTTATTTGTGCCCATGTGTGTTTGAACCAAACCTCAGGCGTATCCACAGCTTCCATTCATACCCCAGTACACCTGGGACTTGGCGTCTTTCAGTGTCAGGCGCTGCATGAGCTCATGTGGCTCGAGGGTTGTCCGATGACCCGGCAGCAGCTTACATTGGGGGACATTCTTCTTGCCCATGAATACGTAGGTATGGCCTTGAAGGAGCAACTCATTGGGTCCGTCGCCTAAAAATGTTGTTATGTGCCAGTCTGTCGGAAGGTAACGACCAGTCTTTCTCCCCGTCTTGGTGCGCTGCGTGAACGTATTGTGTTGCTCTTTTCTGATGATGACACATTTCATCCCAAGTCGTTTAGCTTCTTTTATGACGATGTCCTCGCATCTTTTTACAGAAATGAAAGAAAGCTCGAGATATTTGGAAGTTGAAGTCCAGTAGACATCAATTTCACTGACATATGGCTGGTCTCCACAAACGCATGGAGGCCCTGCATAACACTCTCGGCAAGTTGGCTTGCCGCGTGTAAGACTAGGCAATGCTGGCAGTTCACCGGGCTTCAGGGGTACACGACATGCTTTTGATCTGTCGATAACTGTAGACCCTTCGATAAATTGAGCGTCTGGCCTGGAGACCTTTAACGAGAGGTTTGTGTCGTTAGTAAGCGGTTTTGGAGCCGATGTGCTTTTGAGTCCCATTGTAATAACACACAAAGTATGGGTCTAATAAGTCGTGAAATCAGTTAATTTTGAAGGGTTGGGACTTCTAAGCTGGTCGTTCCCTTTTTGATTCTGGATCATTTTCATTTGCTCGCTACACGGCCAACCGGCTTGCTATGTATGTTGAGAGACTCCAGAGCACCGCCAGTTGACGACAGCAGTAGTCCTTTCAAAGCATTCACCGGCCATTCTTACTAGCTCCAAGAATGGAAACTCTCCAATACAAATCTGGAAAGACCTTTCACATGGAGAACATCTAATCTCTGACACGTCTTTGGTCTTTGGGTACGAGGGCGGCTGGGGCGGCGCCCGGAAGTCCCAGCCGCCGCTCTTTCGCTGCCACACGAACGAAAGCCTCACTTATTCACTGTAGTACCAAGAAACCAATAGTGTAATATTGCTTGTACTATATTTGCAATTCGACTCTCACTTGTGCCTATGGCTGCGTTGGATACTGCCGAAAAAGCCAATTCCTTCATTGTTCACGGACTTATGCAATCCGTCCCGACCATAGGATAATGAAACATGCCCGTTCCTTTGTTCAGGACAAGGAGGAGCTTCCGGAGCGGGATAAGATTATGTTAAAGTATCTGTAATTTGCCTTCTATCTAAAAGTCGAAAACCTAGTTAGTCCCGATCTTCTACCTTCTAGCTTCCGGATATGAACTGAAATCCTTGAAGACCAACAGCTCAGACTTGCCGCACGACTCGGAGACCGTTCTTTCACTAAACGACAAGTTCAAGGACAGTCATCTTCGAAGTTATCCCCTGAAGTCGGTATGGAGAGCGCTGCACCTGTCTATGCTGAGTATTCCGGCCTTGACGACCACTCAATTGAAGACGTCGACGACTATGCCCCTGGAGGTTTGCACCCAACCCATTTAGGAGACCTACTAGGGGACGGTCGATATAAGGTTATCCTAAAACTCGGCCACGGAGGCTACGGCACGGTTTGGCTATGCCGTGACGTCAAGGAGGGGACATGGAGGGCTGTAAAAATCCTCAAGGCCTCAAACTCATCAGAAGACTGTCCAGATCTAAGAATTCAATCTGCATTCTCCAACATAGACCATTCGCAGAAAGATGTCAGGAATTGCCGTGTAGCCCTCGCTCTTGGTCATTTCTGGACGAACGGGCCCAATGGTACGCATCTATGCATCGTAATGCCCTTGTTGGGACCTAATCTGGACAATGCGGCACAGTTGTATCTATACGATGAGGCACCATTGGTGCGAATCTGTTTTCAATTGGTCCAGGCTATGAGCTTCCTTCACAACAAGGGTGTATGCCACGGCGACTTCCGTCCGCACAACGCATGTTTCACTCTCAAGGACATCGATAATCTTGAGGAAGATGACATTATCCAGGCTTTTGGCAAACCAAAGCTGATAGGCCTAGTGGAAGATGAAGAGTTCGACGCGGTTGATTACGGTGACACTGAATCGGACGCATTCAGCGATGAAGAATCTCACGAGAGCGTACGTTCAGACGAAACAAAGATGGCTGGCAACGCGGCTAGCCACTATAAGAAGCCTCAAGCGCACCGTCCGAGATATTTGGTCGCAACATCTTGTATCAACCCGAAATCCCCGTACGTTTCAAATGAAGTCGCTGTCATCGACTTCGGAGTGTCATTCCTCGTCTCTGAGCCTCCGGAAGAATCTATGATCCCACCTCATTATGGCGCACCTGAGACATTTATCGACAAGTGTGGGGACCTCGGTTTTGGGAGCGACCTGTGGGCACTCGGATGCACAATCTGCGAGATTAGAGTGGGCTGCGAACCATTTTTTGACGTCGGAGACATCTGGCATCTAATGAAGTATTGGGAAAATCTCAACGGTCCTTTGCCAGAACCCTACAGATCATCTCTGGCAGAGGACCTCGAAATACCCGAGGACCCTGAGCAATACGTGTCGACTGATTCGGAAGAGATCGAGGAGCTTGCGCAGGAGCATCTGCGTAGAACAGGGGTCACTGGCTCTTTACACAACATCCTCCTAGTTGAGCGGCGATTCCAGGTTCCGCTGCGAGAAGGCGAGGAACCATCGCCGCCGCCACCCCCTACAAGCAGCACAAGAGGGCGCATGCAAGTAATATCAGGTCACAAGATTGTTGCGGCCGAGATGACTCGGCGGGAGGCATCAGAACTCATGGAACTGTTCAAAAGAATCTTCGCATGGAAGGCTTCAGAGCGCATCTCAGCGTCCGAGATACTGGATCTGCCGTACTTTGCAGCTTGCCGGGCGGAAACCGAGGGAGCTTCGGAATCACAGCAGATGTCTGGAGAAAATGCAGATGTGGATTCGGCTTCGCAGGCCGGGGCAGACGCCACAGTGTCCTGGCATGGGGACAGCGGTAACGAGGCGTTGGTACCACTCGGTGGGATTGGTCCACTTCTTGCACTTTTGCGCGAGTTACTTCGGCCATGTGGTCTGTAGACACAGTTCAAATGTTGTACATGAGATGTTTGTGATAATTGCATATTGACAAAAGTACGATACAATCGCAGTGAGACAACACTTGGGGCAAAAATTCTGGTTTGCAATGTATGGCTACTCGCCGGAATCCATTTGATTAATAGGTTTGAAACTTGGACAGAATTGTTATTGATGTTGGTACTTTATTCGGTTGTTGTCTTGATTCCGGGTTCTTCTGGGCGAGGTATTTCGGCACGAACTATCCCGCGTTACGCGCCTCCCGAGGTCCATGTTCCCGATCGCGAGGCCTCGAGCGAACAACAGCAAGGCCAGTCTCGTCCCCGCGGCGATCAACAAATGTCACCCCGGCTGTTTTGGTGCTTCAGTTGAACCAAGATGCAGTCCGATTCGCGCGAAATTTTCCACAGGGCATAACGTAGAAATACTATTTCTATTTGTAAAGCATGAAAAGCGAGGCCAGCGAGGCCAAGCCGACTCGGCCCCTCATGTACCGAATCATGGTCCAGGTTCATTCCATATAAACGATCGAAGTCTCCAATAATAATCTCTAATATAGGTTCGGGGCACAATTGGTCAACCTCCTTCTTGACTACGTACCTAGGCAGGTAAGCAGGTGGAGCCCAATTCCAAGATGCTCAGCACCTCTGCCACCGCGCTTCTCGCCTTGTTGTCAGGTGTCACCGCAGCCTCGTCGCTTGCGAGACAGGCAAAGACGTGCACCGTCAAAGCTGGCGGGAGCAATGCGACTGATGATGCTCCTGCTATCCTTGAGGCGTTCCGGGAGTGCGGTCAAGATGCCACAGTCGTCTTCGAGCCTGCGACGTACCACATCAACTCAGTGATGAATGTCACTTGGTTGCGGAATGTCAAGATTGACCTCCAGGGAACCCTCTCGGTGCGTTGTCTCCCATCATACAAACTCGAACGGTGCTGATCGTGCACAACAGTGGGGAACAGATATCTCATACTGGCTGAACAACTCGCTACCAGTGGGCTATCAGAACCAGTCGACAGCCTTCATCTTGGGCGGGGATGGGATCACTCTAGACGGGCATGGGCACGGCACCTTCGATGGGAATGGCGACGACTGGTACCGCTTCATTCGACAGCAGCCCAACACGTCCAACTACCCAGGTCGGCCACACGCCATCACATTCAATGGTCTTACAAACTCGGTGATTCGGGGCGTGAGGTTCTTGAGGAGCCAGATGTGGTATGCATTCAGTCCTGTCCAACCTGCCGCTCGAACACGTAGCTGAGATGATTCCTGTGTCAGGACAATGTCAATCATCCACAGCCACAACAACACGCTTGACAGCATTTTCATCAACAACACTGGAAATACCGTGCAGAGCTGTGAGTGGCGTTAACTAAGGATCAGTGATGTGTGCGTGACCGAGACAGGTTGCTAACAGGCACAGCGAATACTGACGGCGCCGATACCTTTTATTCGTCAAATATCCGATTCAACAACTGGACGGTCTACAACGGGGACGACAGCATTTCAATGAAAGCGAACAGCACCGACATCAGTGTCACAAACTCCAAGTTCTACAATGGCTTGGGCATCGCTTTGGGCAGCATCGGGCAGTACAAAGGCGTCTTTGAGACGATGGAGAGGTTGCATTTTGAGAACATATCCTACTTCAACACGCTGCACGCAGTAAGTTGAATCTAGGGCATATTAGCAAAGGACACCATCACTCACACAGCCGATAGGTCTATGTCAAAACCTGGACGAATGACCAAAACGGGTACCCGCCCAATGGAGGAGGTGGTGGCCTTGGCTGTGAGTGCTCTTCCCACGTTCTCTTGAAGATCCGAGAACACTATCTCATGCTTCCTACCTCAGATGCATCGAACGTCGTAGCCAAAAACATCGAGATGGAAGGCATGCGCGGCGGCGCCTTCACAATCTCCCAGTGCACCCGCTTCTCAGGAGCACCCGGGACGGGCAACTGCACAAACTCGCAGTTCCAGGTGCGGGACCTGGAGGTCCGGAACGCCCGGGGAACCACAAAGGACAAGAGGGTCGCCAGCTTCCAGTGCAGTGCCGTGGCACCGTGTACCGATATCAGCCTGCACGACATCGACGTGAGGTTCAGCAACGGAACAGCTGCGCCGGACTACCTCTGTGGCAACGTTGTGAACCCACAGGGGTTCACTTGTACTGGACCGCCCTGCGTTGGTGGGAGTGCGACCGGAGGATGTTGAGGCCTTGCCTTCCCTTGGAGACTCAAGTTCAGGTCAACACACTGTAAATACCAAACACACCACGCATCAATTGACTGCCCAACTAGGTACCCTAGGGTACCGAGGTATCCTAATTATGATGTCCTCTGTGCTTAATTCCTCCGTATAATGTGAAAAACCGTCGCCAGAAGCAACAAGGCAGCTGTAAGACTCGCAGGGTGAAGAAGGAATGACTAGATGACGCTGCGGAATTGTTCAGGTCTCGTTCGGCACGGTCAAGAAGTGGCGATTGATGATGTTGAGAACACGTACCTAACTAAGGAGCGCCAGCCCAAGAGACCAGTCCGCGTCGTATGGAAGGATCGAAGGAAGTTACCTGCCCCGATCGAGCTTTTGGGAAGGCATTGTGAGTTCTGGGGGGGGGGGTCAAGATTGGTGTGATTTCATTGGGGTTCCTGATTGGGAGACGGTCCCAAATTCAACGTCAACATCCCGCAATTTTCCATGCTTCCCAACACTCGTTATAACTTCGGTATCCTTTAGGATTCCAGTATCCGAGCCCGACCGGACCAGGCTGATCGTCGTCTATAACTGTACCGTCATTACTACTTCTCAATCTTACATCCAGACGCCGCTGGAAATCTTCTTGCAGAAACACAACCGACGCCATGCCGCTCAAACGAGGCAGGCGACCCGACTTCTTTCGACACCTCTACGACGAGACGCCCATAAAGCAGCCTGAGCTTCCTTGGCCCACGGATTTCGATTCCGAGTCCGGCATGTTGATCGACGTGTGGGATGACGATAAAAAGAAATTTGTTCGTCGGCTCCAAGTGGTCGGCGAGTACCCACACCCACCGCCCCGCGAGGGGACAATATTATCGTTGCCCGAATTTCTGAAAAAGACACTCGTCGTCTTGGAATTGGGAGAGGAACACGAGCGAGTCCACCCTGAGCCTATGTGTGTGGTAGACACTCTCAGGTGGACTCCGAGCGAGTTCATTAATCGGCTCCGGAATCAATATTCTCTTGGGTCCAGCGCCATGACAATCACCGTCGACAATACCCAACCTGTGTTACTTGATGCCATCCGCGAACTCCCAGATATCCGCCCCCAGTCGCATTCTATGAGGAAGAAGCCATGCGAACCCCCCAAGTGGCACCCAGAAGTGACACTCGAGTTGGCTACCACGGATTTCCTCGACACAGGAGAATTGCCAGAATCACCCTGGGCACGATACGTAGTCGGGAAATTCAAACGTCGCTGCAAGAAGATGCGCGTCGCGGCCGACGCCCGGCCGCGGGCGGAGAACCCCGAGGATGATTGGGACCACTTCTTCGATGACCTCGAATGGCTCCTACCGGCCGATACTAAAACCCAGACGAGAGGACATTCTTTCTTCGAGGCCTTCAATAAGGGAGGGGAAAGCGTCGGCATGCTCTGGTTTCAACTTTCAAAAGACAAATCATGGTCCCAGTGTCACTACATAGAAGTCAAGGCCGAACACCGACGGAAGGGCTATGGTGCGAAGATTGTGTCATTCTGGCAGAAGATGGCTCTGATGCAGGGTGTCGACGTCATGTTGGTTGACATCATCGGTGGCAACGCAGGGGCAGAAGGACTTTTCGCAGGTATGGGATTCACCACTGTCGAAAAGACGGTCGGCATAAGACCTCCTCAAGAACCGAATGTCGGAGAGTGATTCTGGTCGGAATTGCTAGAGGATCTTCAGCGTCAACAGCGTGAAACTTCATTGGCTTTCCAAAATTCATGTTGCTGCCATTAGCCACCTGGGCACCACCCCGCTGGATCGTGGATGGACAGCAGGCATAGTATTACAGCGACAGTTAGAAACCCTAGCGAAGGTCTTCTACGGTTATAAGCATCAAATCCAAGGCTTGAGGTTGTGGATGCATCCATTTTTCTCTTGGCTGACTGTGACACAGCTACATCTCATTGTAGATAGAAAAAGAGACAAGGAGCGAAAATGCCTTTGCGAATTTCTCGCCTGCCTTTCCATCCTGCACAAGGTTGTTCTTTACGAAGGCGGACGTCCAACCCGTTTTGAATTCTTACACAATTTAGACCCGCTGAAACTAAATGCCTTTTTTCAAATCTGCTACAATCTGGAAAGAAGAAGAAAAAAGCTCTAGGACTAGCAGAGCGCTGGGCCGCGAGGAGGGCCAGTAGGCACGACACGAACCCAGAGGACCAGCCCGCCCCTTTTTGTTCCTCAAAATCGTGAAGTGTACCTTAGGGAAGACGTAGCTTTTAAGTAGTCAAGGAACTCAGAAAAGTTGTACAAGCCTCCAAAAAGGGCTACACGAACATCCTCCTTACGCTTTGAAAGGTCTAAAATATTGGTCTACAGCAAGTCATCCCACCAAAAGTGGCCTGGAGTAGCTCAAGCCAAGCTCATCTCGGGCAACAGCGACGTCCGATACCTCATGCCGACCGGCCAGCTCTCCTCCCCTTCCACAGCTTAAACTCCCGCCCAAAGCCAGCCTCGCCGACCCCCGTCCCATCCCCCATGCCATGGCTCATGGCCCCGCCCAGGTCCACCAGCGGCACCATCGACGGCCGCCCGTGGGCACACTGGAAGGGGAACGCACACCGGACCAGCCTCCCCAGGAGGTCCGCGCACTGGTCCCGCGTCAGCGCGTCGTTGAACATGATGGCGCTCCTGCAGGACCGCGAGTTGATGAGCTCGGTGATCCCCTGCGGGCACCCGTGGAAGAGCGACACCCAGGCCGGGCTGTTTCCCCCGGCCTCTCCGGCCGGTGCGGGCCTTGGTCGCGGTTGTCGGGCCGGTCCCGGCTCGTCGTTCAGTCTCCACGCCTCCGTCCTGATCAGGTTCGAGAGGAGCCCCGGTTCCGTCCTGCATCTTTCCAAGATGGCGGGAGGGAGGCTCCGCACGGCGACTCTGGCTTTGCGAACAGCCTCCGTGGTCTCGGGATTCTTGCTTGCGAGGCTCCGGCCAGGACCAGGAGTCTCTACGTCGTAGCATATCCCCCAGTGGGCAAAGTGGGCCTGACTTTGGCAGAGAACGTCTCTGTCCGGCCCCGAGAGCTCAAAAACCAGGGGCTTTGGAAGGAGTTCTGTGACTGCCTCCCAAGTCTTGCAGCTCGCATTGTAGACGAAATAGTCGTTCATGAGGCCTTCGACGCGGCAGCGCTCGTCGGCAGCATGCTGGTCGATCAAGACCATAGACGATGAGGCAGACAACGCCTGCGGGTTTGTTTGATTTTTGTTGACCTGATCAAGTGGCAATTTCACGAGGATGAACTTGTTGTCAACCTGTGCCACCAGTTCAGCTCTGCAAAGGCCGGCCCTCGATATCCGCCCTTGAAGTCCCATGGCAGTCGCTTCGTGATGCGACCCCATGCTGATCGCGGGAAGCCCGTGACGGCCACCTGCTTTGACGTCAATGTCAAGAACATCTGGTACATCTGGCAATTTTGGTATCGGACGTTCTGTCTGCGGGAAAACCGGATTCTCCCAGTTGTTTGCCAGGTCTCTGACCCAGGATGTAGTGTCGCTCGTAGCCGTGGGGTCGCTCTGGATGGTGTTGCCACTGTGAGTAAGCTGTCTCGCGGCCCATCTGCTAAGTGTCAATGCTTTAGGAGGCATCACAAATCCAGTCCTAGGATCGATAAGGGTTGCCAATTTGGTGACAGGGTTGATCCACTCGATTGGTCTATCTTCAGCAGACTGTTCCGAAAATCTTGTTAAGCCTTCGGTGGCTTTTTTCTGTGGAGTTGGCACTTGAGATAGACTCCTTCCTCTCAACTGCTTGGGGTCAATGTCCTCAAAGGGTTTCCGTGTGAGTTTGCCGTTAGCGTCGTATAATGGGGATCGTGAAGGCTGTGACATGGGATATTCGGACGGCTTGGAGTTGCTCGCATCGTGTGCATCATGGCTTCTAGTAGTGGAGCTCATAAGCAGAGACTGCGAATGTATATAAGGCTGCTTGGCCTCTTTGAAGGTAGGGAGTGTCCGGCCAGACTTGATTCGCGACCACCCATCAAATGGTGACTCGGGTCTGCTCTCGGGAGTCTCGAGCTTCCGGGTACTCCTGACGGGCTTTTCCATCGGACTCGACACAGTCTTGGAATCAGCTTTTGATCTGGACCCCCCTTTCATCAATCTCTGATTGGACTTTTGATTTTGCTCGCTGCGAGAACGCTTCTCTTTTACTGATAGATTAACAGTCTTAGGCCGACAGTGGTTCTTCTTCAAAAACTCGTAGAACATGGCCTTCAGAAGGTCTGTGATCAATGCGAGATCGGGTCGCCGGTCATCGAGAACGTCCTCCACATGCAGAGACTCCTTCGTTGCTGAGGATGTAGCAGTAATCTTCACGAAGAACATTGGCCACCTGTCCACGCCTTTTCTGACTTTGAGCTCCCTCCCGGTGAAGCCATCCATCTTGGGCTTCTTGCGCTCACCACCCGAGTCAGTTTCAGTATCAACGGCCCCGAAGGCAGAGTCTGCAAAGACCCTGTTCACCTCTTCGAAAAGCACGTTAGACCGAGACTCGTTGGTGAGCGGCTCGATGCCGAGACTGATGAACTGGACGCGTTTTGTGGCAACCGGCTCGCGGCAGACATACCCGTCTATGGACAATCTTGGCGTAGACGCTCCGATGGGGACCCAGTCGCTCGCATCAGGGCTGTTGCACAAAGACGCCTGGTGCAGCAGACGACAGCCATTATTGATCCAGGTTCTTGCTCGAGAGTCAGTTCTTAAAGTCAAGCTCTGCCGACTAGAGACTTCGCGAATCGACACAGATGCCTCCCCAGGCCAGAAAAGCAGTAGAGCGACTAGGTCGGAAAGCAGCCGGTCCCAGTCCCTGCTGAAGGAGTATTTGTCGCCTTGTAGAGCGCGATACTTGACCCGAACTGGCATTGAGCCAAATAAGTCTCTCACGGTGACACGGGTGCCATGGTTGAAGGTGAGAACCCTTTGCTCGGGAGGACACGGCAGATGGCGAGCCAAGACTTTGGAGTTGTGAATGCTCAGCGAGTTGTGCGAGTGGTAATCTCGATGGTGGGACGCCAGGGAGAGCAAGGACAAAGAGGCGACGGACGCTAAGAAGATGCCATGTCTGCCGTGGATATCCGGACGTGGTGGATATTTGGACGTATCTTACGCCATGTTAGAGACATCGCATTATTGTGTGCAGGCTCTCACCTACAGTGCAGATGGCCCAGCCCTCCGTCGTCGCGGAATTCGGATGGCGGTAACCCTATTCCATTGTCTTCTATAGAGCAGTTTCCGCGGGCGTAGTCGACGGTCAGGTTGATGCGGGTGGCCTCAGCGTCAAGCGAGTTCGTGATGAGCCCACAGATCACGTTGTTCAGGGATGTGATGACGACGGACGACTTGATCTGGGCCACGACGTCCGTCGGCAGCGGCTTGATGGACATGGCCGGCTGCACATCTCGGAGGCGATCTTGCTGGACAGTCGTTGGGCTAAAAAAAGACTCTTCTGTGAGGGATCTCCCCGCTGGTGTCGCTACTTCCCGTGGCCCAAGAGACAAAGCAGCAGGACCATGTCGTTCTGTGGATGAGGTAATCAGCAGGGGGCACGGACGCAGTACCCACCAGCACCGTATCTCCCTACCGTATCCGTAAGGACAAGGCGGGCAATACGTCACAGGGCTGGCCTGGTGGGATCCCCCTGGTCGCTGGCCCCCCGTCTGTTCAGCTCGCCCTGTTCGCCCTGTCTGCCTGTTCGCCTGCTCGCAGGGTCAGAGCGCCCTGAGCGCCAGACAGAGGTCGCCCAACCGCCTGACGGCGCCTGATGCGGCCTGAGCTGGCTGGATTAGATAGCCCTTCCCTGTCGGGATGATGGCCTTTTGGGCTGCTTCCCCGGGAATTCCTCCCTGACTCCCAGCTGCCAATTGATTCCCAGGCAGCCAGGCTACCACAATCGGGAACCACCACCACTTCAAGGACCATCCCCATTCCACTTGCCCGTTTGCGCCCAAGCCATCCGCCGTCTCGTCCTCGTTCAACCAACAGCTTCGACGATCCGACCGTCTCCTTTCCTTTTCGATCACTCGTTTTCCCAGCACAGAACCAACTCCAAACGCTCGCTCCCTTACCCCCCCTCCCCTTTTTCTTTTCTTCCTTTCTCTCTTTTTCTGACACATCCGTTCGTTCCGCCGACCCTCGCCCGTCGCCCCGCCTGCAACCATGGCCATGGCGCCCACCGATCGTCGTAAACCCTTTACCAGCTGGGTCAAACGGCTGAATCAGAAGATGAAGCGCACCAAGGGCCCAAACAACCCCTACCCACAGTCAGGCCATGTCAGTTCCCGGCATGGGCTCCCACCACCATCCGCGAGTCATCGGCAACGAGAATCGCAGTCCATTGACTATGCCCAGTCGACCGTCGAGAGCAGCACCGACCCCGAGCTGGTCGTCCACTCCGCCGAGGAGCTAAGCAGGCAGTCGATGCAGTCCACGAGCGAGGGCAGGCGATCCACCGAGCCCGAAGGCGATGCCGACGGCGACGGCGACGTCGAGGGCCGACCACCGACGACTGCCCCGTCCTACGGCGGCACATCCTTCGCCGGGACCAACATCACAGCCACCGACCCGCGCAGGCCCGACAGCACCTTCTCGTCGCCTGCGCCGTCCGCCCGGTCCGTGGCGACGACGCTGTCGACGATGCAGACGAACATGGCCAACGGGCTGGCCGTGCCCGCAAACACCACCGCCCCGGCGGCCACGCGCCCGCAGCAGCACCAGCACCAGGCGGTGCAGTACACGCAGCCCGAGGCCCTGGTGACGGCGATGCCGGCGAGCGACGGCGACCGAAACAGGCGGAGCGCGTACCGCCCCGCCACGTACAGCGCGATCATCGCCAACAACCTGCTGAGCGACAACATCTCCATCCTGACGCTGGCCTCGTCCACCCAACGCCGTAGGCGGCGCTCCTGGGACACGGACTACGACCACGCGTCGGTGCGCGCCCTGCCGCCAGCGTCGCAGTTCGGCGGCAGCCGCGAGTCGCTGCCCCTGTCCGTGCTGAGCGCCAACCTCGACGGGCAGCCGACGAGCCCCGGCCTGACCACGGCCAGGTCCATCGCGGAGCGGTCGGTGAGCGGCCTGGCCCTCGGGCATGGACGGGCCGACAGCCTGAGCGGGAGCGTCGGGGGCGGGGCCATACCCGTCGCAAGCGAATCCTGAGGACAACCCACAGGGACAACCCACAGGAACTAGAAGAGGGCCCCCCTCGTACGGGTGGCGAGCGTGCGGGCGCAAGCTCTCTGGACGGCATCACTGCCCTGTCAGGCGCATGAGAGGGACGGCAAGGACACCATCTGGTCCATGCACAGGAACAAAGGCACTAGGCATGGTTTGGGCGGACACCACCAGGAGTTTTACGGGTTTTGTGTGTTATCTGGACGGGGCTTTGATTACTTTTGATGATGACTTACGGATGGAATGGACGGAATCGATACCCAGCACCCATAGGAAGAAATTGACATTCTAGGCGTGAAGCGCCGTAATTTATTCTCCATGCGGGCTTTGAAAGCTTGTCCCCTGTGCCCATGGACGCAAGAAAGAACCCCAATCCGTCGACGCTCAGAGGTTCGTTCGCATGCGGGGTAGCAGCACTTGAGCCCGAGTACAACACCATCGTCGGCCCATCTGACGACGATCCGGCTGGGCGGATACATCTCACTTTCAACCCTCCAGGGACAGCCTCTTGCCGACGTATTGTTGCTGTTTTACGTCCTCTGAGAGTCACAGCATACTAGTCACCAGGGTACACCACCGGTATCGGCATCACACCACCCCAAGTTGCCCTTCGATTACCAACAGTCAAACACCGTCAAACGCCGTCATAACATCTCCAACCCGCAGCCACTGACTGACTGACTGATATAATATAAGATCTATCTCCCTTGTTAACCCAACCCCCCCCCCCCCCAACAACAACCCAAAACAAACTCACAGCCCACGCATCAAACCCACCATGGCATCCCCACCACCACCACCAGCAGTAGCCCCCGGCAAGATCCGCCTGGCGACCTCGTCCCCCTCCACGCAGGCCACCACGGCCGCGACGCTGGCCCAGCTGCGGCAGATCGCCACGCGCGCGGCCCGCGACCACGCCGCGGACATGCTGCTGCTGCCCGAGGCGTACCTGGGCGGCTACCCGCGCGGGACCAGCTTCGGGTGCGTGGTCGGGTCGCGCAGCGCCGGGGGCAGGGACGAGTTCGTGCGGTACTTTGAGGGCGCCGTCGACCTGGGCGACACGGCGGGCGAGGGCGCCGGCGCGGGGGAGGACTGGGTCGCCCGGCGGCTCGGGGCCGTCAATGACGGCGAGGGCGGGGGGCCGGCGCGGGGCGACGGCACGAGGGAGGAGCTCGAGGCTATTGCTGCTGAGACGGGCGTGTTCCTCGTCACCGGTCTGATCGAGAAGGCGGGCGGGTCGCTGTACTGCTCTGTTGTTTATGTCTGCCCCAGGAAGGGCGTCATCGGGAAGAGGAGGAAGGTCATGCCTGTGAGTGCCCCTCAGCTCCGTCTTTATATATATATATATATATATATATATAGGGTGCTCTGCTTTCCTCTCCCTACCGTACAAGCTATATATGTAAGTTAGGTACTGACACACACCACCCGCCAACAAAAGACGGCGTGCGAGCGCCTGATATGGGCCCAGGGCTCCCCCAGGACCCTCAAGGCGGTCAGCACCGTGATCCGCGGCGTCAGGGTCAACATGGCGGCCGCCATCTGCTGGGAGAACTACATGCCGCTGCTGCGGCAGTCGCTCTACGCCCAGAACGTCAACCTGTACCTCGCGCCGACCGCCGACGGCCGCGACGCGTGGGCCCCGCTCATGCGCACCATCGGCATCGAGGGCCGCTGCTTCGTGCTGAGCTCCAACATGTGCGTGCGCGAGGCACCGGCAGCACCGGCAGGAGGGTCCGCCATCGCCATCGCCGCCGACGGGGCGCCGTACGGGCGCGAGCGGCGCAGCTCGTGTGTCACCGAGGAGGGCTTCGAGATCGCGCTCCCTGCGCACGGCGCCCCGGGCGGCGCCGGGAAGGGCCCCAAGGCCAGGCGGCCGAGCGTGTTCGACGAGGACGGGAACGAGATCGTGCTGTGTGGTGCCGAGGGTGGCGGGGAGTCGGAGTCGGCCCCGGCTGCGACTAATGGGGCCCGCGGCGGCGCTGAGGCCGTCAGGAAGACCGCCGGTGGTGGCAAGTTTGTCTCCCGGGGCGGGTCGTGTATCACCGACCCATTCGGAGAGGTCCTCGCCGGCCCGCAGTGGGAGGACGACACTGGCATCATCTATGCGGATGTTGATCTCAAGGACTGCATCAGGGGCAGGCTGGATCTGGACGCGGGTGGGAGCTACTCGAGGAATGACTCGTTCAGGTTCTCTGTCGAAGGGTTAAGCCTCGAGCCACTGCCGTACTAATAATAAAGGTACCTAAGGTTGATACAAAATTGAACATCATCTTCAGAGCGCATCGGCCAGGTCGACGGCGTCCAGGCCCTTCACCCTCTCCCAGGTAGCATACAACTCCGGGGGGAACCAGTCCGCCAGCCTGCCCGCGGGCCGGCCGGGCTCTGCGGGCAGGTCCTCGTCCTCGCTGCCCGCGAGCATGACGCCGAGCGCGGCGCCGCAGAGCCATGCCCAGACCATGCCGTCGCCGCAGAAGTAGGCCGAGATCCACTCGCCCGGCGGCACCTTGCCGTCGCCCCCCGGGCCCTGCCTGACCTTCCTCGACGTGATCCTCGGGTCGAGCCGGCCCACGAGCGGCCGCATGTCAGGGACGATGCCTATGGCGCCGGACCAGGCCCTGATCACCCGTGCGCCCTGCCCCTGCCCTTTGGCGTCGTGGCCTGGGTCGAAGATGGTAGGGATGACACCCTCCAGGTGCATGAGCGTCAGGGCGTCGAGCCTGGTGTCGTCGTAGGCGCCCAGCATCTCCATGCCCTGCTTGGGGCCCTGGAAGAAGCCGCCCCCGATCATCAGCTCCCCCGTCGGCCTCTGCGTCACGTAGTCGAACCCCTGCCCGAAGATGACAGACCACGAACGGCCGCCGTCCTTGTCGGGGAAGTAGTCGGCCGCCCTCTGGGCCGTCATATGGCACAGGCCCGACGTCCCCTTGCCCCTCAGCCCCGGGACGAGCTGTGAGGTGTGGGCATTCGTGGCGTGGACGACGTGGCGGGCGAGGATCCTCCCCCTGCTGGTGACGACGGCGTAAGGAAACGAGCCAGCCTCCTCCTCCTCCAGCTTGGAGGCGGAGGGCGGGGCGCCCTGCTCGTCGGCCAGCACCTCCTCCACCGTGGTCCCGGTCTCGACGGCCAGCACCCCGGGGAACTCATCCAGCAGCCTCCTCCACAGCGCCGTGACGAGCCGGTACGGGCTCAGCGCGCCGGCGGGGTACGACACGGCGCCGGCGACGCGCCCGTTGACGCCGAACCGCTCGCGCGCCTGCGCCGCCGTGTGGGAGGCCATCTCGAACCCGGCGGGCGCGTGCGGCCTGAACTCGTCCACCTGCGCCTTGATCCGGGCGTCCGTCTCGGCGTCGACCGCAAAGTCCACCGTCTCGACGCGCCTGCACTCGGCCAGGCCCTCGATGCCCTCGGCGCGCGCGAGCCCGACCAGCACGTCGAGGTGGCCCAGCATGAAGGCGCAGAGGCGGCCCGCGCGGTCGGGGGCGAGCCCGACCAGCACGTCGAGGTGGCCCAGCATGAAGGCGCAGAGGCGGCCCGCGCGGTCGGGGGCGAGCCCCTGCTTGTGCACCATGCCGTGGAAGGCCTCGTGCGCGCTGGCCTTGATGTGCCCGCCGTTGCGGCCCGTGGCGCCCGAGCACAGCTCGCGGGCCTCGAGGACCACGACGCGCGTGTCCCTGTCCCTGTCCTTGCCCTTGCGCCGCAGCTCGTGGAGCACGGTGCGGGCGACGGCCACGCCGCTGATGCCCGAGCCGATGATGACCATGTCGGCCGTCGGCGGTGGGCCGCCCGGCGTCTGGATGTTGACTAGCTCCGGGAAGGGCGGGCTGTCCTGCCACTGCGAGAGGGTCGGGTTGGCGGGTGGGAACCCCGGCGCCGCCTTCATGCGGGCCACGACCTGGGACCAGTCATTGGAGAGGTCGCGGAGGATGGAGACTGCCGTCTTGATGGACTTGAAGAGCGAGAAGAGCCGCTTGATGATGTCCATCGTTGGTTGTGAACCCCCGAGCTGGTGGTGTGTTGCCGGCGGTTGGATCAGGAGGAAGATCATCGGTGGCTGCGGCAGAACGAACGGGAGGGGCTTCCTGCAGGTGTGCTAGCAACCAACGCCCTTGCAGCCAGCCTAACCTTGAGGTGACACAAGTTCGTTGTACGAAACAGACTAGGACATTGGGGCGGAACAACAATTCTACCTGTCCCCTTCATTACTTCCGGTAGGCAGTGTTGGTGATTGGTGAGACTCTACAGAATCGATGGCCTGGTTCGTTTTGTATATGAATCCAGCTTCGATCCTATCGGCGTATGTAGAATAGACGCACTAGAGGCAACACACGAGTTGGAACCCTTGGAGGAGACATTGTGTAATGACGATAATAACTTACACGTCGCAAGTCAAAGGTTCCAAGTTCAAAGCTATATCGTTGGGTTTGACAGTTCGTACAAATACCATGGAATTTCTTTTTGGCATTTTCTTTTTTTTTGGGGGGGGGTGGGGGGGGGCACTTTTGAAGCATGAGGTCACTGCCCGATGATACATACACACATCACCCACTGCTGCCAGTCAATGAGGATGCCACAAGGAATACATTGGTTGAAGCCCAGTCGTCCGTGGTTGCAGTGCTGTGTCTTCAGAACCATCGATCCACTTGCGAAAGGCATCAAATGACCCTCGGGGAGTTAACAGAAAGTGTTACCACAGACCTTGCTCCTCTAACAACGCCCTTGATGTGGCACACTGAAATCGTGACTCCACTACACCCTAAGGACCACGACATCCTTATGGACCGCCATGCCATATAGCTTGAGTCTGGTGCTGTTGAATACCTGGTCATTCACACTCCCCAGACGAAATCATCCCACACAGCTTAATTCAAAATGAATAGTTAATTGTAGGTTGTTCGAAAGGAGCAGGTATTTACAAAAATGTAATCATAGAAACTGGATTGTTATTATCGCACAGAAGGCAGGGCAATTACCCGCCTAGGTTCAAGGTAGGCAGTATTAACTGTAATGATTCTCTATTTACTACACTAGTACATGTATAATCCCTGTGGCCCGCACACAAGAGAGAAATTCATTCACTAGACCTCCCTCCCAACCCAATACCCAGATAGCAAGTGATCGTGCCCTACTATTGCCGGCTATCAGACCGGTAGCCTCCACTTCCAGGGCAAAAACGGAGCCGTGGGTCGTGCCAGCGTTTTGCCGGAGCGAGCTAAGAACCAACTGCATGATCGCACATTTCCCCTTCCAAACTTGACCTTAGCGCCCAATGCAAAGGACCAACAGTCACATTAAGCATTCCCTTATCAATTTATCACAGTCCTGTTGGAAGGATTAACTTCTAAGCTCCGGGTTTGCAGCTGCCTAGGTTTGAAAGCATTTAATTGGGGCCCAGCGCCAAGCCAGATCTCCTTTGGATTACAGCCTTCTCTTACATTCATTTCTCTCTCGCGATAAAACGACTGACACAACATGACAGAACTACCATCCATCAGGATTGCCGTCATTGGCGGCGGACTGGCTGGCGCAACAATTGCGCATGCCCTCCTCCGTCATGCCCACCTAGATGTCCACGTTTACGAATCAGCACCCGAGTTCTCCGAGCGCGGCGCAGCTGTCGGGCTCGCCAGCGAGGCCCAGGAGGTCCTCAAGCTTGTGCTCGGGCCCGCAGAGGCAAGCGCCTTGCTCGACAAAGCCGGTGCCGTGGTTCAAGCTTCGACACGGCTGTGCCTGGTAAGCCCTCCCGCGGCCAAACTGGACCGGCAATCCCGGCCGAACTGCTGAACGTAGCTCTAACATTATCCCGTAACTAGGGGTCCGGCCCGCATGCGGGAACTGTCATGATGGACCTCGGTGGCGGTAACCCCGAGTCGGCTGGGAGGGTTGTGCACCGTGCTTCGCTCCTCCGCGAACTCCTTGCTCCTCTCCCCACCAGCCGGCTTCATGCGAGCAAGGCACTTTCCAAGATCACCACTGCCAGTGAGGACTCTGTCAAGGTCACTTTCAGTGACGGCCAAGAGGAGGTTTTCCACGCAGTCATTGGCGCTGATGGAATCTTCGGTGCAGTGAGGCGACATGTGTTGAGTGACAAGGCAGATGCCGAGGGCCCTTCTGCTGCTGGCTTCTGGGACTGCAGGAACCTGGTGCCGTTCGAGAAGGCGAAGGAGGTGCTTGGAGCGGAGTATTTCGAGCAAGACAGGCAATATGGGTGGGCAGGGAACGGGGCGTTCATCATGCATGATGTGCTAGACAACAGCACGAAGGTGCAGTGCGTCATATCCGCTGTTGAGAAGGATAGCCCAAAAGATCGCAAGAGGGCGTTGACGCGCGAGTTTCTGGAGGAAACCTTGCATGACTGGCTCCAAGGGCCCATCGGCAAGGGAATGATAGAGGTGAGACGTTCTCGATACCCACTGAGCGGTCTCGTTGATTATGAATCGCTGACGAATTGCCTTGACGCATAGCTCATACTCGATCAACCCGACCCTCAGGCATATTCGCAGTGGGAGCACAAGTCTACCAGCACATACGCCAACGGCCAAGTGTGCATCGCCGGCGATGCAGCTCACGCCACCACTCCGTGGCAGGGAGCCGGTGCCGGCCAGGCCTTTGAGGACGCGCTGATTCTCGGTACGCTTCTTGGCGTCGCCAAACGCCCGTCTGAGATCTCTCACGCTTTCCAGGCATATAGTGCCGTCAGGAAAGAGAGGTGCCAGAGAGTCATTGACTCCAGCAGGGGAACTGGGTTGATCCTTTGTGGGCAAGATCCAGAGGCCGGCTTGGAGCCTGGTAAGATGATGGGCCTGCTGGCCCCTAGGTGGGGCTTCATCGCTGGTATCGACCTCCACGCCTATAAGGAAGAGGCATTGGCAAAGTTGAAAGAGCTCCAGGGAGTTTGAAGCATTTCGGCAGTTTGACCAATATGGTGTTGCCGTGGCATAGCAGCAATGTTTGAAATAGTGCCACTCTGTCTAACTCGCTACGTGACAGTTCAACATTGTCGTTCATCCAGTGACAAAATTATGCCGGGATCATGGAAAGTATCCGATGTTTTCCAAGGTTTATGTGAACACACCTCCGTGAAAGTTGGTTGCAAGAAGACAAGTATCCAATTCTTACATATCACAAATTCTTTGCCGTAACGCCGCCGCATCTCCACAAGTAGCTCAATACCATGCCAGATCCCCTTCGTTTCGCGCACTTTAGATTTTTAGTTCATCAGTAATCATTTTTCAGAGTGTTTTCTTATTATTATTATAGTTCTCCTGAAGAGGCTATTGGACAGCACACTGTTCCCAAGGACGTCATTTTACTGACAGTGACTATGCGGATGGTTGATAGACAGGTATTGTGGCCGAGGAGCATACAGCCGAAGCAGAGCCCTATTTGGACTCTATTTCCTCAGTTTCCACAATCAAGTCATGTGAGACCGTTTCCAGTCTCGTTTTACTGTCATCCGCCCAAAATCTTCTCGCAGAGTCTTTGGCGGCCTTGAATTCCCGAAATAGCAACACACTGTGCGCATGATCCAAGTTCCCGCCAGCATGCGGCTCCCATAGACTTGGATTGATTCACAGTTACGGGTGAAGTCTGCCGATCATGATTTACAATTCCTGCACTGCAGCATGATTGACATTATGGGCTAGGTGTGAGGTTAGTTGACCCACAAGTTCAGGATGTCATGGGTATCGCATTCCAGTAGAGTATGAAGTAACTTTTGCAAACTCATGCGTAGGCCATCTATATAATTATTGAATACAGGAAAACTTCGATGATCTAGATCGGGCTTCTACAGAAGTGAAAAGCCATCAATCCAGTCGTCTACAATGCAAATGTGATACCTAGGTATACAATCCTCATGGGCATAAAAATTAGACAGACAATCGAAGACTATGGGGTCAGGCCAGTGCCCGTTTGAAATTTTCGTTCTAATGTTTGCAATAAACACTAACCTTTCCCATGAGACAAAGATCTGTTCGTCGGGATGTCACGGACCTCGAATACAATATGACTAGTCGTCACCACAGAATATTCCTGAGCCGTATATCACAATTTTAATCAATGCGCCTTTTCAAAAGTCTGTTGTGAGTGTGCTGACATCAAAGGACTCCAAATCTCACGCCTTGCAAGACAATATCTCGCTGTAGTAAGTTTCAGCTTTCATAAAAGGAGCATAAATCGATCAGAGAAGTAGCTGAATACTTATAAAGGGCTAGATGAGGACTCTGATGAACTAAGGATGTTATAAGAGAACGGATATTTGCAGGGCTAAAAACGGATAGTACAGGGCTAAAAACGGATAGTACAGGGCAACTTTTTTATAAAAATAAAACTTTATACTATAACTTTAAAAGAGATTTAATTCTAAATAATAAAAAATACCTTATAATATAGTAGAAAAATTAAGCTATTTAAAGGTATTATTTTTAAAGGTTTAACTTTAATATTTATATAGTTATATACTATTATAAAGAAAAATATTATTTTATTAAAATAAAATTAAAAAATATAATAATAATTTCTAATAACCCCATCCTTAATATATAATATTAATTAAATAATAAAAAATAGTAAAGAATCTTTTAAAAAATTTATATTTATAGATATTATTTAAAAAAATTAAAAAATTAAAAAGTTACCTTGTACCATCCGTTTTTTGCCCTGCGAATATCCGTTTTCTGTTATAAAATGTATCGATTTGCCATCATAGGACAGTGATTCAAATTAGATCTTTGATACGCAGATTTCCAGTGATACGAACCTTGTGCTCACACACACTATACACTATCATGAGCTCCTCCTCAGACAGCGGCATAGACGATGCTTTTTACAAGAAACTTCTCTTGCTATCCACGGTGCATTCGATTGATAGGAATAAGACTTACCGAATTACACGATTGAGAGAGCCGGGTCAGCCAGATACTAGCGAAAGAGCCAAATTGACTGAAGATGAGCGTCAAGATCTAGAACTCCGAACTTTCCTGGATCACTTGGCTCATGTTTGTGCCAAAAACCATGATGGGAAGACTGTAACTGCTGTCACTGTCCATGTTCGAGATCCCCATTCCAGTCCGAAATTTCTTTTCATTTCCAACAACCGGTCCGGGAAAGAAACCTGGCAGGCCAGAAAACACGTTAGGCAAATTTTCCAAAGTCTCCGTTTTTCGCTCGACGCCTTCATCGCTCAGGACCGGGAACGTGCGAAGCGGATTTACTTTGAATTACTGAAAAGAATAGTCCAATTCAATCAAGGAAGACTAAATGTATACCTGACGACTATTTCGGACTCTCTGCATCATTTGCGGGACCCGAAAAATAGCTCTTCTCATTCGGATGAGACCTGTGAGAAGCCTTGTATTTGGCGTGAGCAATTAGATACACGAGTTTGCTAACTTCAAATCTAAAAGGTAAACAGTTTCTGGACCGATTCAATGCGGTGATCTCATCGAACTACGCCAACGAAATCCCTACCTTAAAAACGCACGAGAATCAATGTGAGCTTCTGACGCAACCCTGAGCTAGCCGCGTTGATCTAATGTATAAACAAGTCGTTCATATGTCTCTAAGCTTTCTTGGAAAGTTGGAGCTGGAGCGATGGTTGAATCTGGAACCGCACAATACTACTAGTACTATTTTCGATCTCTTGGAAACTCTTGTCAAGAGGGGAAAGCAGGTCGAGGGTCGCAAACAATTGCGCCGAGACAACTACTTCGCCAAAATTCATAAACTGCAGCATGCTTTGAAGCGTGTTCTGTCTTACAACGACGCAGTTGAGAATTTCATAACCACCACGCTCATATGGCCCGAACTCTTCCCAAGGGTTCCGACGCGCCACGGTCAATCTCCTCCCATCCGTCAGCGCCGAGTCCTATAAGCCCGACATCGCAAATTTGAAAAATGAAAGTCTTCTTCAGGAAATAGACTTCAAAGGAGATTTTATGGAAGTCTCGAAAAAATGGCCTAAGCTGGAATGCGAATTCAACAGACGTGTTCGAGAACTTGGCTTTCAACGTCGAGTCCATGCGGAGATCCAACTTTGGTCCCATACCAGGTCAATTGCAAGAGTCGCTCGCCATTTTGTCCCATTTCACCCCCGGCGGTCACACTGATATGAAGATGCGAAAGAATACAGGACATTGAAAGGGGTTAGTAAAATGACATGCCTATTGTGTCATTGGTATTTCCAAGAGGTGTGCCCAGACTGTGTTGTCATCCGATCGTCATCCCTGAAGGTATACCACAGATGGGTACTTCCGCCCGAGCAGCCGGACCCGAGCCCAAACATCTCAAGCAAACTAGATGGCAGATTATCTGAGGAGCTTTCAAAGCTGTTGAAAGCAGATGAAGGACATTTCGTGGTGCGCCGCACAGAGACAGACACAGACTCGGAGCCAAACAGTCCATGCACACCTGGATTCCCCGACTCGGACGGATCTTCCAGTGACACTTCAAATTCGTCTAGTTCTGTGCTTTCAAGTGATGGGGTATCGAGCACGTCCTCAAATAACTCAGAGGCATCCTTTGACAAGACACGCATTTAAAAACCACCGGTATCTTTCGACGGGCCGGGGTCCCGAATGGCATTTTTGATGTTGCAAATTCTGAGGACATAAATTAGTTAGATATTGACGTCATGAATTTGTACATTCCATAGCATGCATTGAGAATTTGGTACTTGCAAGACTCCCGCTGCCCTACTTGGGTAATTCGAGGATTTGAGCTATAGATGACCACCTTGGAATCTGTTCATTGCGATAACAATCGTATATACATAATTGACTGCCCAGGAACTTTAAACACGACACTTAAAACCTCTTTTCCGCTTCCTACCAAGAATTCTCACTGAAATTTACCTATAATTGAGGAGATGGATTCACAGATTGACCAGAATCCACGTCTAGGCTCAAAAGTTCACATTTCCTTTAGAGTAGGTTCTCCACTGAAAACAATTTTAATTCCCTATTGCCTATCCTTTCTTTTTGCGCCTACCTTTTTTTTCTCTTTTTTTAAAAAAGAAACAAACCAAAACACTGAACAAGCCATAGAACTTAGCAAACACCGTACTTACAACCATCCCACCACCTCTATGAATGCCTGTAAAGACAGACTAAGGCAAGTCACAAGGGCAAGGGCTTACATCTGTCCCTGCCCATGAGCGGCGCGCCGCTCAGCCAAAATCCGAGCAAGCTCTGCATCTCCGGACAGCCACTCTGGAGGCCCGGGCAAGTTCGGGTCGTTGTTGAGGTGAAACGACCGCACCACCCAAGGGAACTGTGAAAGATTAGTGGCCGGCTGCCACGCGTAGTGGGAAGCCCAGGGCCATTTGACCAGGTACTGCAGAATGACGCGGTCGTCTGGGCCGGCCCGCAGAGCTGAGGCTTTGATTTGGTAGGGCGGCTCATAATCGAAGACGATATTGTTCCTCCAGAAACGGTTTGGCTTTATTTTGTAAAGGGTCTTGACACATTTTAGCCCGGCACGTGAGCACTCTCTGCATTCCTCCCCGTCTTCAAAAGGGTGACAGCTTTGTCCCTGCCTTACGCAATGGCGGCAGGGCGGTGTGCCCTCATGGACTGACACGTTGAGTTCAGGATCGTTTGCCATAAGCTGTTGCAATATCTGTGCCTGTTGCTCATACCGGTTGGCGTCAGGGTTGAGCGTGAAGATATACCCATACGGCCTTGAAGGTTGTGGGATCGCTACAGGCTGCGCGGCCGAGGGCTCCGGTACCTCAAGGGGCTGCGGGGCCATGAAGTCCTGAAAAGGGATAGCCCCCTGGGAAGGGCACGTGGCTAACGAGCAGACAATGTCAGCTAAGAACATCTGCTCTACCGTGAGTAGAATAGGATTGGCAAAGTCGACAACACTTGCATTTTGGTACGGGACGTACAGAGTGGTTTGACACTCAGCGCAACAGAGCGGGCGATTGGCCATGGTTGAGACAAGATTTTTCAGGCCGAAATGAGGCTCTTCCTTCTGTTATGCAAGATGTTCAAGTGGATGTTGTTTTGGTGAGTGTTGAATTGCCAGTGGTTGGTGAGTGAGTGGCATTTCGAGATTTCAGTTGACGAGAAGAGTTTTTAACTTATTTATGTGTGGTTGAGGGTATTTCAGTCTGCTTTGTGCCAACAGTGCACTATAGGATTGTAATGTATTTCGGACTTCCGTATTAATCGGTGTCTTGAACAAAGCAAGAAAGACCTCGGGACTTAAAATGATCCAGGACGGGTGATTTACATACCTAGGTACTCTCATTCTGCATTTAAGCCAGTAATGGCTTAGAACAGTGCCATTGTAAGTGATCGTGAACGTTTATTATACTGATATGAGCCAATTGGACGCGGGAACCCTTTCAAGATCTGATTGTGAAAATCCACAATTGCGTTGTTCACTTGGCCACTTTGTTAGACCCTACCTAGGTATGGTACAGAACGTCAATACATACAACTCAGAGAGCGATATAATGTGGTTCATTTTGGGTCTGATGATGGTCTCTGTGTTAGTGCAAAGTAAGATCTTTCTAGTCAAGATCCACGGCCATTGTTCAGCTCACCCTTAGCACCCACTCTTTGTTGATGCCAGGCCGCCCGCGGTACGGCTATCTCAACAAACAGTAAGGTTGCCCAAACTATCTAGGGTACCCACGCAGTAGCAAGAGGAGCAACTTGCGGTGCAAGAAAGTATCGACCGAGAATACTTCGACCATCACGATATGTGTAATCAAGTACCAAGCCTTTTCTTTTTTCTTTCCTTTCTTTCCTTTGCTTTTCTTCTCCTTTTTTTTTCGACGTGTGGGCGCTTGCCTTTGCATACCTTTGGGTGTGCTCTGATATTATTTACTAGTGTCCGCATGTACCACGCGTGAATTGCAATATGACTTTCTCCTGACTCTTGTGGTCAAGCGCGGCGGCCGTACCGTCTCGAGTTTCTGAAGTTTCTGAGGTCTGCAAGGGACGAATTCGAGTCTCTTAAAGTTGACTCACTACTGGTGGCTTCTTCTCGCTGAATTACATTAACAAAAGAACTTTGCCAAGTCTAGCTATCATATCTAAAGTGGGAATACAGAGATTGGTGGTGAAAACATAGATGCTTTGGTATGTGAGCATATATTAAACTCACCGACACAACAACCGTACTAGCTATAGCCCCTGGTATATTATCCCAGACACAGGCCAGTACCTCAAATTACCAAGGCACGTAGGCTCACACAAAAGGAAATACGAACTAAGCCTGAAGTCTATTAAAACCAAGCCAAAATATGCATTTCTGGGCAATTAGAACATCTCACAGCGATGGCGGGATGACCAGGTCTGTCACTTATGTCCAGCCGCAGCGTGGCGGGCTTAGGTACTTGGTAAGTACGTTGAGGCTGAAGGCCCGGGAGCGCCCGTAAAGCCCGGCCGGCGATTTCGTGCCAGCGTTTCGACTCCGCTCGCATCAAAATCCGTTCGTCCCTCTTCACTTCCTCTCAAATCTACATATGTACCCCTAGTCACACCATACATACACACAACACATCCTCGGCTCTTTGTTGAACTCGGCGCGAGCGAAACGTCCCATAATACAATACGAGTGGTGATTAATTCCCATCCGGGGCCATTTTGATCGGGCGCCAGAGCACCCACCGATCCCGGCCGAAAGGGTAGCAGTATAACCTCCGCGTATTCTCCGCTTACCCGCCCCGCCTCGGCCATGGATCCTCCGTCCGTACCATGTGTCAGATGCAAGTCACTAGATCTTTGTTTTCCTTGCAGTCATGTTAGCCTCACAAATCCTGCTGATTCCTGGGCTTTGCCTCGAACTAGACCAGGCTGGTATGGACAAAGCCCGGCAACCGACTCATCGCTCGAAGGATCCTGGATGACCGGCCACGCTTGACCGCGAGCGGCTTGGGCGTGTAAGCTTAATTGATGCATTACGCGTTGCAAGTGTCAGACATGTATAAAAGAAATCATTCCCAGCCATGGATCTTGTCAGGTTATACAAGTCGACCAAGGAACATAAAGCAGCATCAATCTAAATCACACATTCTTGCACTCTTGCCTCTACAAGATGCCCTCACCGAAAATCGCAATCATCGGCGCAGGCCCAGTGGGCACCACGCTTGGGCGCCTGCTCAGGCGCCAGTCCCCTTCCACATCTATTACCATCTACGAGAGCGAGCCTTCTCCAAACTACCGCAGTCAGGGCGGCACGCTCGACCTGCACACCGACACCGGGCTCGCAGCGCTCAGGGAGGCAGGACTGTGGGAAGAGTTCACGAAGCATGCCCGCTACGACGGCGAGGCTCTCCTGATGACAGACAAGAACCTCAAGCCATTCTGGCAGGTCAAGCCAAGCGCCACGCCCGAGCAAAGAGGCGGTCACCTGGGCGGGCAGCGCCCCGAGATCGACCGCGCCGCCCTCCGACAAATCCTCATCGAGAGCCTGCCAGCCGACATGATAACATGGGGCCACCGCCTGAAAGAAGTAGTGCCCGGCACGCACCCACGGGACACCAAGCTCATCTTCACCCTCGCGGACGGCAGCACGGCGACGGCGTCCGGCTTCGACCTGGTCGTCGGCGCCGACGGCGCGTGGAGCAAGGTCCGCAGCGCCCTGTCAGACGTCAAGCCGCACTTCGCAGGCGTCTCGAACCAGGCCTTCGAGATCCCCGACGCGGCGGCCACGGCGCCCGAGGTCCACGCGCTCGTCAACCGCGGCAGCGTCTTCAGCCACGCGGACGGGCACAAGACGAACCTGCAGCAGATGGGCGACGGCAGCATCGTGGTGTACCTCAACTTCCGCACCGACGACGAGGACTGGTACCGGTTCCCCAAGCGCTGCGGGTTCGACGCGACCGACCTGGAGGCCTCCAAGGCCGCGGCCCTCGAGCGGTTCCGCGACTGGCACCCGCTCATCAGGGAGGCTATCTCGCGGACCCAGGGCCGCGCCGTGCCGCGCAGCCTGTACATGCTGCCCGTGGGGTTTAGCTACGCCCACCGGGCCGGGATGACGGTCGTCGGGGATGCGGCGCACCTCATGACGCCGTTCGCGGGCGAGCGCGTCAACGTCGGCATGGAGGACGCGCGGAGGCTGGCTGCTGCGGTGGTGGCGGCGGGGGGTGACCTGGGAAAGCTGGACGACGGCGTCGCGGCGTTCGAGAAGGACATGTTCTCACGGGCTGGCGAGTTTGCGGCACTGACCGATACGATGCTGCGCACGTGGTTCTTCACTGAGGACTGTCCGCGCTCTGTCGTCCCCAAGGCTTTGTCCACGCATGCGAGCTTCTATGCGCCGAGGCTGCTAAGACCGCTTGTGGGCGGGCTCGCGTATTCTTTCTTTTCGGTGCGTCAGATGGTCAGCTGATGCGCGCTTGGGATAGGTCTTGATCTTGATCTTGGTTGTTGCAAGTGCGGCCATGTTTGTATATGCATGCAAAGGCGAACTAGTCCAGAAATTGAACATACCTTGGAATACCGTTTGCCTGGGCTATTACATCGCAATTCTTACTATAGTGTGACCCTCAGTGCACTTACTTGATTGGCCCTCACCCGCGTACTAATTTCTCACTGCTCTGGGCTCCAGTATATGAGCACACATATTCTCCCGTTTTCCCTACCTAACGACGACCCATCGTGGAAGGATTCATCTCAACTGCCGGGCCAAGGGGAGGGAAGTGGAGCTTGCCCCGGACTCTAGCGTTATCCCGCACTTTTGATAGCGTCTTTCTCTCTCTCACTTCTCGAGTATTTTGACGTTCCCTGCAGTCCCGTGTGTCTGGTTATGTTCCACACTTGCTGTTGATAACAACATGGACAAATATCAGCCTTGCGGCGTTCACTTGGTCGGTAGCATCTGCCTCCCCTCTGCTGAAGAGGTCTTCCGCAAGACCACATCGATCCTACCAGGCCGCCTGCGGCGCATCCCGGACGGGGAGACCGAGCACCGGCAGCAATTCTGCGCATTCCAGCGGGATGTCTTCATAGAAGCAGGAGCATCGCAAGCCCTGCGCAAATACGATGCAGAGCGCAACCCACTTCCTTCCGACCCCGTCCCGGCGGAGGAGGTGGAGCAGCTGTTGCAGCACCTCCGCGAGCACCCCTTGCACACGAGATATGACACGCACGCCATCGAGTCGTACGCCCTTTTCAACCAGCTCCGCGACGAGGGCGTGATCGCGCCGGGGGTGCGGTTTCAAGTCAGCCTGCCCACGCCTATCAACGTGATGACCATGATCGCGCCGCCGTATCAGGCCGCGCTCGAGCCGGTCTATGAGGCCGCGTTGTTGCGGGACCTGCGCCGCATAGAGGCGGTGGTGCCCGCTGGCGACCTCGCTGTGCAGTGGGACTGCGCGATCGAATTTGCCATCCTCGAGGGGCTCGAGTACCCTTTGTTCCGGCCTTGGTTTGCGGGCGAGGGCCGTGACGCCGCGGCTCTGCGGGCGCACGTCGACGCGGCGCTGGTGCGGCTCGGGAGTGCGGTCGGGGCAGACACCGAGCTCGGGTTTCACCTCTGCTATGGCGATATCGGCCACCGCCACTTCTGCGAGCCGCGCGATATGGGGTTGCTGGTCGACGTTGCGCGGGCGTTGCTGCGGGATGTTGGGAGGCGGGTTGCTTGGCTTCACTTGCCTGTGCCCAAGGGGCGCGACGACGATGCATATTTCGCCCCGCTGGAAGGCCTTGTGCCAGTCATCGAGGAGGGCCAGACCGAGATGTACCTCGGTTTGGTGCATGTGGATGATGAGGAGGGGACACACAGGCGGATCGAGGCAGCCTCCAGGGTGCTCAGCGCTTTTGGAGTTGGCACTGAGTGTGGAATGGGGAGGACTCCGCCCGAGCACTTTGATTCCATCATGACCGTATCTGCCGCTGTTTCCTCTCCCGTTAGCAGGTCTACTTAACTAAACTAACCTTCACTTGTTTTGAACTGAGCTATGCGCGAGACAGACTCTGTTGTGCGCACTCGCTCCTCGTGAATTTCACTCATTATGTTCCAGCTTCACATCTGAGATGCAGCTCTCTCGGAAAGCCTCATTGCGGAGTCTGGTACTGTCGTCATTCCCAAGATATCATGCGATATAGCCAGGCGGTAGAGGAGTGGGAGATCATAAAGCACCTTTCTCCGTTGAAACCTCGCACAGGACAGGCGATATACCAGACGGCGCTTGAGACCCTTCGGTCTAGATACGCAGTCCCTTGGGCTCTTGCCTGTGTGAAAAGATGGTCTTCTAGCGTGCTATATGTGATGTCGTCGTGTACCGATTCAGGTGGCCAAAGCTAGAGGACAACCGAAGACATGGAACCCATACCGTTGTCCTCGCCTTTAAGAGAGTTCGCTCTGGTGTGGCATTTTCGCAAGGCTGCAGGGTCGATTCTCTGTACATGTTGGGCTAAGAAGCTGCGCGCACAGCTAGTCAAAGAGTCTGGCGTGTATGTATGCCGGAATTCGTGTCTCAATGTCCCGCGATGGCGCCATCAATTCGTGTTTTGAGAATGGCATGGCTCGTTGCCAAGAGACTTGAGGAACACGGCTGGAAAAGCTGACGATTGATGGCGGCCAGCTTCGCCTTGCTGTGCATACAAGTGACTGCCTCCCCCAGCTTGCAGCCCTATTGGTAGGAACGAGATAATCCGAGAGACTGGCTGGGTGCGTTCTGATGTGCGATCTGCCGGTCGAAAAGCGGCATTTGGGGTTAGCTGACGCAGTGACACACGCAGGTCGAGAAATTACACAACGTCTGTGGGCATGGTCCCGGTTGGAAGGGGGGGGGGGCTGGCTCATGCACGTGCTGCTAAGACTGTAGAGTAACCCGCTTGCGGCGCACAACATGCTCAATTTCTAGTTTTGTGTCGCTCTTTTTTTGTTATGGTTTTTTTGTCTCTCGCACGTGTCGGAGTCCTCAGCAGCTTGAAGAAGACGTATGGCGCAGATTCAGGCGGTCAGAAGCGTCGCAGTGACATGAGGATACTCGAACAGAGCTTTCGATAAAAATCTTACCGACAACACTCTCGAGATCGTGACTGCTGATAGAGAAGACTTTAATATTTTAGACGGAAACAGGGAGGCAGAAGGACGCGGCAAAGGAATTGGCTTTTATGGGGATTGGATGGCCAAGCAGTGGACTGATGTTAGACCAGGGGCAAGAGTGCTGATCTCCCGATTGTCCCTGGGCCTCAACCGTTACGAAGGGCATGCGACAGGAGGGCTCTCTCTAACCACAGACCAGGTGTCTCTTATCGCAATGGTGAAATGAAAGGCGCCCGAGCAGCAGTATCTGGCATGAACACGCCCATCCGTATTCGGCCGTTGGGCGTTCTAGTCCAACGTCGTCGCAAGAGCCGACTAGGTACTCCGTACAGTTGTGCCTCCTTGGTGTGCTGGCACCCTGTCCGTTGGGGAGCTTCTTCACCTGGTGCGAGGGGCAAGCAAAACGAGCTCGAGAAAAAAGCCTTGGAACGAAAATGATGGAGCCTGGGCGAAGCTTTCGGCGGGTGGTAGCCGGTGGGCCAATCGCGGGGCAATCAGCCCTGGGGACCCCAGAAGGAGGGGGTGCATGACAGCGGACCGACGGGCACTACTAAAGCCCTAGCAAGCCTAGGTAGGCCAGGTAGGTGACAACGTGGAATGGTGTGGAGCAGGGCGAACTGGCCCAATGTTAACCGTGCAGCCGTGATGGAGCGAGAGAGACAGGGCATGGGCAGCCTGGTTAGTCATCCATAGAGCAGGCCAGTGAACACAGCAGTAGCAACCATACCAATGCAATTAATTGATTGTTGAATTCCCTAGCTGCCTAGCTGATAAATATGCCAGACAGCGATACAATGGAGAAACAGATCAAAGAGTTCGGACGAATGTGGCCGAGTTCCCCGGTGGGCTCGAGACCTGGCGGAGCTGGCCGTGGAGCCTTTCCCCAGCCTGCAGCACATCAGCAGCAGCAGCAGCAGGATAGGTAATAAGTGTCTCAGGTTCCGAAGAAACAACGGAAGGGTAGAGAAACAGACATACTAGCCCTGTGGTAGTGGAATCTGTGCACCAAGGTAGGATGGGCCAGCTTTGACTGCCCCTTGTCTAGGCGGTCCTGGCGGTTCGGGATCGCTTGTCTGCATTTCTGCACCCCAATTCCTGCATCTCAAAGGCTTCTTCCCTGTATGCATCCATTCTGTGCATAATGCTGGCCGAGTCCGTGGGGAACGGTAACCCGAGACGAGACACTACGGGAGCGTGTTCCCTTCTGGGCCCTGGTGAGACAGAGGCAATAATCGTCAACTCGACAACTCGGGTTGAAGAATATCAAATGTGGACGGACGGCAAAGAACAGGTGTCAGACAAGGCGAGCTTGGCATGATTGAGCCTTGAGCCTAGGACTGTCAGTCTGTCTTGTCTGTCAGTCTGTCAGTCTGTCTGTCAGCCCGTTCATCTGGAGAGGATGCAACGTAATGCGATGCAATGCAATGCCGCAGGCCAATCAAACAATGTCACTGGTCTTCGAGCCACTCAATATCAGTCAATCGACAACACCTTACCCAGGTGGTGGTGATGAGAGGAACTGGTGCCCCCAACAACCAGTCCCAGACTGCCAGAGGAGCTCCAACCCCCAGCCCAGGTCCCAGAAAAAAAAAGGTCCCTTGTTGGTCTTCAAGAAACGGCAGATGGTCATTGCCCCACCCCACCCGTCGTCCCTTCCCAGGAACGGACTAGCCGTTTTCTGATCCGCGGCTTCCCAGTGGCTTGTGGCGTGTCCATGTCTCCCCGCACCCCTGTCTGCAGCGAATAGAGCTCCAGCCTTCTGGCCAGCAAGTCGAGAGCGAGCGAGACCACCCTGGGCTGTTGCATGTGTATTCCGATCCGCTACTGTATGCTGCTGCGGTGCTGTTGCTGTACGGGGGGTGCTTGCCGGATGCTGGATGCTGTATCTATGCCACCCACACACACCACCTCACCTCCTCGCTGGGCAAAAGCTGGGCAGTAACGGTGGTACGCACCAACAAGCAGAGTCCCATGTTGCAGTACCCAGGGTAGGGCAGACAGGCCACCACTCATAGCAGCAGCCACCTTGACTCTGGATTTGTTTTCCCATTCTTCCCCCATCACCACCACGGCCACCACCACACCATCGGGTCGACGAGAAACCTCTAGAGATTGTCTCTATTCTCGCTTCTCTCTCCTTCTACTCCCCGCCTTCTTTCCCCTCCCCTCTCTCTCCTCTCTGTCACCCTCGTCCCCGTATCGCCCAGCACACGGCGTTTCTGAGGGACCCTCAGTCGGAGTGTTGACCGTTCCAGGTTCCCCCTTCTCTAACCCCCCACCACCAACCTCTTCCTCGACAGCTCTCTCTTCCCTCTTTTTGCGACCCGCCCGGACGACGACGAGTGGCTGTTTCCTGGCCTCCCAAGGACAGCCCAGTCACCACATCCCAAGCGCATCGAGCCTTGATCACCCCTCGACTGCCACACTTCCCAACCCCCGACTTCGCTGTCTTCATCATCGGCCAGGTCGTTGGTGGCTCCGGTCCCCAGACTCCGTCGCATCGCATCGCATCGGAACGAACACTCGACCCGCTACCCTCCTCCCTCGAGACCCTGCACCCACGCTCTAATCGGTCCTCGCACGGTATTCAGCCACCCGACCAGGCACTCACATCGTTGTGGAATTGATAGAAGCTGCCGTTGTACAGCCGCACGTACACGCATAATACATATTCTTGAGAAGGTTGTTCAGTGCGCGACAACGATTCTCTTGGCAGCACGTCCGTTGTGTCACCTCGGCGACTTCTGGGAAGCTCCTCGTATCAACACAACAACCTTGGAAGGTCGGCAGCACACAGTGTTTACGGCGCCGCCACTCTGCCGGCTTTTTTTGTTTGTTAAAAAAAAGTAGGTGGGTAGTCAGTCTTCTTGTACCGTCATTCAACCTCGAGATCTCCCACGCATCGCGCGACCAGCAGTCACTCGCGCCGGATAATCGCACTGGCCGGTGGACAGCTGGCTGGACGAGGCCCTTCCCGACTCCGTTTGGCTCGACAAACGTCAGCCTTGGTCTGCGTCGCAATACTGATCTGCCCCCCCCCCCCCCAGCACCAGCACCCGCACCCGCACCCAAACCTCCGTCCCAAAGCCTAAGCCGGGTCGTACAGTACCTTGGGCCAACGCACCCAGGCCGCCACCCACTCACAGCACGCCATTTCCGTACCTTCTGCCAACCGTTGCCTGTTCCAGTCTAGCCCACCATCCGCTGCGACAGGGTTCAACTTGTCACCGGCGCGCAGAGCAGTTCCGGGACTGTGATGGACGAAAAGGGAGCGACAACAACTGCATCCAAACCAGCTGTTGCCAGCCCCTCGACTGCACTGTCCAGCGTCTCCGACTCCAAGGGCGCTGCAATTGCCACGACGCGCCCATTGTACAGCAGCAAACTCGGCGATACAAAACCAAAAGCCCCCGAAAGTAATTCCAGTCCGACCACGAGGTGAGACACGAGACTTGTCCGGCCCCCCAAATCATTTTGGTTTTCTCACCTCCCCCTGTCACATCGCCCATTTCTCGCTTCGGACAACAAAGAACCTAAAGGCGCATGCAACATCCCCTTGCAGCAGCCTCCTCCCTCCTCCTCTCCTCCTCGCCCTCGTCGGATGCACGTGCTGGGCTCGGCGTCTTTGGCGATCCTGAATGCCTCATCCTCCTGACCAGCCCATTGTCGGTCGCACCTGTGCTTGGCGTCCCGAACTGACCAGCTCTCTCAAGACAGGCCCCCGCGCCGCAGCACAAGGCCTGGACGACTGCCAATCCCAAGATCACGGGCCGTTCGAATAGTCCTCAGCTGAAGAACAGCACTGACTCGGCCGTCACCAAGCCGGCGTTGGTCAACTTCTTCAATCGCGTGAGAGAGGTAAGTCGGTGACTGGCAGCCCTCCGGGTCGGCGTTCCCCTTGCGCCCTGGCTTCTTTGCCTCGCGCGGACCCACTCAGATCCACCCATCCCCAGCTGTGCTGTCACACCTGGCTTCAATTTCACCGCGGCTTTGGACCACCTCAGGCAACACAGCTCCTTTTGCTCCCGATCCTCCCCCCGAGCATAGCCACAGGCAACCCGTCATCTGCAGTCTGTGGCTCGCTTTCAAAGATAGAATACTCATCATCTCTGTTGACAGGGCAATCGGGTCCAGATAACCCTCGACAACGGCGCCGAGTTCGAGGGCATATATGCCAACAACCCTACGAATCCATCCAGCTGCCACTTGAAGATGGTCCAGCAGAAGAAAGCAGGCTCTGCTGACGCCATGAACGGTTCGACCAAGAGACAGCAGAACAACATGTCCTTTGCGCGGGGTAGCATCGCCGATGGTCGTGTCATGGGTGGAAACCAGAACAGTCGCAATGGTAAACAAAGCACACAATATCACCTGCGTTTTCGTACTTCATTTGCTGATTCCCCACAAAGGCAACCGGGCAGGCTTCCAGACGGACAGTGGTATCACTGGCGAGCGCTTTGGCGGGCAGCGCGAGCTCAAAAGGTGGGTCGGCGACGGCCTTGGCGACGTGGACGGTAGTCTGGAGAAGGCTACAGACAACAAGCCTTGGGACCAATTCGCGGCCAACGAGGAGAAGTTCGGCCTCAAGACGGACTACGACGAGAATATTTACACAACAACAATTGATCGAAGCCACCCGAGCTACAAGACAAGGATGGCCAAGGCCGACCAGATGGCCAGAGAGATCGAGCGCAGCAACCCCGCCTCCTCCCATGTCGCCGAGGAGCGTGTGATGGACTATGCCGGGCCAGCGGACGGGGGCTTGGACGAAGAGGAGAAGTACAGCACCTCACCTACCAAGGCACTCTTGGCCTTGCTAACAATTCTACAGATACAGCGGTGTCAAGCGGCCAGACTATCCTCCCCTCGGCAGTCAAAACCCGAACAAGTACACGCCTCCGGCGCGTCGCGCCCCGGCTGCTCAGTCAACTGTGAAGGGCGCACCGGTCGACCCTGCAATCATCTCGTCCCAATTGAGGAGCGGTCCGAGCAAGCAGCCAACACCTAAGCCCGATGAATCGAAGGTTGCGGTCCCCAACTCTACCAAGGCCCCCGCTGCGCAAAACAGCGAGCCTAAGGCTGCCGAGGCGAAGAGTGACGGCAAGGCCGAGGCGAACAAGGATGATGTCAAGCCGAAGGACACAGAAAAGAGCCAGCCCGACACGAAGTCCGCTGAGAAGCCCGCTGCGAGCTCGCGGCCTGCTGCTGCTACCGGACGTACGACCTCACCCGCAGACAAGGAAAATGCTAAGCCAACGTCCACGACGATAGAGCAGACCGTCCTGACCTCGTTCAAGAACTTCGCAAGCAAAGAGCGACAGGTGGCAGAGAAGGCTCGCAGCACCAAGGCCAAGGCAGACAAGGAGGTCAAGCTGATTGAGCTCAAGAAGTTCGCCGACAGTTTCAAGCTTGGCACGCCTGTGCCTAACGACTTGATCGGCATCATCGCCAAGGATCCCAAGAAGCAGCAGGAGATCCAGGCCAAGGCTCTCAAGAATGCCGAGGAGTCGCGCAAGGCCAAGGAGGACGCGAAGAAGGACCCTGTTGCTAAAGAGAAGGAGGTGACTGCTGCCAAACCGGGCCAGTCAAAGCCGGCAGCAGAGCAGGCTGCTTCTGCTACGGCCGGCACGCCCGCTGCCACTGCGGCCGGCGCCGCAAGCGTTGGTGCTTCCCGCTCTGGTGTTGCACCGCAACACGGAACCTCTACTGCTGGAGGCCCGAACCGTCATCCCGGCAACCGTCAGTCATATGCCCCGGGATCGTACCCTCAGCAATTCCGCGGCGACCGTTCATCTGGGCAGAATGTGCCTCGTCAACATCAGCAGCCCGGCCACCTGTCTCAACGCCTTCGCAGCGCGGAGCAGCAGAGAATGTCGCAGCCGCCTCCCCACATGCAGCCCGACATGCGCATGCCTCCCACTGGCCCCGCGAACAGCATGAACCCGTCATTCCCCCCTCGTCACGCCGGCCTGCCACCAAATCACATGGGACCGGGCCCAAGGTTGAACCCCAACACCCAGGAGTTCAGGCCAAACGCGCAGCCGTTCTATCCCACTGGGCCCAGTGCGGCCTCCAGCCCGCGCTCAGCGTTGAACAATGTCGAAGGGCATGGAAGCTCCACGCCAGTCACTGGCCCAGTGATTAAGCGTAAGATCAAGTCAATTGACATCAAGAAGTGCTTCGCGCTCAGTCATGTCATTTCTATCAAGCAGCCTCAGGCAGGCAACAATCGCGCATGGGAGGAGAACGGGGGTTTGCGGCCCCCATTCGACACCATGCCCACATGGAATAGCCTCTCCGAGGGAGACGACAAGCAGGAGAAGATCAGCTACAAGCAGCTGTTCGAGCGCCCACCCCCATACGCTGGTGCCATGCCCACCCCGAACCCTGCCCCAGTGGCACCTCAGATGCCACACCAGCACCAGCTCCCCTTCCACCTCCAGCAGGGAGCTCACGCTGTCGGGCCTCGTCAGTCACCGCACATGCCGCCACTGCAGATGCACGCCGGCCAGCCAGGGCATGCGCCTCACATGCCGTTCAACAATGGAGAGGATGCCACTAGGATGATGCCCTCGAACTCGGCGCAGTCATATGCCTCGCCCCGGCCCGGGCAGGTACCAATGGCTTATCCACACGCCATGAACTCTCCGGCGCAAATGCCTTACTCCCAGCCCGTGATGCCTGGGTTCATGGCCCCTGGCGCCCCGCAGATGACGCCACAAATGCGTAATTTCGCGCAGAACCCACAATACATGCCGCAGCAACACGCCCAGATGGGTGGAGGGCCGATGATGATGGGTCCCCAGTACATGACAGCACCTTCCCCCCTCATGCAGGGCGGTCCTCAGATGCCCATGTACGCCCCTGGTGCTCATCCGCAGTTCATGCCCCCTGGACCGGTACCCCCTCCGGCGATGCCCGGCTCTAATGGATACCCAAGCCCTGGACGGCCAGCTGCGCCGATGATGGCTCCCCAGGGGTCTCAACAAGGCCAACACATGTACGGCATGAGCCCCGGCACGATGCCTCAATACCAACAACCCGTCTTCGCGCCGCAGCAACCCGGCCAAAGTAAGTTTAACAACAACAACAATAACAACAGGCGATACAGCTCATCGGGCCGTCAATACTAACGACGTCTCGAAGTGGGCAACGTGAGAGTACATAGCAACCCTGGACCGCAGCAACTCGGCAGCAGTCCTCAACAAGTTCATCACTTTGGGCCACAGCAGCATCGAGGCAACGGGTACGGTGGTAAGAATTTCACCGGCCCGCCTCAAGGACCATCTCCGAATCACGGTGGCCCAGCCATTGCCCAGGCCCGGGCCCCTGAAGCGCAGGACGGAACCAAATGATGATGCTTTTCTTGTTTTGCCCCAGTCGATGTCGTCTTGGCCCTTGCTCGAAGGCCAATCTCAACTTGAAGTCGTTTCCCTGCATCCATATCGGGCCATGACGCTCCAGCGGTGTGCATTTCCTGTGTTATCTCTCGGATGACCGTGGCCCGGTCTACAACATGCTCATCATACGGTCATTTCTGCCATAGCGTGCCTCGACGGGCTTGGTGCAACGTTATGGCTATCTATCAATGCGGTATGAAGCATCTCAGACAGGGTCTAGGGCCATTATTCTAGACAACTTTCTCGCCTATGTGTCACGACGAGGTATCTGACGTGTGTCGATCATTGCCTCTTTGGACATCGTCGATACCGGACTGTGACAACTGCACGTGGGCGGGAATGCTTATGCGCCGGGAGGAAGCAAGGTGATCAACATACCGCCGTCTGAGCGCAGCCTAGGCGGGAGGGAGGGCTTGCCAGAGCAGTGGTGGCTTTCAGTCGGCCATGTGCAGGACATACATGGTGGAGGCATCACAGGATACTGCTATTCGAGTATCATTTTTGGTGGGAGTTGCTTGAGGAGGACGGTTGGGCACACTTGGTCGCGACCAAACGACAAGGCAACTCGCGATTCAGGGCACTGCCGGCCGGCTGCGAAGCGGACGAGATAGGTGGTGTTGGGCTGTAGATGGTCCAAACCTGGATGTTTGCGCCGCTTGTCTGTGGCGTCTGTCACCAGGAGGTTTTGAAGTATCGTGGTAGCGGTGGTAGTTGAATCGATTGTTATCAAGTGTCGACCCTTTGTTCCTTTTGACCGAACCGATGGTGACTGAGTGATATAGTATGACATGTTCGGTCTCTGTCCTCTTGTCTTTGGGCACGCGCTTAGTAAACAAGACCCTGTGTTATTCTATCACCCCTACACCCTCCCAGATCCGATTCCTATTCCGTACACGAGCATGTACGTGCTCAAGCTTCAGGACCCCAAACGCTCGCCCTCAACCAAGTGTCTTCTCAGAGGCAGGTCTCACGCTGCTATGTATGTAACATTCAGTATACGTATGCCCGCCTGTGATGTTGTCTTGAAACTGGCTCGGGTGTCTATCCCTTTTGTCCTGTGGATTTGAAGGGTATGTGTGGTTGACATGGCGTGTTGATGGTCCCACATGTCATTGAGATCAGCATTGTGGATCCATGCTGTTTTGAAAACGGAAAGGCAGAGGTGGAGTTTGTCTCTTGAGATTCTGGGGTTCTCGAAACTAGCCTCCATCCATTCAGCCCATGGGGCTGAGCTGGTCTCTGGCTGGGGCATGCGGTACGTGTAAGGGAGAGAACTGCTTCGAGGTTATGTGAGAACGACGCGCCTCCCGGGGTGACGGGAAACCACACGAGATCAAGCACTCAAATCGCCGTCTTGAGTTCCAGTGGGCCCTTGAGGCTCAGCGATAGGTGCTCCTGCCTCGGACCGCGCAAGAAGAAGACGATTTCCCTGTGCGAACGGTATATTGTCAGTGCAGGGAATATGGTGCACCTATCTGAGGAATACTTGAAGAGGGATCCCGTCTGTTGTAAGACTGGGCTACTACTGAAATGTTCACAGAAGATGTGGGAAAACAACCCCCCCCCCCCCAAGAAAAAAAAATACATCCCGTGCTCGCTACTGGCTCATGTCATGTCAAAAGACCTACACAGAAGGCACATAGTCCCGGAAAATCCCAAAGATTAGCTCCTCGAAATTGGCCTTCCCCTCAAGCACCTCCTCCCCGACAAGCCCACCCTTCAACAGCCCGTTGGCGTGCTAGTAGTTAGATCCCAGACTCATTCAGCCCTGACAATCAGCCCCGTCGATTATGGACTGCCCAGGCGGCTGGTTGCCCCAGTTCTTGTCCTGATTGGTAGGTAGCCTGCCCAACGCCGTCTGCGAAGGCGGCGGCGGCGTTCGCGGACCTGTCAGTCTTGAACGCTGGCGCTAGCGATGGCGTGGGAGTCGGGCACGGCGTTGGAACCAGCAGAGCAACGCCTAGGAAGAGGCTTTTGGTCTAGGGCCCGTTGAGGTCGCAGGGGTAGTGGGAGGGGGAGGGTGCGATCTGTTTTTGTTCGGTGTCACTGGCAGGCAGTTCGTATAGTGGAAAGGCAATAGTGAGCTTGGTGGCCAAAGGAGAGAGAGGCTTCAAATCATGATGTTGCTTGTGGCCTTGTGAACAATGTATTCATAAATCTCCATGTTGGGCGAATCAAGCTCAATGGTGTTTATCATGCTCGAAACCATCCCCATCCAACGCCAAGTCTGAAAAAGACCCAGTCCTCCTTGATCTCCTTGGGCACATCCATGGATCCGTGATTGAGACACCCCCATCAGCCAGATCCTCAAAGTAGAACTCCGTCCCGTTAGCATCGCGCCGGAAACCTGGACTCAAAGCCGGTGTGAGCAGTACTTCTTGAACTTGCCCGAGTTGGAAAAACAAAAAACCATGTGGAGCACAGGTCTCGCTTGCGGGGGAGAAGACGTCAAAGTATCAGAAAGCTTGCGGGCATGCTCATCTTGGAACCCGTCGAGGTTTTCCGCCTGGGAGATTGATATGCTCGACGGTGATGGTGCCGCCGTTATTGTAGACGGGCTTGAGCTCCAGCGAGCGGGTGCTGTCGGTGTTGGTGTTGGATGAGGCAGGTGCAGCGAGGGCGATCGATGCTCGCCAGGGCGTCCAGCAGAGCGATGTTGAATGAAGACCTTATGAATGGGGGAGCCTGTTTCAAGAGGACTCGGAGGCTGCGATTATGGTACGATGAAATAGTTTGATTTCCATCCCGTCGAAAACATCGACTCGTGATACAATTCTTGCTCATCGACATATGAGCACTGGCATACTAGGAACGTTGCCCGTGCTCATTGCCGTCAACCTCAAATTATAATTCTTCATATCGACTGTGTGCAAGTGAGAATTCATGGCGTATTTATGAACGAAAACGCATTGCTAGTAAGGGGAGCTGAGGTTGCTGTGTTATTTCTACGTAAGTATTTCTTATGCACACCCTTTACAAGTAGTTTATGAAGAATTTCCTAATCACATAAATATGAAACAACCCTCATTCATTCCCCGACATCTGGTCTCTTCAGGCAGCAAATAATGGTTAACTAGTTCCATAGGTGACTAAGTCGGCTTCAACCTGAGACGGTGGACAGTCAACGTCACTGTCTACGAAGGAGACGTCTACCTTACAGCCTACAGCCACACAGAATGCAAGCGTGGATGATATGATGTTACCATCTCACACAGGTAATCCTTAGACAACTCCGTGGACCCCCGGTCACACATAACTCTAGGTACTATCTACCACTTATTTTACCCTACTCAAGAATCTCTCGCGCCAAGCCGAAGACATCGCAGAGTCTCGTGGTGTCGGGAGATATGTTATGCGAGGGGAGAACAACGGATTCGATCAAAGAGGCAGGTGGCATCCCAAGGGAATAACTTGGTAGAAAGAGGCCAAAGGAAGGAAGACATACCCCGCTCACATCTAGACCCGGCCAAGCGATGCTTGTGGTGGGGGAGGAGGAGGAGGAGGAGGAGGAGGAGCCTGGGAGAACCACGCAGGGGAACCACAGCAGGCTCTTCGTGGAATCCCGTCAGCAGTTATGGCCCCGAGTCTTTTTTTTTTTTGCCCATCAAGTGGCCTCCTAGACGGCGGCCACGACTTTGAGGGGGCTTACTATGCGGGGGATTCATGTGTTAACTGGGCAAGTTTGCTGCACCAGTACACCGAGATCGTGGGTGTGGGCTGCCTCGGGGAAAAAGGGGGGGGGGGAGCATGGCAGATACCCTGTCGAAGCCGAGGAGCCGTGCCAACATCAGCCCACTATTTTGAAGATGTTCAAGGCTCTCCTTGAGAACCCAACCGCATAAACGGCCGAGTGTGCGTATCGAGTGGATCCCCGTTGTCAGCTTCCTTCCGCAGGCTGTCCGAGGCCACTTGGCCCTGGCCGCGAGTGTAGGAGGTCAGAGAAAGGCCGCGGCACCACGTCACATGCTGGCCTGTGTTAAGACCCAGTTGCCAGGACCCACTGAGAGCCTGTCAGCTTGGAAGGGGAGAGGGACATGAGCTTGTTCGATGTAGCCCTTTGGTACTTCCTGTCCAAAGTGCACTTGGCGGAGTGGCCGCTGCCAGATGGCGCCCAACATTGAGAGCCTTTGGTAGGCCACCGAGCACGCGAGATGCGACGAGGATGCACCCCAGCTGGGCTGTTACCTAAACAGCGCATCGTAATAACTCCATTGAGAACGATTGGCGATGACGAGAGCTCGCGCAGACCGCATAGGACGAATAGGACGACTCTTGTCCGACAGGGATGGCTGAGACTGGCGGCCGAGGGCCTGGCCAGAGGGCGTTTGTCGAGGCGGGCCTGGGCTTGTACTCGGTAATGCTTGGCTTATAGGACTCGCCCAGGCCCACAAGACACAGGCAACAGACGGGCCGACAGTGGTAGGATGACCAGGAGTCTGGAGAATACAATGACAATATTCTAGGCGGACTGGGGGTGGGGGCCAACGGTGCCGTGGGTTAGGCCCAGAATGTCGTGTCTACCGTCCAGACCGTCAGGCCGTCCTGGCTCTCGTGATAATACGGATAGTAGAGCACTTGGGGACATGGGGTCGTCGTGGCGAAGGGACGGCGATCTGGGCACAGCCTCGTCGCTAGCCGGGTGTTGTAATAAGGGAGGCTCACAGCATGGCAATCAGTCAATGCGATGCCAGCGTAGGGCGTAGGCACAACCGGCACACAAGTTCCCCCAGCCCCCAGTGCTACGGACCCTGTCTCCTTTCCTGGTTGTGAAACAAGGGTTCCCGGGAAGGGCAGGGGTATCCCGAGGAGACGACACGACAAATACCAGCAAGATGTGGGTTAGACCGTGGTCACTGGGCACGCAGACAAATGGAGGCCTCGGGATCTTCCCCATTGCGGATCTCGGATGAGGTCGATCGCACAATGCGGATTGTTGCCGGCGGAGTGGTGGGCCCCATTGGTAATAACGAACACGACCAGGGTTCACCTGCTGCTGCCGCCGGCGGAGGCAAGCGCAGCTCGTGTGAGCTCGGACGCCAGCCGGGCCAGCAAGATCGGATTTTATTCATGGGCACAGTCTACGAGTCGAGGAAGTGGAAGTCGAAGCGGCGGCAGTGGTTGTGATGGCGCGTTCGTTTGGCGCGGGTTGCCAGTCGCCTGACCTGAGACGGGGTCCATGTCCAGGTCTGTGTGCCCATTGGCTGGCGGTCTGGTGGGCAGCTGAGGCATTTGGGAGAGGTGGTAGCGTCTGCAGACCATAGTGGCAAAGAGAATGGGATGGATGGATGTTTCGTTTTAAAGCCGTCGTCTTATACGTGAACTCGGGACATATTGGCCGGTGCCAAAGGGTTCGTCTTGGCCATTTTATGCTTTCGTTCCGCGATGGGAGATGCGATGCCAAGCATGGGGCGGCGACTGGCAGATGGAGCTTGTCGGCAACTGAGTTGGGACTGGGACAGTCGGCAACGTTACACGCTACACGCCGTAGGGGCTGTTGATGAAGAGAGGCAGCGGGTTCCATGGTACGAAAGGGTTCAAGACATCTTTTGCACCTGTCACACGAGTCAAATGGCCTGCGCGGTCCACTATGGCGGCTGGCTGCAGTGGGGCCGTGAAGATCAATCGCATGGCATCGTGTCGTGTCGCGCTGAGCCGCAGGCCCTCAGGCCCTCAGGCCGTCTTGGAGAATGGTGATCCACCTCGGCAGCTCGGTCATGGCTTCGTGATCGGATCTTCGTGATCGGACGTGTCGCCAGGCAGACTCGATGCCGAGGGCACACTTGTGATGAACAAGAAACAACCGGTCGAGCGGGCTGGCAGGCAGAGTGTTTCGTGGGCAGTCGAGGTGGTGGTGGTATTGGTGGTGGTAGTAGTAGTGGTATTGGTGGTGCATGTTTCAAGTTCAGTCGTGTGCCGCGCAAGGCGGTTGACGAGAGAGGGCAAAACCCCAACTCGGTCACCTGGTTTGTGAGGTGGTCTGCAGCGTGGACGTCGACCCCTCGCAGGAATTTTACCGCCCCCAAGCATTCGCTGGCCCTGCTGGCCCGGCCAGTGATCTGCCTGCAACAGGGATCAGCCCAGGGGGGCAGGGGGCAGGGGCCTGGAGGGTACTGGGGGACAGGAGGACTGGAGGGGTAGTCCGCTGCACAGCAGAGGAGGAGCAAAAAAGAGGGATGGCGCCATGGGTTGAGCCGCCTTCCGTGCTAGCTGCAGTTTGCAGTAATGCACTTCGGACAGGCACACAGACAGAGCATTCCTTCCTTTTTTCCCACCGTGGCTGCCGTGCTAGGCCAGACTAAGCTTAATTGAAGCCCCTGAATCCCTGACACAATCCTGGTGCGACGGCCAAAAGACGTGCAGGTCGAGTAGCGCCTGTCATTGGCGGCTACTCTTTCCGCCTCTGTGTCTTGGAAGCTGCGGGATCCAGGTACGATGTCTTGCTGATTGGCCCAGAAGCGCCCTCCTGCGTTGGTAGCGTGGCAGCACGCACCATCGGATCTTTTTCCAGGACTGGTCCCTGATCCATCCCACCCTGCTCTGACCAGTTCTGACCAGTTCTGACCAGTCCTGACCAGTCTGCCAGCCCGACCCCTCCCTCCCCTCTTCTGACTGCTTTGCTGCTGTGCACTTTCTTCTTCTTCATCACCGCACAGAAAGAAACCTGCCAAGGATCGAAACAGAAGAACAGACGAAAGCACGAAAGGACACCCATGTTTCCGCGCCCGCACAAAACAACCCATCAGCTCCGTTTGCTTCAGACTATGCCCACTGACCTGGCACCACGCACTGCCATTCGTGATGTCCAACCCACGCCCTAATCAACTAATTACCTTGGTCGACGGGTCATAGCGATCATCCCATATTGTTATTGTACATGGACACTATGACAATCAATATACGTGGGGAGCTGGCAGTCCTGGCAGTCCACAACCACCACCACAAGCCGCGGCCCAAGAAAAAGAGCTGCCCCTCCGCGATGTCACCTTGGCCCCATATCCCTGCCTCGCCTTCCGTACCCAGCAGTCAGCCCCAGTCGGCACGGCGTACCCCTGAGCTGAGCAGGGAGGCAGGGAGGCTGACTGCTTCTCACGGTACCAGTCCATCCTTCTCTTTGTTTGCCGCTCAGTGGGCGTCGGGCAGTCCTGGCAGGAGGGCACGAGGGGCAACCTGCCACCGGCCCAGGTCCAATCGTCGTGGTCAACTTCCTTGCTACCGACAGCAGGATCCTCTCGTCAGGGATGGCCGTGACACAGAACTGGCCCAATATGGAAGTCCACATGCCGCCTAGTGGCGGTTATCTGCATCCAAGTGGCCACGGCAGATCCTGAAGCGAAGGGGAATAGGAGGTTAGTGCTTCTTCTGCCCTTCCATTTGCTGTGCTCTCTCTGCTGCTCCTGGTCAAAAAAAGAAAGAAAAATGATCTGCAGACTCGCACTACTGTTGTACCCAGGTACCCAGGTACCCAGGTGCCGCGGTAAGTCCGTGCTCGTGCTGCCTGGGTGGGGTGGAACCTGCAGACCTGATCGGCTCACCTTGTGGTCTGGGTCGTGATGTCCCTTGCTAGCCTGACCTCCATGTCCTCCTGAGACATAAGAGAACGAGCCTCTCCCTCTCTCTTCTTGTCGGATGCCCTCTTTTTTTTTTTCTCGGCTCACCATCTCGACATCATCTGTCTGTTCTTGCTCTTGCGCAACGAGGTTCATTGCATTCCTTATCTTTGACCTCTCAAGCTTCTTCTCTTCTTTCCCTCCTTCCAACGGCCAAGATCCGCAACTCTCAGATTAGCCCGGTGCTGTCTCCCTGCCTCCCCACGATTACGTCTCTTTGTCTCACCAACAAGGGACTTCACATTCCTTCCAACTCGGAAAAAAAAACCACCACAAGGCGGTCGATCTCTCAAACAAAGGCTTTGTTCGTTGATTCATTCAGCTGGACAATATCTGTCTTCTTGTGGTCACAAGAAGCTCTGACTCGACCCCGGCCACCAACACACATTCATTGTCATATCAACTGCCACAGGCTGGTATTTGACTCGATAAATATCTGGAGATATTTTCGAGATCCACTCATTCAAGAGATCTGACAACAGTCGCGAAAAGCTCGAGCATTCGATACAGAAAACTTGGACTTGCCCAGGACATCATATATCTCATCACCACCAGACAAAATGCGTTCCACCACATCCGCTACTCTCCTGGCTGCCCTGGCGGGCTCTGCCTCGGCCCACATGATGCTTTCATACCCTCCCCCTCTGAACAGCAAGTACAACCCCTTTGCGAACTCGGGCTCCATCGACTACTCCTACACCGCGCCTCTCGCTGCGGACGGATCCGACTACCCTTGCAAGGGCTACCAGAGCGACCTGGGCACTCCTGCCGGTCAGCCAACTGCCACCTTCGCCGCCGGTCAGCAAGGCAACATCACCGTTGTTGGCGGTGCTGCCCACGGCGGTGGCTCGTGCCAGATTTCTCTCTCTACCGACGGCGCCAAGACCTTCAAGGTCATCCAGTCCATCATCGGAAACTGCCCCGTCAACGGCGAGGGAAACTTCGACTTCACCGTCCCCTCGGACGTCCCTGCAGGAGACCATGTTCTGGCTTGGTCATGGAACAACCGCATCGGCAACCGTGAGTTCTACATGAACTGCGCCGCCGTCACCATCACCGGCGGCAGCTCCAAGCGGGATGAGGTCACCGAGAAGCGGGCAGCTGCCTTCTCTTCCGCTCCCGACATGTTCGTCGCCAACATTGGTAACGGCTGCTCAGTAGCAGAGGGCGGCGACGTCAAGTACCCCAATCCTGGTGATGCTGTCATCGACAACAGCGACAACCCTGAAGCCCCCTCGGGAAACTGCGGTTCCTCGGGCTCCTCCAGCGGCTCTGGCTCTGGCTCTGGTGCTGGTGCTGGTGCTGGTGCCGCGCCTGCGCCTGCGCCTGCGCCCGCGCCGACCTCGAGCACTGTCGCTGAAGCAACCCCATCGTATGTTACCCTTTACCTCCTCCTTCCCCTGCTGACTTACATCTATCTCCATTGATCTCATGCTTACACTGCTTGCAGTCTTGGTGGTATCTTCGCAACCGTCTCCGCCTCTGTTGAGGCCCCTCCCGCCGCAACCCCCCAGGCGTCCACCACCCTCTCGACCGTCACCAGCGCCGCTGCCACACCTACCCCAGAGACCGCAGCCCCTCCCGCAGCTGCCCCGGCTCCTGGCGGCTCTGGTGCGACCACTGAGGGCTCTGCCTGCTCAAACGAGGGCGAGTGGAACTGTGTTAGTGGCAGCTCCTTCCAGCGCTGCGCCTCGGGCAGATGGAGTGCCGTTCAGAGCATGGCTGCGGGCACCTCCTGCGAGGCTGGTGTCGCTGCCAACCTCAAGATGATCAGCGCCAGGAGGGCCGGACGGTTCCACGCGCGCCGCTTCGCCGCCTAAGACCTAGGTCACAAGGAGAAAGAGAAAGGACCCTCAGGCTTAGGGTATTTGTGTGACTAGGGCTCTTTGCTAAGGGCATCACGGTGTGGAAAAATTCTATTCTTGGACAAGCCATTTAGGCAATTTTTGTATTTCTGGTTCGGCTTTTTTATGATACCTTGGGCATGTTTGGCATTCTGCATCACTGGAGTGGGAAAAAATCAAACCACATCTTTTTGAATGGATTACATCTATGGCAGCGTTCTCGCTTGCTTCCAACTCAACTGCTCTGCATGCTTTGCTTCCTGTGATAGTGACCTACTTGAACATCTCTTGAAAATGTTGTATATCGTAATATCTCTGGGTGAGCCATATTATTGGACTACGTGGCAAACAGAGTTTTAGCCTGGTAGAATCAATTGTCTTCATCACCCCGGCTCTAATCTACAATACGAATTAATTGTGAGAGGGGGAGGGCATGGCACGGGGCCGGCAGTCACTCCGGGGAGAGCGCCCGGCTTGTTTCACCAAGATTGACGTGACGTGCCCTTCTCCCCCGGCGGAGGGTCAACGCGGACGTCCTATAGGCCGGCTGCTGAGATTGTGTCGCGGAGGGACCAAGACACTACAGTACTACACCAGCCAACCACCGGCGAGAGCACAGCCCAGCCCAGCCCAATGTCCGTCCGCCCGCCCGTCCCCTTGGGGAATGGACGGCCGCTAGAATGTTCTGGTCTGGTCCTCCCCACGTCCTCCCTTGATGTGGATGGACGTTTCTTCAGCAGCAGCGCCGCGGCACGCGGCCGATGTGGCCGAGCCGAGGCCTCGGTGGGCTTTTTTTTTTTTTTTGGGCCTGCGGCACGTATTGTCTGTCTATCTCGCTTTGCCCGCCTGGTTGTGGAATGTGTCCTTGCCTGGGTTTTGGGGACCTCCCTTCGTGGCAGCTAGCTACCTAGGTAAGCTGCCTGGCTTGTGCCGCACCGCGGTTCGTTTTTGGCTTGCTGTTCAGTGGTGTAATAAATACAGCGCGGACGGTGTATTTTTATGTCTATGGCTTGCTGGGCTGATTATCGTTGTTCTGGCCCTTTCACGTGTCATGCCTTGGCCTGTCTTGACGATGCTGCGTACCCTATGTCGCCCACCGCGGCCCCCCCTAATCTTCTATGCGTTCTCCCAGCCTCGATACGGCGCGTGAGATGACCAATTTTGTGGTTGTAGAGCCTGCCTGCCCCATGAAGAGCCAGCCACACCTGCGCGTCCATCACTCCCTCCCTCTGGCTGGTGACCGCGTGCTACTTCCGACCCCCCCCCTCCCACGTTGCGAGTTAATGCTTTATACACCCATATTTTCACTTGAATATACGATATTCTGCTGTTTTAAAGCCTTCTTGTACATAGACATACTATTCAAGTTTATAATAGACTGAAGATCAATACCCAGGTACTCCTTCTTACCCTCATCTTTAATGAGAGCTTTAGCACTTTCGTCTCTGCTTTCTTATATCATACAGTGGCGTGATATACAGGCAGTGACGAGGCTCTTGTCGGTCATATGCGCAGTCTGGATGAAATTCCTAGGTAATCAGGGTTAGTCGCAGAGCTCCTTGCCGTCTCGCATAGACAGACATGCGGTGGATCGCGGAATCTATCTCTTGTTTTCTTGTCTTCTTCTCGTGTCTTGCTTTGTTCTTTTTCTGTGGATGTAACGAAGATCGCCATGCATCTTCTCTTTTGGGCACCACGACGGCGCCAGCTAAAAGTTGATGGCAGCTAATGACGGTTTATGTCAGCACAAACCAGAGTTTGAAATGCTTCCAGGGACGAATTTCCCCCGAAAGGTGCCCTCAAATGGAGCTCAGGTGCGCCCACCGCGACCCTTTCCGTTGCTGTGCTTTTGGACTCTTGCAGTCTTTTTCAACTTGGACTGTGTGGACTATGTCAAAGGCACGTCTGAGATCGGATCAGCTATTGGTCCCGACCCCAATTCTACCCTAATTACTGTCGGGAAGATTAATTTGCATCATCTTGACGAATTCTCACTTTCCAATCCTGGGGAATTTTCTATTGCTGAACAGGATAAGTGAAAGATACACTGTCTTACTCATCGAATGGATTGATGGTGTAGCTGAACGGCGAGGGATTGGCTGGATATATGACTTTGATGTCAAGTACAGCATGAAACCAGGGCCTATCTGGAAGGAGATTGTCCTTGGATGAGTACAAATGGTACGAGATCTAACACTGGCCAGATTCAGTGAAGACTGCGGTGCTGTCTAGCCTTGTCTGTGCGTCACAAGGCTGAGGCCACGTATACCTATTGTGTTCTTACCATTGCTACGGGCATTGTATGTTCTTTCAAACGCTGGGTCTTTGGATTTTTACCACTGCATGAAGGCGCCGTGTATGGATTTCGGCGTGTGCGGAATAGCAGCGAAACACTTTGGGCAGTTACCACTGTGAAGGGACAGTACGCCTTGAGGGTGTACATGGACTAAGAACGAAACCAGACTGAGGTTTTTGTTGTCAGTACCAACTGGTCTTGTATTTTCGAGGGCAATCTTCCATCTCTGAGCCACATCGGGTACGGAGTTGAGACCCACTCCCGGTCGGTCGCTTAAGCACATTTTTGCCAGTGGGCCCTGCTGTGCCGCTCGCTTCACTTGGCCTCGAGATGTAGGACATGGGCTTGAATGCAGTTGGTGTCGGACGATAAGAAACCATTGGCCACTGTTCAATTTGGTGCTGACAACCAGAATTCTATGTGGGAACTGTACGGGGCTCAACTTCCTCCATGATGGACAGAAGAAACACTGGAACTTCCCGAGGTCATTGATAAAGCACCGCCTCTCTCCAGCTTTAGAACCAGTTGACAGGATGCTTTCTTTCCTCTTCCAACTAATGCTACCCACTCGTTCGCGGTCTGGCTCATACACTCATATACCTTTTCTGTTTTTGGTACATATTTTCCAATATTCAAGGCCATTTGCATCTTGCGCATACTTCCCTGTCTCAACATGCGTTCTTCGATAGTGTCCTCACTCCTCACTTTGGTTTCACTGGCCACAACATCACCAGCACCGTATACAATTGGCACCACAACAGCCGCAACACAGACAATAACCGACTCTGGGTTCTCTACACCCACACCAGCGTCACCAGTGGCGGATGGTGCCATGGTCGCCGCAGCCGACGATGATGCGACCACGACCATTACGCTGCCCTCGGCTCAGACAGTAGTGGTCTACGTCGCTGGGAGCAACCCGTACACCGCCTTCCCCGAACAAGGATACGTACAGGTCTAAGTCGCAGAGCACGTGTTTGTCGTGGTAGACTACTCCAACCCTAGTAGCACCGTCAGCACCGTTACTCAGATGCAGACTATCGAAAGACGCGTTGACTTCTGTACCACGACTTCAGTCATCGGAATCTCATGAGAAGGCTTTAACGGAAAGCTGGTACTGGCAGGAGATAAAGAGAACACTGAGGGCTTCCTGGGCTCGAAGGAGATTGCGGCGCGGCTGGATGCCACCTTGGGGGGTTGATGATGAGGGATAGGTCTGCGGTATGTGGAGACTCCGCCTGCGTATGGAAAATTACTGGGTTATTTGTGGGGTTATCCAGCACCAGCGGTGGTGGTCGCGGCCGCTGGCCCACCAGATCAAGTTGGCGTTGGATGGTTCCTTGCTGCCTGCATATCGGGACATGTCAAGGACTGAGTGAGAAGAAACAATGACTAGTCAATTAGCCTGCCGGAATGACTATATAAACGCATTTCACGATTCTCTTCGCCCTGAGCTCCCTTCACCCGGGGACTTGAATCATCAGACTGTTTCAGGAGCCTCAAAAAGTTTTCCTATAATATATCCTTAGAAACCACATCGTGAAGATCAAATGGCTGGGTTAGACTAAACTACATTTGCATTGCCAGGTCTGCAGGTTATTGCCTTTCAACTTGAAATGTTGCAAGAGAGACGGACCTCTATTTCTCCAGCTAACTTAAATGCCCGTGTTCTCACTTGTCTCTACCGGAATTTTCCGCAGAGCTCCGAGGAAATTCCTCGTGTACCCTTCAGGTGTCCTTTCGTTCACCGTATCAACAACCAGATATCTACTTTCTCCCTTCCTCGTCTGCACCTCTAGTAATTTCTCCCCGACCAACTCTTCATTGCGAAACAGGTGGCTCGTCCGCTTGGGGAACTCCTCCCTCCACTGAAGAGCCGTTCTGAGTGGCGAGATCGGCGCTCGCACGAGGCCGCCCGCGAATGACGGCCGCCCGCTTTCCTCTGCCTCGAGCACGGCACGAGGGATCCTCTGGCCACCAACGGCGCCGCACCACGTCTCTCCTTCAGCCAGCACCACGGCATTACCGATCGTGGTGACGACGTCGCGGCCGTCAGGAAGCCGCACAAAGACCGAGTCCGCGCTGGACCAGATCGCGCGGTGGGGGACGGCCTGAGACGTCCTGGCCGCGGGGCGGGCGGCAATGATTGCCTGCCATCTTGTAGGGTCGTCGAAGTCCTCCTCGGCGAGTTGCTGCGTTGAATTTATGGCCAGTATGCTCGCCCCCGGTGGTGACGGCTTGGGACCGGTGGCGAGCTGCTGCATGGCAGTGGTGATGGGGACCCAGGACGGCCCGATGTATTCTGTCTGGGGGCTGCGGCTGGCGCGGTTGCAGCAATTCGTTTTGCGGCTATGTGGCAATGCGCAGTAGATCACAAGAGTGCGGATACTGGGGAGGTCGACCGCTTTGAACGGTTTCTGTGATTGTGCATCTCCCATGGTTGAATTGATCACAGGGCTTTGTTGGGACAAGTCGTGGTGATTGCTTAGCACGCCCGTGCCCAGCAGGGCCGGGCAAACAGCGGCGACGCGTATTCGTACATGATTCATGCGAGTCATCAAACGTCGGATTGTGTCGCAGAGGTGCTCTGAGCGATCGGTGTTGTGTTGGTCTTGACCTTGTGTATCGAGCTCCAAGCTAGTACATCTGCCTGGAAGGGCGTCGACGATGTCGAAGATGGTGGTCCGTTCTAAAAGAGTTTCCTCACGGCCTTCCAACGATAAGGAAAACGAAGCAAGGTTATCCAACCGCTTCAGAAGTGGAATGGTGCGGCGTATCTTGTCATCCAACCCAGGGTGAGGCTTCGGGTTACCATCCACAAGATGCCTGCCTTCGCTGGAGATGCGAAGGGTCAAGGTTTGAACCAGTGGCCCACAGTCGAGTCGGAATGAGTTGTGAAATGAGTCCATGCGCGTGTTGTTTAGTACAATGTGCCGGTAAAATATCGGTGAAGCAATCCAATGCCAGGTCTTACTAACCCTGAGGCAAGCAAGAATATCGTTATTTCCAGTACCATCAAATTGGACCCGGGAGAGGACCAGAGACAAGATGTCTTTACTGAGTGAGTTCATTCTTCGCTAGTAAATGCTGTATATCAAAGGCTGAGAGAAGTTTTCACGGGCGGTCAGTCGTTCATTTGCCGGCTTATTGGTGGTCGCGTGTCTGTTGCTGAATGTTTATGGATGATGGAAGAGAAATCGAAGCTGGAAAATTGGTCAGGGCTTCCAGCAACGTCTGGTGCTTACATAGCTGCATGCATGTATGCACTGAAGTACCTAGGTAACATGTACTACATCAGGGGTGGTGTATGTACAACCCCGCAACACGCAGCAGAATTATTGTATTTCGCACCTACATTTACAATGGTGAGAACACTTTATGAAATTACAAGAAAGCCAGAGTGTTACGATCAGATCTCTTCTGTGTAACCTTAAATAAGTAGACCTTTGTTCTACTAAAGACTACAACAAGCCAATACAAGCATATGAATCCTTCCAAAGCCCAGAACAGTCCTGTTTGGCACCCGGATTCCACTTGAGGAAGTCAGCGAGTCATATTTGAGCAGCCGCCACAATACCATAACAGCCATCACCCTCCTTGACAAAGTGAAAGAGGCGGCAGTTGGGTGTCATTCCGGGTTGCGTCGGCGTCCGTGTCGCCACCCCATTTCCTGATGTTGTTGTTGTAGGTTATGGCTTTGTCGTTGGATGCTGGAAAGTTACGGGGACTACATACAGACTGAAATTGATTCCCTTATGGAAAGATTATGGAATAACATTGCAGGCAAGAAATCAAAATCACCAAAGAATTTCAATCCATCACAGGCTAATGAATGGCTTTAACTCATTATAGAATTGCAAGGAAATCGTGCTCAGCCTCCGGGACTGTCGACTCAAAGTGGTATGGAATGACATTTTATTAGCCGGCGCAGGTTTCACACAGGTATTGATTTCTGTTGGAGTCATTGTGTGGATATTCAGGCTCCTGAAACTCAATACTACCCTTAAAGCTGTGAACAGTAAGTACTACTCATAATTACCAGCTTTGTTTACATATAATGGCAAGACGCCAACTTGTCAATGTGCACCAATCATCACCAGTTTCACTATTATCATACCATGAGCACGTTGATACCCAAAGGTTTTACAACTTGTACTTACTGGCTATAGTGTAAAAATTCTCACAGCATGGGCTGCCTGGGATGCCAATTTGCAGATCATCATGTCAGCTTACCTATGATATCTATAGCAAGTTCATAATAATAAAGAACTTAGAAGAGACATCAAGGGAGCCATCCATGGGTACTTCGAGAGAAATATCATTGATACCGGATGTCAACCAGGAGGAAGTTATCTTTTAAATGGGTTTACAATTGGTTTAGAACTAAAAAGACTTGAAGTTCTTATGTAACGAATAAGGCTATTCCCAGTGTTGTGAATAGTGAAGGTGAGATTGCAAACGGAAATGCCCAGGTGCTCCGAAATATCAATGACGGGAGCATCGGAGGCAGCAACCAGGCCAGAACTCTCCAGCAGAAGGGACTGGACCTGCTTACTAGTTACAACACACAACGCTGGGACTAGGATTCTATTTAGGCTATTATCTATTGTGTCACTGGATGAATTACTGATGGAATTCTCACTTCTTCTCTCCAGCTACCTGTATTCCGGCAGATGCAGTGCACACTCTCAGTCACATCAGATGGCAGTTGGGCTGGTGCTCCATTGCTGAAAGACCATACGCAGGCGGGGTCAGAACCCTGACAGCTTACTGCGGGCTGTGCAAAGCGGGCTGGGATTTGCTGACGGTTGCACCGCGTGCGTGTCCTGAGCAGTGAGTCGCACTCGCCAGAATCCGAGGTGCTCAGCGCCCGGTAGATATCATCGGAGTCAACTTGAAACACGGGGACTCCGTCGACGGGCCGAGAGAAGTGCAGCACTGATGTGACTCTCGTCGTCGTCGACTCACACCGCCTGGTGGGTATGATATTATATCATGCGTGAGGTTGTGTTGCGTCCGAGGATCGCCATTGCTGGTGCCAGCTCCGGCTTCGACGGCAGCAACGAGGATAGGCCACCAAGCCAGAGCTGGTGGTCTCTCGGGTTTTGCCCATTAATAGAACTTGATGGGGTTTGAGAAGAGAAGATATCGCCACTGATTCGGCGGCGTCCCGGCCATGGCTATCAGGTTTGCGACGGCCAGCTTGAGGAAGGATGGAGCGTGTGCGATCTGAGTCCGGAAGTCCCCAGTCGGACGGTGGTCAGCATCAGCAAGGGGACAGGGGACAACCTTATTGGCCACTGATCCTGCCCGGAGCCGTGCAATCCATGGATGAGGTTCGTCCGGCACCTGCTGTAATACCGATGCATGCCATTCGACCTGCATGCGCGAGACCCGGAGGGCTGGGCTTGGCTCACCACCGACCTTGGGGCCTTCGATTGGGCCGCGCTTGGAAGGCCGCTTAGGCTGCCGTCCGGACATTTCGTTCAGCCGCCGTCAGCGTGAAATTTTCTGCCTTGCTCAGTCGGAGGTTCAACGGCATCTAAAAACGATTAAATGTACTGGAGGGTAGTACAGTCTGATGTTGGGTAAAAAAGACTTACCGGATGTGTATGTGGAAACAATCAACAGCGGACGTGTCACTGATATGTCCGGTACACCAGATCTCAAATGCAGATATTTAAATATGCAGATCGATCCGGGTTGAGAGTTGGCTGTGTCGAGGGCAGCGAGTGTCTCTTATTCTGAGCAGTGCTATATCCCTCAAGTTCATGGTCTTTGTTCTTATTCTCTATCAATAGCACAGGCTTGCTTGTTTCCCAACCCGGCCCCCAAATTCTCACAATGACTATCTCCGAGTCCAATTCCGACACGGCGTCCAAGTCCGGCGGCGGCGACGTCGACACGGAAACCCAGGTGGCTCCGATCACAGAAGTCGACACAGTAGAGACGCCTACTAAGCCTGAGGCACCTGATTCCAACATTGTCGACTGGGATGGGCCACAAGATATCAACAACCCGCGGAACTGGAGCAAGGGCAAAAAGTGGGCACATATTATTATGGTGTCCCTGTTCGCCCTGGTAACGAATATGGCCCCGACTATGTGCGTCCCCGGGACGCCCTTGATTATCCACGAGTTCCACATCGCGTCAACAACAGTAGCCGTGCTGGCCATCACCATCTACGTCCTCGGCCTTGCCGTGGGTCCCATGATTCTCTCGCCTCTCAGCGAAGCATATGGGCGTCTTCCGATTTATCACGCCTCCAACTTCCTGTTCCTGATGTTCCTCATCGGCTGCGGACTCAGCCAAACGGTGGCACAGTTCATGGTTTTCCGCTTCTTCGCGGGCTGCATGGGCGGCGTTCCTATGCCCCTGGGTGGCGCCACCATTGCGGATCTCCTTGAGGTCAACGGTCGGCCTCTGGCCATGGCTCTCTTCAGCTTGGGCCCTCTTACAGGACCGGTAAGCTTTTCCAAGATACCTGATACTACTAAATCATCGTGTTTGAGCACACGCACTGATTCATGTGCCTCAAGGTTATCGGGCCACTGATCGGCGGGTTCACTATTGTCGCCCTTGGCTGGCGCTGGTCATTCTGGCTCTTGATCATTATCAGTGGGGCGGTATTCCTCCCCTCCGCCATCTTCATGCGCGAGACACATCCAAAGATCCTGCTGGACCGCAAGACGGCGCGGCTAAGGGCCAGCACCGGAAACATGGAGCTGCGGTCCAAGATGGTGACCAAGCGCCTGTCGGCTAGCCACGTCCTCATGTCGACGCTGATCAAGCCCTGCGAGCTCCTGATCAAGTCGCCCATCCTACTCGTCATCTCAATCTACGTGGCCCTCATCTTCGGCACTATGTACCTCCTGTTCACCACTTTCACCAGCGTCTTTGAGGGGCAGTATGGCTTCAGCACCGCCATGTCCGGCCTCGTGTACCTCGGCACTGGTGTGGCGCTCATATTCTCCCTTGTTAGCTTCCATCTATTTGGGCGCAAGATAATTCAGTGGTGTATGAGGAGAGACGGGGTTACAACCATCAAGCCGGAGTACCACCTGGTAATGATGATCCTCTTCAGTCCCTTTGTGGGTCTCGGACTCTTCATGTACGGCTGGACCACTTTCTACGCGGTCCATTGGATTGTACCCATCATTGGGACTGTGCTCATTGGCTTCGGTGCCTTTTTCGTCATAGTAAGTCTCCGTCCGGCGTCACGCATAATCGTGGCTGTCGTTGGAGCTTCGCCTTTGGCTGACCGTTTTGCAGATGCCTGCGCAACTATACCTGGTGGACCTTTTCGGCTCAGAGCTTGCTGCCTCCGCTTTGGGTGCAAACAACTTGCTGCGGTTTATATTCAGCCCTTTCCTGCCATTGGCTGGTCCGGCTATGTATGCAACTCTGGGCTATGGATGGGGTAACACCTTGCTCGGATTCCTTGCCCTTGCGTTTGTGCCTTTCCCCATCGTCTTCTACAAGTATGGGCACAGGATGCATGGCAAGCTCGCCAATATGTAGAGAAAGTGCGGAGACAAGGAATGGTGCCATGACGATCAAATTCTGCTGCATTCATTTTCTTGTCAATTCCCCTGTATCGCATTTATCAGCACCCTCGTCTCAATCACCGCGTATGTCTTGGAAGGGGTCCAATTATTTCCCGGATGCGTCTAAGGAGTTCTTGTCAAATATACCCAAGTAGTTGCATTATTGCAAGGCAAGTTGTACGAATAGAAAAAGAAGAGATTGTTGAGGAGCAAGACCGTTTCAAGCCACCTTCATAAGTATGAAACTGATAAGACTCAGAAACGAATGAATAACTGAGACGGGAACCATGGCACCTGGGTGAGTGAAATGTTTGCATCGGCTTTCCAAAGGTCCAATGCGGGCTCTACTCTTGTAAAACCATAGCAGAACCATAGTAGAATCACAGCAGAACTATAGTAGAACTATACATCTCCAATTATACCTCCTCCGTCCGAGGAATTCCAAGCTGAATCAATCCTCTCCGACAGCTATTGACAGAATGGACCACAGTGTAATGTTTTCTGACGATCATACTTCTATAGCACAAAATCTTTATCCGGCTTTCAGCTGCAAAACTCGGGCAGAGTATCCGTCGAATTCTCCGCCGAGCAAGCCTGCGCCAACGCCAGCTGGTACTGCAGCAAACCGATATCGAAAGCCTTTCTCGCGTACACCACCGAATACATACCCGAAGCGACGCCGAGGACCGCCAGGGCCCCAAAAGCGATTGCCGTCCAGAACGTCCAGACATCGCGGGAATTTGTCCCCTCGCTGTCTAGCATGAACTGGGCCTTGCCGCGCGGAGGCTGCGAGGTTACAGCGGCGATCTCCTCGAGCTCGTCGCGCCAGTAGTTGTACCTGGACATCTCGAACTGGCGCCCCCTGCCGCAGTTTCCTAGCCTATATAACGAAAACTCTTTCCCCGCGCGCCTCAGGAGGGCTTCTGTGGCGTCGTCTCCGAATGGGAAGAGCAGGTTGAGCGTATCTATCGCCTCTGAGAGCACTGACCGCGGTAGGACCGCTGAGCTGTTGAGACTCTCCCAGTGGTTGTTGGACTCGAGGTGGTTCCAGAGAAAGATCTTGTGCTCGTAGACGGTGATCGTTCTGCTGTCGGTGTCGATTTTGAGGTGATCGGCTAGATTAGACGTCCAGTGGGGGCGGAAGTCATAGGCCTGACAGAGGTATGCCATGGTGCATTTTGGCTCAAGTGTCGAGAGTGAAGACGAGACAGTCAATTGAAGTTTGCTTTGGCCTCTGTTTCCGAAGTTCTCCGTGATGAATGCCTGCAGTGGACCGTCATCAGCCCATACATGTGACATTTGTCCAGGAAACAGTGCCCTGTAAGCCGGACTGCAAGATGTACTGGCTAGGACACGAATATCAAGCGTGGCCCAAAGGCAGATTCCTAGCTCAACACAGCGCAAAACAACATCTGCATCTTGGGATGAAGCGTCACACCGGCCTTGTCGCAGGAAGGATGCTGCCAAATCTGCTGCCCGTCTCCTTGTGAGGTTGACATCTTGCTGAAACATCAAAATGAGCTGCAAGGCGTCGGAGAAATCCTCGAAGGGGCTCGGTTCGGGACAAACAGAGTTGAAAGTCTTGATCTTTTCATCAGCGAAGCGCCGATACTCCGCGTAATGCTCTTGATTGATGTCACAGGATTTCACACCTGGCCAGAGCCTCAGTATCCATGCTGACTCTTCGTCAGAAGTGGCCGAGGAGCGGGGTTTGGAGGGAAGCACAAGGCTATGCATATCGGACACGTAAGTCGAGCAGTCCGTCGTCTCTTGGTGTTAACGCATCAAAGAATAGACCCATTCTGGGCTCTGCTCCCTTTGCATTGGATCAGCGACATAGATGAGGTGTAAGAATGGAGGCGGACAATTCCAGATGGTTCTATTCCAACATGCCACCACCCTCAGTCTGCCTCGCAAGGTTGACACAAGATGTAGCCATATTCGGGTCCCACGGGCAACTGATGCGCTGTCCGCTGCAAGCCACCTGCACCTGTAAGCCAACGAGCGACCGTACGACTACTGCTATATGTAACCCCGAGGCCCTGCTGAAAGCGGAGCTTCCTTCAAACACGAATACGAGCGGTTTTGCTCTTTTTCGGCTCCAAAGGCTGGCTCATGTTGATCCGAGATCCAAACATCTGGCACTCTCACCTCCTCGAGCTTTAAGCGATCAGTACAGTACCCAAAGCTTCTGAGGGAGCAAACACAAACATGATTTCCAAGATCAATTGGAGATGACGCGGGAAACACATGACCGGTGTCCGACTCCTGCTGACTCCAATCCCGCCGAACATGGCGGCCCAGCCCGAGTTGAGACCTCAATCGAGGCTCCCGCACTGGAGCACGCCGAGTCGGTCCCAACGCCACCTCCTACTCCTTCCGGGTGTAGGACCATCGACAGTGATGGGGTTGAATTAGACGTCTCCTCCCCCAAGCTACGGCTGTTCAAGGGGAGGTTGTACATCGCCCTACCAAACATTCGCCCGCCCTGCCTGAAAGAAGAGGAGACAACCCGTATCATCAAGCGACTCGAGATAGATTTGGAGTTCGCCGCTGGCAAGATAAGGAGTAAGAGCCACCGCAAGCATTCACGTGAAAGCACCTGGATGATCGACATGCGCATGTCCGGAGAGTTGGAACGAGGCTCTACCAAGGTCAAACTCAAACCGTGCATCTGGATCTTCTGCGGGAGCAGGTGGTGCCGCAAGATCATCGAGAAAGATATCAAGAAGCTCAATTGGCGGCTACCGTGTGGCCTGAAAATTGTGGATGAGGGAGGACCTTTTGCGTTTCTAGCAGCAAGCGAAGAAGGCTCAAGTGTGGATGATTCGGAGGGTCAGGAGCCATATTTGACTGACCATCGAAACGATACCTCGCACTGTGCCACCTCCTTCGACACTCCCAATAGCTTGGAAGACCCAAACTATCATGATTCCAGGAATGAAACCGAGTACTCTCGTCATCCCGGTTTTGATTGCCATCGTCGGTCGATGACGAGCGCTCACAGCCCAGCTGGCCCAGGCCAGCGATCCAAATACAATTCAAAGGCCAACGTCTACAACACAATCCACCGCCAAGAAAGGGAAACGAGCCCATTCTTGCTACCGTGCGAATTCTCCATGACTGGATGCGACAGGGTATTCCACAGAGATGAGGACAACGAATGGATTGCACATATCATCGGCCACCTAAGGGATATCATTCCGCGCAAGCTGCGCTGTTGGTATTGTGTCAAACACACCTTTGACGCAGACATCACGTCCGATGGAAACATCCGAATCAACTTCAGGATCCGAATGCAGCACATCCGCCAACACATCCTGTTCGATGAAAAGCCAGTGTCCTGGGCGCGACTGGACATGTCTGTGGTCAAACATCTGCTGCTCCACAAATTCATCGACGACAAGACCTTCCATCGCCTTTCAACCGGGTGCCTCGCGATACACAACGGTGATGAGAGCTTGAGGCTCTCCGACGACATGTTCCTAGATTTCCATGTGCAGGAGAGCGACGCGGACTCGTCGATCGGCTTGACATGCCGCTCTACCACCCGCAGACACAGTTCAATCATCTCGACAAGGTTCTCACGGATGGGCGGCGTGATCAGCATCACACGAGGCTCTGAGACGACGTACTACGGCGTCACTTCCGGCCACGGCCTTGTCTGTCAGATACTTGAAGATACATCCATCAGCACCGACGGATCAAACGACTTGTCCGATGAATCATCGACAAGCTCATTCTACGACGGAGACTCGGGCTCCGACAGGGAATCACAAGAAAACAGCAACCAGATTCACTATCCATCACCCACGGGCTCCCAGGAGAAAGTCGAAAACTGGATGACTGCAAACGACGGCTTAGTGGCGAGTTTTTCTAACTTGCGTGCCGACTCAGTCGATTGTCGCATGATCTCTCGCGAGGCGGATTCCATCGGCGATAACAAAATTTCTGGCGACCTGGCTCTCATAAAGATCCCCACCAGCACTGCCAAAGTTCTTCCGAATGACTTTGTTGACCCAACAGCAACAGGGCCCAAGGGCCACACGGCAAGGGGGGAAGGGCACAGGTGTCCTGCCTCAACGGAGACTAGTGATGACGACAATAAGGTATTCGTGCTATTGGGAAAGTCAAAATCAGTTGCAGGATGTGTAGTTGCAGGGACGGTTCATTTCAGTGTCAGGGGCAGGAAAATCGAATGTGCCAGGATCATGCTTTCGGAAGAGCTTGGTGAGTACTGAGTCTACCCTCCTCGCCACTGCTTGCGTAGTAGTACTCATCCTTGTCTTCCTCAGGGCTCGGGTCTTCAGGCTCATGGGTTGTCCAAGACGATGTCTTGTACGGAATGGTCATCGCACTCACTCCCATGGACGGCTGCGCTCTGATCCTACCTCAAAGGCGGATGTATGCCGACATACAGGGATTATTTCCGGACGCGACCAGTATCTTGCTCAGCTCGGGTGTGCCCGACGCCGTCCGACGCAGGGGACTGCAAAAGGCCCCAGTAGAGCAAGTCAATCTCAAACCACAGCTGAGGGCCGGGAGAGGGATTCGGGAGAGGAAGGACAAGGTGAAGGAGAAGGAACCATGCTATTTTGAGCCGTGGCAGAGGGTTCCTGGGTTAAGTAGACATGGGAAGACGGCTATTTTAGTGGAAATCACCACTAATTCGAGTGGTACGCGCAGAAGACGGCATCCACAGAGTCGATACTACCCCTAGGTGGCCACGACCAGAGACCACCGGGCGGTGCTAGGTACGTGCAGGGCAGCGCACGCGTTCTGTGGGCCTTGTGTGGGTAGCTACGAGTCCCTCTGTTCTAAACACACCTATAGATATCCGAAGGCAATCACTTTTACTACCTGGGTATACTATGATCAAACATGTGGTTTCTCTTCTATCCGTTCATATAGTGTTGTGGAGCTACATGCGGTCCCTTAGTGGTAGTGTCATCTATATCGCTATTAATAGTGCAGGTAGCGTGTGCTCTTAAGTTGACACTTGGAACGCCCGCCCTAATGGCAACGGCTGCATCAAGCTTCACTACACACGCAACAGATAACCAACCGCCCTGAGAACAAAACAAATCATATTGAAAAAAAAAAAGACCAAAAAAACTCCTATTTCTGATATGATATTTTGCCCACACACCCCGGAATAAGCCGGCCCTGTCCATGCACACACAACAACACAAGCCACCGCACTCCCCCCGAGTTTCAAACCTCCACCAGACAAACCAACCAACCCCCCTTCCCCGAGCCCCCTAGCCCCAGAACCACCCACCATGAAGCATCTACACGGACACATGGACACATAAATACATACTTACAACAAAACAGTTACACAATTAAAAAAAAAAAAAAGATAGGAATACTCGACAAGAACCCCTCTTACTCCGGCTTTGTCGGCACCACTGCCTTGGCTATGAAACTAGCCCACAAAGGACCCTTGCACATCTTGTCCTCTGTTGCAACCGCAGTATCCTTTAATCACGCTTGATCTTCAAATGTCGCAAACCATGGAGCTGAGAAGCAAGCATCCGCTTCCAATGAAACAATGAAACCAAGGCCCTCTTAAAACTTCAGATGATGTGTGCTCCTCATCGTAAATGGCTAATACCTCCTATCACCTGGTGCGGGATATCCCTCATGCGGCCTCAGCTGGCGCCGCAGCGGGTCGATGGCCCTCGGGTCCCCTCTAGGGTCCCCTCTAGGGTCCCCCCTAGGGTCCCCCCTAGGGTCTCCTTGGGGAGGCCCTCTAAGCTCCCCGCGAAACTCGCCGCCATACTCGTGGCCCCGGAGGTCAGCTGGGGGGCCGCGGGCCCTGGGGTCCATACCGTACTCGTCCCCGCGGAGGCCCGGTCGCATGCTCATCGCCCTGAGATCCTCGGCGGCCCGCAACTCCCGCATCTCCCTCTCCCGCATATGCATCTGCATCTCGTACGCCTGCTGCTGCTGCTGCGCCTGTTGATGCTGTTGCTGTTGTTGTTGCGCCTGCTGCTGCTGCTGTTGTTGTTGCTGCTGCTGCTGCTGCGACGGTGCAGGCGTGTAACTCCTGGGCGGCATGTCGCGTGGGCCAGGGGTGGCATAGCGCGGGTATGCTGGATTCTGCGCCTGAGGAGGTCCTGGGGGTGGTCCACCGAGGACTTCTCGTGGTGCTGGGGAAGCGGCGTACATGCGACCTGGTATTGACCCTGAGTGGGAATGCTGGTGATGCGGGTGTCCCATAACACGTGGATCACGGGGATCGACGACCATCCGAGGATCGGCTGACATCCTTGATTCGGCAGCAGCTCGTTGTTGCGTCTCGATCATGTAGCGCTCCTCTCGTGGGTCTCTGGGGGGCACGCTCTCCCGAAGACCGGCACGCATAGCATACGGGTCATCCCTCATGTCCCTGGGGTCCCTGGGGTCCCTGCCGGGATCTCTCGGATCTCTGAGGTCTCTAGGGTCTCTCATGTCCCTTGGATCTCGCTGGACACTTTCTCTTAGGCCCAGATGGGAGGGAGGTGCCGCCGACCAGGAGGGCTGCGGAGTCTCTCTCATCTGCTGCAACTTGCTCGACGCAGCATGCTGAGATCCCCATGGAGACTGGGCTGGCGGTGGCGGTGGCGGTTGGGACACCTTGGATTGTGGCCAAGCGACCTCCTGTTGTAGCCGCGCAGCGCTTGGAGACTGTGTCGAGGGAGCCGGCCATGCTGTCTCGCGGTTGGGTGCCACCGACTCTCTGACGTCTCGGTAATCGCGTGGGTCGCGGATGTCTCGAGGGTCTCGCGGATCACGACTTTCGCGAGGATCCCGGCTATCTCGGAGGTCGCGGGGGTCACGAATGTCACGGGGATCGCGAGGATCGCGCGCCTCACGCAAATCACGGCTCACCTCTCTCCGGCCGGCTGAAGGATGGGCGTACTGCACCGTGGGTGAAGCCGCATGTGGCTGGGATACCTGGGCGCCGAAGGGGAACGCTGGCTGTGGTGGGTACACCATTGGCGACTGCTGGCTGGGAGACGAGTAATGATGCGGTGGCTGGTGAGGAGAACCTGACGGAGGTGCCTGGTGCTGAGCGCCATATGGGTTTCGGCCGTAATAGTCTCTCTCAGCAGTAGCGGCTTCGATGGGGGATGCCATGGACGAGCGAGGTATGCCGGTGTGCTGCAGCTGCGGCGACTGGGTATGGGACGCACTGTAAGGCTTGAGCGCCGGCATGGCAGTCTGCGGCGGGTTGCGCGAATAAGGCGAGAATGTCGGCGTTTCTTCCCTCCGCATGTGTGGCGGAGCAGCCGATGGCGGTGGGCCCCGGCCAGACATTGAAGGAGGTGGACTAGAGGACATATCTCCACCACGGGCCACCTCGTCAACTCTCTTCGGAGCCGGTGGCGCGGGCGCCGGGTCATCATTGAGCAACCAGGACAGATTCGATTTCTTAGGCGGGTCGGGTTGCCTAGGTGGTGGTGCACTCGCAGACGGCGTGGGTGACGGCCGCGACGGGGATGCGCCGTACGCGCTGTCGAACATGTTCTGGCTGGACGCGCGCGTTGGCGTCTCAATGCTGTTCGGATTGGGCACACGAGGTGGCCCGGGGCTGTCAACCTTGTTCGGATTAGGAACGCGTGCTGGGACCGCATCGGCAAAGTTCGCATTGGCTACCCTAGCCGGTTCCATATTAGGATTGGGCACGCGCCGCGGGTCTTCGACGATGGCCGAACTAGGGGTGCGGCCCTCGACGGAGATGGGGTTTTGGACGCGCGTGTCAAGCATGTTGAGGTTCGGCACGCGGCCCGGCACACCTGCGACCCGTCGTTCGTCGGCCGGAGGCGCCATCATCTGCTGCTCCCTGATGGCCTCTCGCATGGGCTCCCTGATTGTCTCGCGCTGCATCATCTGGTGAGCTGCTGCGACGGGCGCAAATGCCTGCTGGTTGTGAGGCGCCGTGGTCCGTGGCGGCTCTGGCTGTCGGTCGACAGGTACGGGCTTTGTGGACGTGGGTCGCGGAGCTTGCGATGGGACGAAGGGCTCAAAGTGGGGCGCTTGTTCAGGTTCCTGCTTAAGGCGCGGGGGCTGTCGCTCAATGAGCCGGGGCTCCTCCTTGGGCTGCACATCAGCAGGCGGCCTGCGCTGTCTGGCAGATGCGCCTAGCATGAAAGGTTGCGTGTCGAGCTCGGGAGGTGCTGCAAATCCCGCGCGAGAAGGACCTGCCTGGGACGGCAGCGTGGGCTGCTCCACGGCTTGGGAGATCGGCGCAGGTTTCAGCGGGTGGCGCATTGCCTGCTGCTGAGGAGCAAGAGGCTCGACTTCCCTCTCGGCAAGCAGTGCTGAAGAAGATCGCGCATGGCGTCCGGCTGGCTCCAGCGCCTGTGAGGTGGGCTGCGACGACACCAATGGCTTGCGCTCTTGTCTCTCCACCCCTTCAATCCTTTCCGGCAGTGCAGGCTGGCCTATGACAGGCTGTTGCCGTAACTGCTGCTGCGCAGGCGCTTGGGCAATGGGCACAGGGATTCGCCCGTTGAAGACGCTTGCTTGTTCCCGTTGGAGACTCTGCTTCTCCGCCTTGGCTACAGCGCTGTCGTCCGCCACATCAACTGAGGGAGCGCGGCGATGGGTGCCAAAGTCGGATCGCTTGTTCCTGGGCCCAGCAGCCGGCGTTGGAGGTGGAGGCAGTTTCTCTCCTCTTTGCACCTTTGCATCAGCCTCGGTCGCGATGTCACCCCACTCTGGCTTCTCACCACGGCCGGTCTGCTTGTTGTAAAAGTTCTTGACCTGCGCATATTATTTAGTATCTCTTCCGGGGCCAACCGTGGGGCTGGTTCCATCGTGGACTTACCATTGTGGCCGTCTTGGTGGTCATGTGCTGTGCGATGGCCTGCCAATCCGTGCCGAAGCTCCTCAATAGCTCGGGGAAGTTTTGCATCTCAGCCACACTCCAGTAGCTTGACGCAGCGTTCGCGTTGGAGGGGGTGGCTCTACCAGCCCGCTCCGGCTGCTCTGCTGCAACATGCGGTGTGCTGCCCACATGCCCGGCGAATTCGAAGGTAGAGATCTGTGGGGGCTGCGGAGGGGGTATAGGTTCAGGTCGCAATGACGGCGGTGCCATGATGTCCAGTAGGCCCGCAGCGTTGGAGTTGGAATTGGCATTCGCGCTCGTGTTGGCGTTCGCCGCCAGGGTCTTGTCTGCTGGGCTCATGACATGCCCAGGGGCAGGCACGATTGCTGGCGGCAGACCGGGCATCGGCGACGCGCGCCCCACGTCGAAAGACAGTGGCGTCCTTCCCATTTCGGCAGTGGGCGTATGCGAGGGAAGAAACTCTGGGGGTGGTACCTTGGAGCTTGACCGGGACCTGGCTCCTCCTCCCTTGGCCACGCCTTGTGGCGTTGGGGCGAGTACCTGTGGCGTCTTTGGCTGTTTCGGCTCCTTGTCCTTCTCCTTGTTGGCGCCACGTTTTCTGCGTGCCGGCTTGTCAGGCTTCTCCGTGCCGCTCTCTGCAGCTTTGCTGCCGACGCCCCTCCGCGCCGGCGTGGGTGCCGGCGTGACTTCTGCCGAGTCCGCCTGGGACTTCTCGAAGTCCCATGTCGGAGCGGCCGCGCGGCGAGGCCGGCGCCTCTCGCCGTTCTCCCCAGTCTCGGCGTTTTCGTCCTGAGGCTCGTCCGGGTTTCCAAGCTCCGAGACAAGCGCGCTCGATCGTGCCTTGGTTTTCCTGCTCTTCTTCTTCTTGGGCTGCTTCTTGAGCTTTTCCTTCAGGTTAAGCTCCTTCTTCTTCAAATAGTAATACTGGATGCACGAGTGGAAATCACGACCTGGAATCTGGTCTGCAATCCTGCCCCACTGTTTTGGAAATTCGAGGTAGGCCTTCTCGAACAGCTGAGCCTCCTGCTCGGTGAAATTGGCCGCAGGCGGGAGGACCTGCCAGTTCGCGATGAGCTTCTCCGGGTTAAGAAAGCCGGAGTGATCGATAAAGAGCTCCTTGTCACGATCCTCTTTGGTCCAGTACATGTCCGGGATGACAGCTTCGCTTGTGCTAGGGTGCTTGAGCTTCTCTGCCCGTGTCTCGCGCTCCTCCTTTTCTTTCACCTCCAGCAGCGACTGGGCCAGTATCCGCTCCATGTCACGATCCGTGGCGAATCTGCCGCCGCGTCGTCCTTCGGGCTTCGGTTCTGGGCCTGTCACCTGGCTGCCGCCTCCATCGATGGGTTCGTTCGCTTTGTTGAAAGCATCACGGCTCTTGCTAGCAACAGGGTCGTCGGAGATGGTGAACCGCAGGTACTCCTCATACTTGCCGGAATATTCCAACTTCTTGGCCTGCTGCTCATTGCGGACAAACATGCTGTTATCCTGCAGAATGCGCGAGATGAAGGCTTCAACTTCAGTGTCATGCTCCATGGAGCTCATGGCTTGCCTGCTCTTCGTCCACGGCTTGGCGTTGAAATAAGGCAAATCTTCGACCGGAGGCGTCTGCATGGTTGGACGGACGAGCTCCAGCGTCGCATCATCCACCTCGATATCAGTCTCGTCCTCCTCCTCCTCGACAGGTGTCGGGCTGGTGGTGCCCGCGGGAGGTGCGACTCCAGGAGGCAGCAAGAGTTGTTGATCGCCAACGTGCGCTGAGATACCATTCGGCACGAGGGGCCCGGCCTCGGACATGGTTGTATCCAACCCATTCATAGGCGCATCTTCCATCGCGATGTCTCCATTTTCTTCTCCCTGGGGCTCCGGCCGCTCGACGGTAGGGATGAGCACATGCGAGCTGTCCACCTCCATCTCTTCCACCTTAGGTTGAGGCTCAGGCGCCACACTCTCTATGGGCACAGCGGGCTCAGTTGCCTGGTTCGCATTCCGAGCAGCTGGTGTCTGACCCGTCTCCGCCTTGACAGGCTCTGCCGGAGTGGTTTTCTCGGGCTCTGGAGCCACCTCATTCTTCTGCGTCGGCAACACAATGTCCTCTGGTATGGGACCCAGCATGTCCTTTAAGCTCCCATTTTCGGTCGCGACAGCCACGAGAGCCTCGTGGGTTACCTGCGCGTAGCGAATGACAATTTCGGTCGGCACCGCGTTGTTCGCGTGCTCCAGCCTCTGGAGCTCAGATTCGGCCTTGGCGATCTCCGCGTCGAAGTAGTCATTCATGTCCTCGTCATCAGAGTCGGAGGATTGGTCCACTGTGGGTATCTCCGTCAGCCTGGGCGGCAATTCGAAGGACCTGCTGGTAATGTTTAAGCGGCTCCTCTTCCTCGGCGGCTGATCTTCGATGATCTCCCCGTCCTCCTGCGCCGTCGCGCCGTCATCGTCCTGCTGGTCACTGGGACGAGACATGGTTGGGCTGGTTGTCTTGACGGCAGTCGGAGAAATGGCAGACGCAACACTAGCGCCGTCAGATGTCTCGGCAACTCCCGTCTTGAGGTCGCCCGTCTTGAGGTCGGGGAATTTCCATGGCGCCCGTATGTCGCGATCAATGGAGGCGCGCGCCGATTGTGTGCCACGTTCGATCCTTGCATCGCCAGGCTCGGGGATGCTCAAAGGACGCAGGCTACCGTCTGTGCCGGCCCTCTCGGTCTCGGCGCCCGCGCCACTACTGCGAGGCCGGCGTGGCTCGTCGTCTCGGCGGTTCGAGTACGAGTCGGCTCGAGGGTCGAATGGACGAGACTGCTGAGGGGACGCGAAGCTCTGTGATCGGTTAACCTTGGGGGATTCCGGCATCTTAGTCTTGTTTCCGACCAGGGCAGGGTTGATCCACTGTTTGCTGGACGGTCGAGGGGCCTTCTGGAGCTGCATGCCGCGTGGGCCAGTCGGGATGGTTGGGCTGATGGAGTTGGAGGGCCCTGAAGGCGGTGCCCACTGGTCGCCACCGGACTGTCCCGAGGAGGCAGGCCGGTCCTGGCGGTCCTGTCTGTCCTGTCTGTCCTGTCTGTCTTCGTTGAACGCACGGGGCGCCGTAGGTGGTGCTTTAGATGATACGTCAGATGCGGGCGGGGGACGGACAGGCGCAGTACCGAAAGCCGGGGCAACGGGAGCTAATGGTGGTGTTGTCGGCTTACTCGTCGGGGTGGTGATGGGCTCAGTGGCCACAGAGCCCTGCCGGTCGAACTTGGGGCGGGCATTGCGGTCAACAGTGTCACGAGGATCCCGCGTGTCACGAGGGTCTCGTGGTAGATCTCGGAGGGGCGGTTCACGGTCATCCCTGGGTGCATCCCGGGGTCGCACATCCGAGTCGAGGTAGCGATGGCTGTCGCGTTCGTCCCGATCACGAGGCCCGCCGCCCCAACGACCTTCCTGAGAGCGGCTCCTAAAGCGATCTGCTCGGTCGTCAAAGAAGGAACGGCCGCGCCCGCGGTCCCAGTCCCCGCGGCCCCGTCCGCCGCCACGGCCACGATATGCACCTCCGCGATAAGACTGGGAGCCGAAGGGGGGGTCTGATGCCGAGGAGCCCGCACTAAGAGGCCCACCGTCTCTTGATCCACGCCTGGCCCGGTCGGCCTCGACTCCTATCTGAAGGTCGCGGTCGCGGAAATCTCTGCCGGGCGGCGAGCGCCTAGGGCCCGGCGATGGGCGACGTCCCCTGAAGCTGTCTCTGTCGCGGTCCCGCCAGTCGCGATCACGTTCCCTGCTACGGTCGTCTCGGAATGGCGGCGGTTCATCTCGTCTGTCTCTAAAATCTCGGTCCCGGCCGCGATCTCGGCTGTCATCGCGCCAGCCCCTGCCGCGGCCGCGGCCCCTCCCTCTGAAGTCGCCAGAAAAGCCGCCGCGAGGGCCGCTGGGAGGGTCCAGGTAGGCCTTGGGGGCGCGGGGGGGCTCGCGGGCGGTCAAGGGCTCGCGGAAGTTGTCCCTGTTGGACTGAAAGGTGGAGGCATTGGTCCTCGACTCGGCCGAGGTTCGTCTGCGGTCACCATCGCTGTACTGCGAAGCGCGGTCGGTGAGTCGGTCAGGGGACCTGTCCCTGGGGGATCGAGAGCGGCGGTCGTCGTAGCGGGGATTGTATCTGGACCTGTGGTCATATTGAGCATGATAGACATCATCTGGGTACACGTCTGTACGCAAGGGTGGAGGTCGCGGGGCAGCTGGGCGACCATCAAAGACCCGAACGGGTCGATAGTGATTTGGTCGCATGTCCTTTGGTGAAGTGCTCCCATGCAAAGCAGAACGAGTGGCGGCGAAATGACGGAGAAAAAAAAAAGCGGACGACACAGGCAGCGAGCGATACTGTACTGCAGGCTACAGGCAGCACACAGCGTTGAAACTGGACTGGGGGATGGAAGGGTCGGGTCCTGACGTCGAAGGAGACTGAGAACACGAAAGGGTTGCGCCTGGCCGGGCCAGACAAGCAGAAACAGAAACTGGCGACGGCTGGCTGCGTGGGTCTTTTTTGGTGGGGAGGGAGAGCAGATAGACGAGGGATGATCAGAGGGAACAGGACAGGACAGAACAGAACAGGTCAAGCCTACATGTCTCCAAAGGGCAGCCTCTGCCCCAGTATGTCCTTGCTAGATGTCTGCAGACAGGTTGCACATTTCGACGGGAATGTGCCAGACCTAGTAGTGTGGTTGACGGCGGTGCAGCGGAATCAAATGGGGTCCAACTGTGAGCGGCAGCAGTAGCAGCAACTAGCGACGGCAGTGGTGGTGCTGGTAGTCAAGTTGGCGCCAGGCAGGATGAGGCCAGGCAAGGCCACACTGGATGGCCAGGTCAGGTCGGCCAGTCAGTCGGGATCGAAGGCCGGGCCGGGGTTGACAGGGCAAGGCCGTCAGACCTTGGACGAGCTGGAACTGACTGACTTGGTGGACGGATGGATGGATGTCGGCAGGAGTTTGTGGTGCAGAGGCAGAGTGGGAATCGACAGGCAAGAATGGGGCGGGTCGAGAGATTGGGTACAACGGGTCCCGCTGGGCCGGACCGACGCCGAGAAAGGGCTGAAATGGATTCGAGGAGGGTAAAGGAGATGCAGACAATGCTGGTAATGGTGTTGAGGGCTCCGGTAGGGGCTGGTGTGGCCGTGTCTGTCAGAGGTGTTGTGTGTGCAGAGGAACAGTCGAGGTTGAAATCATCAATCGCAGCCCAGCCAAACACCGCCAGCCAGACAGAGCCAGTGGCAGGTGAACCACCACCGCCGCCTAGTGTCCAAGCACACACACAGAGAGAGGGTGGCAGGCAGGAACAGGGTGGGTGCCAGACATGAAATCGGACTACCCACCTCGGGCTAGCGTGCCTCCCCAATAGCCGCATCCCAGGACTCCAGTCTCCAGGTCTACAAGTCACTAGGTCACCACCAGCTGGAGAACCATGACCCTGGCCCACCCGCCCCTGTCTGTGCCGGACACCCCCTGCACGCTGGCTACCCTGATACATCGATACATGGATACTTGAGTACATTGGCCAAGTACCCTTCAGAACTCGAACGCCACTAGCCCGGCACAGCTGCACAGGCGACAAACATGGCAGCATGGCTGACATGCTGCCGCCACAGGTGCCAGACACGGTCTTCTCTGCTTCCCATTCAGCCCATTCTGCCATTGTGCCACTTGCTACCACCAAGTGCCATGCCGTCATCCTGGCAGCCTGGGTACCTACCTAGGTACTGTTTTGTAGATGCCGACCAGCCAGGCCAGCCCGACCTCTGCCTGCGAAACGGTCCATCCGCCGCTGCAGGGATCAAGCGGCAGCAGGGCGGATAGATTCGAGGTTTTAGATCCATGCCACGCCACGCCCGACCCTGCCAGCCCGCCCTTGTCATGCATGTCAGGTCACTTTTCCTGATCTTGCCTCAGGCGATGGCCCGACAGAGCAAAAAAAAAAAAAAAGTTGGGATGAGATGAACGATATCAACCACAATTATATACCGTATACCGTATTTACCGTACACATACAAAATAGGAGATACATTTCACCTGGTATCAGAATGTGATCACAATCAGCATACCAAAGAGGAACTCGGAATCCAAACCGGCGGCAACTCGAGCAACATCCATTCGGCCATGTCAAATTTTCATCAGTCTGCAACAACCAACTCTGATCCTATTTCGGCCATGACAGCCAGGACTTGAAGGCAACCAACACAATACAGGACAGCTGACCTCCCTCTCCATCTCGCCCTCGCTCGCTCCACACCAACACCATGGCCTCCAACTCAGCCTCCGCCCCGTCCGGCGCAAAGGATGCCGTCCTCGTCAAGTCCGAGGAGATGCCCGCGGGCTCCCAGAAGGTCGAGGAGCTCGACTTCAACAAGCTCAAGGGCCGGCCCGTCACGGCCGACGACCTGCTGCAGGGCATGCGCAACATGGGCTTCCAGGCCTCGTCCATGTGCGACGCCGTGCGCATCATCAACGACATGCGCGCCTGGCGCGACCCCGAGACGGGCGACCGCACCACCATCTTCCTCGGCTACACCTCCAACCTCATCTCGTCGGGGCTGCGCGGCGTCCTGCGCTACCTGGTCCAGCACAACCACGTCTCCGCCATCGTCACCACCGCCGGCGGCATCGAGGAGGACTTCATCAAGTGCCTCGGCGACACCTACATGTCCCCCGGCGGCTTCAGCGCCCCGGGCAAGGACCTGCGCGCCAGGGGCCTCAACCGCATCGGCAACCTCGTCGTGCCCAACTCCAACTACTGCGCCTTTGAGGACTGGGTCGTGCCCATCCTCGACAGCATGCTCGACGAGCAGGAGGCCAGCAAGGCCGCCGGGAGGCACGTCGACCCCTCCACCGGCGACGAGGCCGACGGCGAGCTGGTCTGGACGCCCTCCAAGGTCATCCACCGCCTCGGCAGGGAGATCAACAACGAGTCCTCCGTCTACTACTGGGCCTGGAAGAACAACATCCCCGTCTTCTGCCCCGCCCTCACCGACGGCAGCCTCGGCGACATGCTGTACTTCCACACCTTCAAGTCCTCGCCCCGGCAGCTGAGGGTCGACATCGTCGAGGACATCCGCAAGATCAACACCATCTCGGTCCGCGCCAAGCGCGCCGGCATGATCATCCTGGGCGGCGGCCTGGTGAAACACCACATCGCCAACGCCTGCCTGATGAGGAACGGCGCCGAGTCCGCCGTCTACATCAACACCGCCCAGGAGTTCGACGGGAGCGACGCCGGCGCGAGGCCCGACGAGGCCGTCAGCTGGGGCAAGATCAAGGCCGGGGCTGACAATGTCAAGGTCTACATGGAAGCAACAGCATGCTTCCCTTTCATAGTGGCCAACACCTTCGCCAAGGACCAGGAGGACGCTGCTTAGGGCTGACCTTCCCAAGAAGTGCACAAATTCGTAAAACAATGAATACCCTGGCGATTTAGATACCAGTAGAGCTCTATTGTTCAGCACAGCCTCTTCCAGCGTCGTCCAAGTCAGGAAACGAACCGTGAGGCTATGCTCTGGGATCGTTTCTCTCACGGCAACCGTCAAGAGACGCGGTTATTTTGCCTGCTCCTACAAATAGAAGCTGGCTGTTGGGGCGTGATTCTGAGCGCAAATCACGACAAAGCTGTATAAATGATACCCACAAGCCCACATAGACGTGCAAGCAAACGCTGAACATTCAGACCCAAACCTCGTGGATTTGAGCTACCAGAAACACAATATACAATCAATCCATGCCAAACGTCCCCCATGCATCTTTTTTTGCGCGTCTGATTCAAGAGTCTCTGTAACAAGGGCGTGCATCACAGCGCCTCACTTATCAGCCCGGCCCCTCGCCCCCAAGACGGCCTTCCCAACAGTGCTGTCATTCGTCTTGCCCAGCTCTCCCGTGATCCACTGCCCGATATCCGACACGGCGTCCAGGTCAACCCCGGTGTCCATGCCCAGCGTCTCCATGAAGTAGACCACATTCTCAGTGGCCACGTTGCCCGTCGCGCCGGGGCTGTAGGGGCAGCCCCCGAGCCCGCCGACGGACGAGTCAAAGGTGCGGATGCCGTGCTCGAGCGCGACGGCCATGTTGACCAGGGCCTGGCCGTAGGTGTCGTGGAAGTGCAGCGCGACGTCCTCGTTGCGGATGCCCGCGGCGGCCATGCTCCGCAGCAGCTGCGCGGTGCGCGGGGCGGTCCCCATGCCCGTGGTGTCCCCCAGGGCGATCTCGTCGGCGCCCATCTCGAGCAGGTCCGTGGCGATCTCGGCGACGCGGTGCGGGTCGACGTCGTGGCCCTCAAAGGGGCACCCCAGGACCACGGAGATGTAGGCGCGCACGCGGATGTCGGCCACGGAGCGCTTCGCCTCGGCAATCACCTCGCGGAACCGGTCGAGCGAGGCCGCCACGGAGCAGTTGAGGTTCTTCTGGCTGAAGGACTCGGTCGCGGCCGCGAAGACGGCCAGCTCGACCTCGGGCTTCTCCTTGTTGAGGATCGTGCGGGTCGACTCGGTGACGAAGGCGTCCGGGTGGGATTGGAGGATGGCCGTTGCGTTGGCGAGGCCCTTGAGGTTGGGGGCCAGGAAGGAGTAGGTTATCGGCGAGGGGGACTGGGGCTTGTTCTTGAGGATGTGCTCGAGGATCTCATTCGAGCTGTCCATCTGGGAGCCCGCGTCAGACACGAGGCAACCTGGCCGGCGGCAATCGGGAGGGCCGACATACCTGAGGGACCCATTTTGGAGACACAAACGACCCAGCTTCGATTGTTGTGAGCCCTGTCTTGGCCAGCTTCTCGATCAAGGTGATCTTTGTGGCCAGTGGTATCGACTTCTTCTCGTTCTGTAGCCCATCACGCGGGCCCACCTCGACGATCTTGACACGGTTGTCAAACTGCTGCTGTTGTTGCTGCTGACCACCGGCGTCCGTGGCCGTGGCGAACCCTCTCAGGCATCGCGGGGACGTCCTCCGCAGTACATGTCGGGTAATTGGCCTCAGGGACTTCATCTTGGTGGAACGGCACGCCTCTCACCATGGCTGATCGGAAGGTTTGATCCCCGCAGTAAGGCGAGGTCGGGACGCGCCTGAGCCGCATGATGTCACGGCCCGCGCTCGCTTATCGTCGGCTAACAGCGACGCGAGGTTACAATGTGGGAAGTTGACTGGCTCAGTGCTTGATTTATTATTCGTACAATTCAGCATATGAGATGAAATTCAATGTGAAGGAATAATAATACCGACAAGTCCGTCGTGTAGCTGACTCGGGCACTTGACTCTGGGATCTAGCATGATCCGGCTACTTAGGTACCTAGGTACTCAAGTACTCCGTAAGTTGTCCTAGCTTATCTCGACGCTGCTGACAGGCAGGGCCGATTGATGGGACTCCTCCTCTCTCCTTCTCTCTGCTCTGGTTTCAAGCCTCATCTCGTTGAGCAAACACCAACTTACACGTATGGGGATCTTTGAAGGCTGGTTATTTAGCTGTTTCCTGCTTTCCATTGCAAATACACTAACCTGAACGTCACATGGAAAATGTTCCTCTGCCTCTGGCCCACATCCAAGCCTTGATCAACTGCGCTGGTGACGTTCGCTGTGCCTGTCCGTTGTGCCTACGCAGAAACTCAGATGAATGTCTTGATCCAAAAAGCAATTATGGAATGATTTTGGGACTCATGGAGAATCTGATGATCATATTTTTCGCTCTTCTTGCTTGTTCACTTCTCTGGACCAAGCCAAACGTTAGTACCCACCCTATTGAGAGGGTGGCAGCGATGAGCCTTTGACAGTCCGTCCTGATATAATGGACTTTTCCTCCTTTCTTTCCAAGGTTGACACACTTTGGCAGTATCACGGCGCTAAATAAAGAATCCCAAAGCAACATTGAACATCAGCTGAAGCTAGACTTGCCCTGCAACGCCACAGACGCCCAATGCCATTGGACTTGGAGATTGCGTTTTCAGATGGCACTCACTACTTGGTATAGAAATGGTGTCGAAGGTTATCTCCGTCTATCTCCGTTAATCGGCAACTAAGAGAGATGTGCGAATCACCAGGGCAGCTAGCTTATCGCATGGTGGTGACCACTTCTCCAACTCTTCGATACCCCAAGGTAGCGTCGACCCTATCTCAACGAGGCAGGTAGGTAAGCCCGATGTAGGAGTAAGCCTGGGATATATCTCACCAATATTGCCGTGGTACAAACTCCAGCAGCGGCCATTGATTATCAAGATGACCTTTTCCTGGTGTACCCTCAGATATCCCCTGCGACCAGGGGAAGACGATGGAATTCTGAGCCTCACGCCTCCACCCGAAGCCTGCGTCCCGGGCAGTCATGGCCATGTTCAAGCACGAGGTCAGGAGAAAGGGTTCCCCGCCCGATACGTACAATGAATATGGCTACTCAACAGAGACCCCGCGCCATGAGAACCGTCCTCTCGCGGACGACGTCTTCGGGGACGAGGAGGGTGCGCAGGTGAGTGAAACAGCACTTGAGAATGACTTCAGTCGCCGGTACTTTCCAAGCACCCTCGCTGACCCGGCCTCCCAGATCCACTACCGCACTATGACCTGGCCCCTCGTCGCCGTCCTGATGATAGCCGAGATCGTCTCAAACGGCATGCTGTCCCTGCCGTCTAGCCTCGCCGTCGTCGGGATCGTGCCGGGCGTCATCGTCATCGTCTTCCTCGGCGTCTTCGCGACCTTCACAAGCTGGCTGCTCATCCAATTCAAGCTGCGCCATCCTCAAGGTAAGTAGGAGAGAGGAAAAAAGCCCCCCAAGGTGTCCCTGGGGCCAGTCAGTCGTACATACATGACAGTGCCTAAATGGCGGCGGGCTGACGACATCTGACAAACTTGCAACAAAACAGTCCACTCCATGGGCGACGCCGGCATGATCCTCTTCGGCCCGGCCGGCCGCGAGGTCCTCGCGGCAGGGACCATCATCTTCGCCGTCTTCGCGACGGGGTCCCAGCTCCTCGCGGGCCAGACGGCGCTGGCCACGCTCTCCGGGGGCCGCCTGTGCCTGATGCTCTACACGGGCATCTTCGCCATCCCGACCCTGCTCTTCTCCCTCCCGCGGACGCTGGACCGCCTCTCGTGGCTCAGCGTCCCCGCCGTCGTGTCGATCCTCGCCGCCGGCGTGGTCGGCATGGTCGGCGCGGGCCTGCACCCGGCCGCAGGGCGCACCGTCGACGTGGCCCGGCCCTCCGACTTCGTGACGGCCTTCGTGTCCATCACGAACCCGGTCTTCGCCTACGCGGGCCACTTCATGTTCTTCATCCTCATCAGCGAGATGAGGGACACCCGCGGCGCCATGAAGGCCGCCTACGTCCTGCAGGGCTTCGCCACCAGCTTCTACGTCGTCTTCTCCGTCGTCACGTACTACTACCTCGGCTCCGAGGTGGCCAGCCCGTCCTTCTCGTCGCTGCCGCCCGTGTGGGCAAAGGCCGCGTACGGCATCGCCATCCTGAACTTCCTGATCGCGGGCTCGCTGTACTCGCACACCGCGGCCAAGCTGGTGTTTGTCAGGATGTTCCGGCGCTCGCGGCACCTGCACCAGCACTCGGTGCTCGGCTGGGGGGTGCGGGTGTTTCTGATCTTCCTGGCCAACGGCGCTGCCTTTGTGCTTGCTGTTGGTGTCCCCATCTTCAACTATCTCATTGGAATCGCGGCGAGCCTGTTTGCGTCGTGGTATACCTATGGTATCGCTGGGTTCTTTTGGCTATTTGACGCGTACCATTTTGGGATGGGGAAGGGGGAGTGGTCTAGGTCCTGGGGTATGACGACCCTCAGTATTCTGACGATCATGGCAGGCCTGTTCATCTGTGTGGCCGGTCTATATGTCACAATTGATGGCATAGTCATAGCTTATCGGGATGGGGCTGTGTCTGCTCCTTTTAGCTGCTAGAGACGGGCATGTGCAGCAGCTAAGTTAGAAATGTTACAAGTCACGGGCATATGTAGATAGTGCATTAATTTGTTTTAAGTTTCTAGACAGGCGAAGCACTCTCGCGCCTGAGTAAAGAGAACACATAGCTAGGATCCAAGGCCTGGAGCAAAGTCTACTAGGGGTCCAGGTTGTTCCTCTGGTACAAGTTGGAGCCTGAAAAAGTGTCAGCCGTTTGCCAGTATCAAGGCTAGAGGAAGGGGGGCAAGGGGCCGGGGGGACATACCAGCAATCACGACGTTGAAGTTGCTGCGGTTTTGGTTGGTGTTGAGGCCGTCCGTCCAGTACAGCTTGTTCTTCCACAAGGCGCAGACGATGGTAGTCATGGACACAGGGTTGGGGCAAGCCGTGCCGGGCGCGAGAGTCGGAGAGCGAAGGAAGTCTTTTTGCCAGAAAAGAAAAGGTCAACATATATACCTCACCCTTTCGTTCCCGTCCTTTTCGTGGGATGAGGCCGGATTCATCAAGAGCCCACCCTCCTCTCTCTCTCTATCTCCCCCCACAGGAAAGAGGAACAACTTGAAGCGTGGCCCGACGGATTTGGACAGAAACAACCAAAACACTCACAGGTGTTGTACGAGTTACACTTGGTCCCCGCGGCATTCAGCGCGTCACACGCGAGCGAGCAGTTCCACGGCGAGTACGCGGGCTGGTTGATCCACCCGAGGTACGCGTTGCCGGCGTACTGGAACGCGCCGTTGCCGTTGGTGCTCTGCGCCAGGAACGACGCGTTGCTGACGCCCAGGCTCCGGGCGGCGGCCTGGAACGGCGCGTGCGCCAGGAACGCCGCCGCCGTGTCCGGGTTGCTGACCCTCTCGCCCAGGCCCGCCGGCGTCTCGGGGGCGCACGGAGGTCGGCTCTGTGTTCTCGAGCCGCCGCCGGTGGCCGGTCCCTGCTGTCCCGCCGCCTGGCGCTGGGTGTGGAAGTCGATCGGGGGCTCGTGGATCAGCTCCGAGAAAGGCCACGTCTGGTCGCTTCTGCCGTAGCCGTCGCCCGCAAGGTTGTTGGGCATGGCGATGGCGGTGGTCGCTGCCGTCATGAGGCACATGGCCCGAACGAGTGAGTTGATCATGGTTTTTGGTCTGGTTGGGCCAATGTGTAAGCTGATGGTGTGTTTCGACAGCGTTTTCGACGTCTGCTAGCAGAGGGTGCGGAAAAGGAGCAGAGAAGGGAACAAGAATGACAGCTCCATGGGCCCGGGCATGTTCTCAGATTCATCTTCCCAAGGATATCGTGCGCGGCATCTTCTATCTAAGACTCATCAAGAACTGCGATGGGCTGTGACCACTCAACACGCCGTCGTGGTATTGAGTCGCGTGGTTCACTCTGTTGGGATAAGACCAGGTGGGCGAGCAAGGGAGCCATGTTCTGGGATCAGAAGTTCTTCCTCTCCTCCCACCTGCCTTGACTTACACCGGTCACGGCGTACACTAGAGGGTTCCTACCCGAGCTGTGAGCTGTCGACCTAGTTCTCAAGCTCACAGCCGAGCTTGGAAGAGGGGTGAACTCGTCCCCAGTCCACCGAAGTAAACACATCGAACACTTCCTCAAGCAACATCGTATAGTGGAATGACTTCAGATCTTGGGACCAAAAGAAATTTGACAAGCTCAAAATTTGTTCGTGTCGGACAACATGCACACACGCGAAGAGAGTTCCCAGCGACTCCTCCTATGTGCCTTCCTCAACGCTCATGCCACGATGCTCACTCACGTCGCCTCACTGGCGATCACAGCGCTCTGTTGACACTAATTTAGTTAATCAAGTATGCTAACCTTTGTAGAAGCTAGTCTATCAAAGCACACCTCGACAGCTACCCTGTCCGAGACACCCACCCTGACACAGAACTCAAGATACTCAGCAGAGCTCGGTATGAATTTGGAGCTGGGATTGACACAATTGGGCCGTCGAAGCACCTAGAACTATTGGACCTACTGACGGGCAGAAAGGGCGATGGCTTCTTCACGTTTCCTAGGGATGTCAGGCCAAAGCTAACCGGCCAATCCTTCGTTAACTTCCGGGGTCACGTCGAGAAACAATGGCTATGAAAGCAGGTGACGGAGCCATCTGGGGCCCACGATCCCTTCATTCCCGCAAGGAAAGTCCTCGGTCGATATCTCACAACGTGCTACTGATTTTCACAAGACCCCACAATGATGATTACAAATTCCTGATTCTTACTCCTAGACCCTATCTTTTGAAGAGAAGCGAAAATGCACAAGCATAATTGGTATCATAACACCGATACTCAACAAACACTGTCAAGAAAGTCATTCGTTCAGTCGGGCGCGTGTCGTTTGTTGCCGTATCATCAAGCCCCGCTCTAGCGTTTCCCTCTTCCCCGTGACGAGTTCTAGTCACTATATTATGTATCCCCCTGTGGTCGACGCAGATTCTTGATGAATCATAGTAGGGCATCTAAGCCAGGAACCCAACCAGGAAGCTGGCGGTCACAGCAGAGACCACAGTCAACGCCGTCCATCCGCCCTGAGCGGAGAGGCCGGCGGCTGCGCTCTTGGAGGACGAGGAAGCGCTCGAGCCCGAGCTGGTGCCGGTGGAAGAGGAGCCTCCGGTGCCGGTGGCGGCAGCCTTGTTGGCACCGGGCGAGTTGATCTCGTTGTCACCGAGCGGGACGACGGCAAGGTCAGAGATCTCGTTTCCGTTGTTGTCCTTGACGGTAACGGTAACCGAGTAGTCAGCTGTAATGATTTGCGTCAGCCGAATGGTCCACGGTGTTTTTTGTTGGTTTGTCAGTTTTACTTACCAATATCGACGATCTTTCCGACCGGCTTGGGGCTGATACCGTTCTCGATGAGGGCCGAGGCGTTGGGCGGGAGGGCAGGGATGGTGAAGTTGGTGGTGAAACCATCGGTGGTGATCAGCTTCGCGCTACACTTGGGCGCAGGGCTGCTCTTCTTGGATGGGGCAATGCCCTGGATGTTGGTGAAGTTCAGGCCAGCGTACTGCTCCTTCAGGGCGTAGTAGTCGGACATGATCTGGGCAGAGCCATCGGAGCTGATGTTGACCAGACCGTAGTTGTTCTCCTCCTGTGCGTACTCGTAGACGATGCCACCGCTGAAGACGTTCTGCATCTCATCGCTGTAGATCTCTGGCACCTCGGTGAAGACACGGGGAGAAGGAGTGTTGCAGCCAAACTCGGAGAAGAAGATGGGCACAGAGCTGCCCTCGAAGCCTGCGACAAGCTGGTCGTATCCGGACTCGGTGAAAGTGCTGTTGCCACACCACGAGTAGCTGTTGAGCGCGAAGAGGTCGACGCGGCTCATCTCGTCCTCCGCGTCCTCACACTGCATGTACTGCCACGAGTCGAAGAGGATGGACCTGACATCGGCAGCGCTGTAACCGACGGGGATAGCACGCTTGGAGTTCTTGGAGATGTAGTTCTTGAGGTCACGGGTGACGGCACGGATGTAGGGAGGGACGGTAGCTCCGTTGTGCTCGTCAAAGATGACCTCGTTTCCGCTGAAGAAGGCGGCGGTGTTGGGGTAGTCCTTGAAGGCCTCGACGACGGCAAAAGTCCTGTTCAGGTAGCCGGCGTAGTAAGACTCCCAAGGCGCAGCAGACATGATACTCTCTCCAGGGAGGGGAGAGTTGACGTCCAAGAACATATACATGCCGGCCTGGATGACCACACACAGTCAGCTTTCGTAATCTCGCAAGTCGATCCGGTGTCAGGACATACCGCATTGAAGATGGAGACACACTCATCGTGGTTCACATCGGGGTCAATGTTGTACACACGAATGGCGTTGACGCCCAGGATCTGCATGAGAGCAGCATCACGAAGACACTCATCCTTGTTGCTAAGAGGGTCGATGCCAGACCCGGGGTTGTACCCGGCAGAGCCGCCAGGCTGGTAGGCGACACCGACGATCTGGTACCTGGCGCCGGTGACCTGGTTGACGAAAAAGGAACCCTGGACGTCGATAGCAGGCACGGCTGCAGCCAAGGAGGCGGCGCTGACGAGGCCAAGGACAGTTCGTTGGACCTGCGAAGCTTAGTTAGCGGTTTGGTGGGGTTGGAGATTATACATTTTGCAGCGGAGGGGCCGGCTTGATGGGCGTGGCGTTGACTGGGTAAGACACAGCAGGGTGGCACTGATGGGCAGGGCATAAGGTTTGACAGCCGTTGGAACCAATGCAGATCAGAATCAACGGCGGTGCTGATCAGGCCTCCTCCAACATCCGAAGCCAAAGGGAACTTCTCAACGACCGCTTTGGGCTCGTCGCAACAACTTACAAACATTATGGCGACCCGAAAGATGGATGTACGTCAAATGGTGTGTGGTGATGAACAATAATGCTCTGAACACAAGCTGGAAAAGAGTCGAGGTTTCCAAATATAAGCGCTCGAGGCGTTGTGTCAGATATACAGGCGCAGGGATGGTCGAAAATAGCCAAGAAAGCTGTCGAGGTCGAGTTACAACAATGTCTTGAGTGACTCGCTGCGCCGGGTCGTCCTGGAAACGGAATGCTGAACGGTTTGTTGAAATACGGGAAGGAATGAGCGACAGACAGACAACACAAGCGGCAAAAAAGCGATGTGGTGCAGTGCAAATACAAGGCGGCAGCAAACAGTGGCGATGAAGGAGCGACTGAAGGTGAGCAAACAGGCAGACCGAGAGAGTGAATGACTGACTGGCTGACAGGCCTTGGGAGAGATCAGGACATGGGAGGGAAGGCTTGGTGAGATGGGCGGGCCAGGTTCATAAATGAGTGATTCGACCCAACTCTTATCTCACGATGCGGCCCGCCCAGCGCCTACGCCGAACAGAGGAAAGGGCCTCCCGACCTGGGCTGCCCGGGTGCCTGGTTGCCTGGGTGGGGATTCAAGGTAGGCCTTGGCAGTGAGTACACTTGCCCTCAACTGTATCTTATTGCTTGATTACCCTCTGGCACCTGCCCTTTCCCGCTCTTGAATTACACATGCAGCTAGTTCCTGACGATCGGCCCAAAATACCCCCCCTGCCCCAGGTGGCACCCATGCAGGAACCACATTCAGCCAGTCAGCCAGAGGGACAGAAAGGAGGGCCGACTGCGAGATTGGCACGGTTCAATTGTTGCGAAGATTCTTAAGGTTAATATCAAGGTCGAGGTGGGGCCAGCATTTATTTACTGGCTGACTGACAGGGAGCCAACTGAGCCAAACAGCTCTTCCTCCCTTCCCCAGCGCCTGCCCGTTGGAAAATAACACCCGCCCACACAAACAAACCCCTGAGATGCCCGTCCTGCCATCGGGTCCCACCTCCGCGGCTAGCCCAATCCCGTCGATGTTTCACAAGATCTTCGCACTGCAGGGATTGCCTCATCTCGCTTTGTGCGACTCGCCGTCTCAAGTAAACGGGCCCGCCAATCTCATCCTCTGCCTGCTGCCAACAGAGAGAGAGAGTGAGAGACAGAGGCAAACATGCGCGCGATTCGTTACCGACACCCGGCCCAAATTTGGAAAACACCTCAGCTGCCTCGTCGGCACTTGAAGGGCTGATCCGGGCTTAGTCTGCCAGATGGATACTTGAACGATAGACATTACATGCACACGAGCTTTCCCACGTCGTATCCGTACCTGGGAGGAGTCGCCCTAGTCGCGAAAAAGGGAAGTAATAGCTTCTCCCGCCTTCGAATACGACCACGCGCCTCCTCCGGTCCCAACGCTACCGCAGTACGGAGTAACGGGTGCAGCGAGCGGGCAACATCCGTGGCTCACCGAACAAAACGTGGAGCCCGTGGGCAATTCGACCAGTGCAGATCGCGCCCCATCCCAGCTGCCTCCTAGCAGCAGGTCGGCGAGCCCTGGTGTTCAGCAGCCCAGGAAGGGCAGAGACACTCGCTCAGATCGGCTGCGACTAACTGTTTTCGTAGAGATGCTGGCCTACACGAAAGACTCGTGCACGCCGAGCCGAGAATTCAGTGTACTTCCCTTCCAGTAAGGATCGGGGCCCTGTCACCCATCTGTCATCTGTCATGGGGTTCAGGCACAATTTCACGCTTATTTAAAGGCCGCCTCGACGGTGACGGGGAAAAAGGCAGAAGTGTATTGGTGGTATCTCAGCTCAACTGCAAACATCAACAACAAAGTCTCGCTTCCTCCCGGAGGAAGGAGGCCAGCACGGACATGACATGCGCGCACACTCAAGTCCGTCCCGCCCATTCACAACTCTCCTCATCTCATGTCTTTCGACTCGAAAATCAAGATCCAACTGACTTGAGTCTCTCTTCTCGTCAATCTCCAAATAGAAAACAAAAAAAAAGAGGCCTTGGGCTTTTTTTAATCTCATTCTCTTTCTTTCGGTTTTTTTTCTTTTGCTTCTTGTGCCTTTTGACTCCGAACATGAACGTAATAAGCGTGTATGGGAGGGGCATGAAGGGGTGGTGATGTGAATCGTCACGGTGAATAAGCATTATGCGGTGAAGTGGCGCGGGAGGACTGGCGATGATCGTATAGTTTGAAAAGAAAAGACGAGATGTTAAAACAAGAGTGTCCGTCGCGTGCTGGACCGAATGCGCATCATCGATGTGGCCAAGTCATAGTGACAACATCGTGGTACCCACAAGAACTCCTCGCCACCAAATGTGATGTGATGATAGCTCGCCATGCAGACAAAAGCATCGAAGTAGGACAGGGTGATAGATTTGTAAACATGGTAGGGGTAATATGTGCGAAAGAAGGCCCGCCCGGTTGTATAGGGGGGTTGTGAAACCGAATTCCATCCCAGGTATGTCGCAATGGGGTCATATCGTAAGCGTGAGATACCCTCAGCCCGTGCAAAGGACCGAGGGAGATTAGAAGCAGTTCAGGCTGCCCTTCTTCTTCTTCTTGTTGATGGCGTTCATTCTCTCCTCGAGGTGTGCGCGCGCCCTCTCCGCGGCCTCGCGCTTCTTGCGCTCCTCCTCGACCTGCTGGAGGCTCCAGCGTGGGTCTTGCGGCGGCTTCTCCTTCATGGCCTTCATCTCCGCCTCGAGCTCCGTGCATCGTCGCCGCCACGCGTCGCAGTCCGCCTTGACCTTGTTGGACTGCCGCTCCAGGTCGGTGAGCGCCTCTTCCAGCGTCGACGTGAGCTGCTTCTCCGCCGAGAGGTGCTTCTCGATGGTGCGGATGCGGGCTTCCTGGTCCTCATGGATATGGTGCTGCATCGCCATGTCCTTGGATGGCGGGCGCATGCCAGGAATAGGCGATGTTGTGCCCGAGGATGAGACGCCGCCAGGCAGCGGAGGCAGGGGGACGGAAGGAGGTGGTGAGGGTAGCGAGGTGACAGATGCGGACTTGCGCACTGTGCCGTTGAGGGAATCAGAGCGTCCCATGGTGTCACCATTGACACCACTGTTCATCTTGTTCTGGGTCCGATTAGCTTGAGCATTACAATGGGTCGGTCGATCGGGACATACCTGGAGGGATGCATATTGCTCTCTCAGCGTGTTCAGCTCGCCCTGCAGGGCATTCTTGGCGCTGAGGGCCTCCTCCAGCCGAGTGTTGCTCTCGTGAAGAGTCGACAGGCGGTTGTTCGTCTGGTCGAAGTTGCTCTGGAGTTGTTCCTCAAGCTCGTCTACCAGACGCGAGTTCTTCTTGTTCCTGCTTTGCAGATCCACCATTTTCCTCTTGATCACGGTGGCTTGCTCCGTCACACTCGGGTAGGGGCTCCTCAGCTCAGCACCTTGCTCCAACAGGATATCAGACAACGTCGATTTGACGGACTCCAGATCCTGTGTGAGAGCATCATTGACATTGGAGATCTCGTGCACCGCCTTTTCGAGTTCGTTGGCCTTCTTCTGCTCCTCGACGAAGGCCTTCTGGTCGGCGATGAGGTCCTCGATGCGCTCGGAGATGAGCTCAACACTGACGTCCAGCCCAAGAGCAAAGGCAACCTGGGTGGCTACCTTCATCAAGTCCTCGCGGGCTTCAGTCAGCTGGGTTTCGAGTTTCGTGGTGTGCTTCGCGTGCTCCGCCTTGAGGGCGTCGACCCTCGCGTCAGCATCCTGCTTCGACGAAGCACGGAGATCCTCAATCTCCTTGGCGTGAGTTGTCCTGAGCAGCTCCATGCTCCTCTGGTGGGTCTTGATGACCTGCTCGTGGGAAGAGATCTGGTTCTCGAGTGTCGAAACGAGCTGGGAATGGGTCTCAGCATCGTGCTTGTGTGCTTCAGCCTCTGACCTCTGCTGGTCAGCCTCTTGCTGCACCTTCTCCAGCTCGTCTCTATGGCTTTCAAGCAGCTGTTTGTGCTCCTCGATCTCCGACATGACCAGTTCGCGGGCCTTGTGCGCCTCCTCGAGCTCCTTCTTGACAAGACTGTGCGCCTCTTCCAGCTCGGACACCCGGGCAGCATTGGTGCTGATGATGGTCTTGTGCTGGTCAATCTCACTGCGTAGTGTCGAGATGAGTTCCTCGGTCTTAGCTTCAGCGTGCTGGGCTTCGCCCTCGCCCTCGGTCGAGCGAGGAGAGTCCTTGAGTTGGGCGCTGACGCTAGCAAGCTGGGCCTCGAGTTCTTCGATGGTAGTTCGCATCTGCTGCTCGGTGCTCTGCATGGTGTCCAAGGCTGTCTTGTGCTTGTTCTCCCAGTCCGCGAGGTCGGCCTCGAGCTTCATAATCCTCTGCTCGTGCACAGCTCCCTGGTCTGCGTCGACGACATCGGCATCGGCCTTCTTCTCCTCGGTCTTGGCGGTCTCCATTGAAGCACGCAGACTCTCAACCTCGCTCTGAAGTTCCTTCTCGCGTACAGCATGGGCTTCTTGCATCTCATGAAGCTGCCGTTCATTCTTCTCCAGCTGATCTCTCAGTGTTGAAATGAGAGACACGTCCCTAGCGGAGGCCTTCAAGCTTGAGCGCTCGCGGGTCAAACCGGAGATGAGCTGCATCTTGGTTTCCATCTCCTTCCTCGCATTCGCCACGTCAGCCTCGAGCTCCTGAATCCTCTCCGACCTGGCGTGAAGCTCGTGCATAGCGGCGTTCAGGTTGAGCTCGAAGTTCTGCATTGTCTCAGGATTGTCCTCGAAATTGTCCGCGGCGATATTACGAAGCGATGCAAAGGACCTGTGTGCTCTGTCGATGATCATCACGTTCTGGCTGGACTTGCGTCGAATGACGGGTGCGCCTTTGACGGGCGAGGGCGGTTCGAGGTTGTGGCGGGCCTTGGCGACTTCGGTCTTGAGGTCCTCCACCACCTCGAGCGTCTCGTGATGCTTCTTTTCCAGCTCGGTGTATTTCTCGGCGAGTTGCTTTTCAGCGGCCTCCTTTTCAGCTGCCAGGGCTGTGAGCCGTTCGAGCTCGATTGCCATTGCCGAGTTGTCAGTTTCATCGTCAGCCGGGCCATGCGCCTCCACTGTTGGCAGCGGTTCCCGAGAGGTTTCGGGGGCGGCGCGACCCTCAGATTTGGGCTTCGCCGTCTCTGTATCAGATACTTCCGCCCCGGCTGGGAACTCCATGGCTGATGATAATTCCGAAGAAAGCGAACGCGAGGATAGTGGCGGTCTGCCATCCCTGGTGTGACCCGACCTCGGCTCCGACAAGAAAGAGGACGGCCTCGTCTGATTCTCGGACGGCGAAGTGATGGACAGCATAGAGTCGCGGGGCCGGTGCGGGTGACGTGACTCGTCGATTGTATCTTGCAACTCCGCAAGAGCTTTGAGAGACTGCTCGTACTTGGCATGCAGGAGGTCGTACTGGGTCAGGGTGTTTTCGTGCTCTACCCTGAGATCCATCAACTCGTGCGTGACGTTCTCCAGCTTGTCCTGGACAAACTTGGACTGGGCCGGGCTGGTAGGGTAGTCAAGCTGTGAGTCGGACTGAGGAGTAGACTTGTCACAATTGGCTTGGTCTGCGTCGTGCACTTCCTCGGCAATGGCTGAGATGGGTCCTTCCTCAGGTATGTCCTCCTCCCTGTCCTCGGGGATTGGATCCTCCATTCGGCTTTGACGGCCACTGGCGCTTTGGCTACGAGAATGGTCAGCGAGGCCGCGGTTGATGCTCCTTCGGTGGCTCGACCCGTTGCTCAGCTCAGCCTCCGGTTCCGGCACGCTCGAATCCTTTTGCATATGGTCCAGCTCGTACAGCAAGGAATCGAGCTTGCCCAGGCTTCGCTGGCGCTCGACCACTTGCTCCAGGCGATCGATCTCGCGCTGCATCAGCTCGGCGTCCTGGTCAGCCTCGGCAAGCCTCTCCTCCAGGGTAGAGATGTAATCTTCGCAACTGGCCTCATTCTCCCTCACGCGAGCAATCTCCTTACGAAGCTCGGTAATGATGGTTGCGTTCTTTTCCTCTCCCGAAGTGTGCCCGTCGAGTTTGGCTTCCAGATCATGGAGGTAGTTCTCGGTGTTGGCCTCCCTGTCCATGAGCTTCTGAAGCCGGGTCTGGAGCTGCGTGTTGATTGTTTCGACGTATGCCAGCTTGCTCTCCTTCTCCAAAAGGGCCGTCTCCGTGTTATGGAGTGTGCCGCGTGTGCCAGAGAGGGATTGCTCTAGTGCTTGGATAGTTTTCTCGTATTCGAGGACGACCTGCTCGACCGCCTGTGCGAAGTTGTTGGACCGGTTTAGCCTCTCGGTGGCAGTCTCGCCCAGGCTCTCTTCGAATTGCGCATTCTCTGCCTCCTCCAAGTCCCGTGCTTTGGCCATTTCGGCGATGAGTTTCGCGTGCCTCTGGCTCAGGGACGAATAATTCTCTTGAGCGTCCAGGAGTTGGTTTTGCAGTTCCGTTTCCCGCTCGTTTGATCGCTCTGATCTCTCCCCTGAGGACACCACACGCCTATCGCCCCCGGACCGCTCCGAGCCTCTGACCTGGTCTCGCAGAAAGGCGACCTCTGCCTTGAGGCGGTCGATCAGGGCCTGCTTGTCACGCTCTTCGACCTGCTGGATCCTGGGCTTGCTCTGGATGGCACGAGCACGCTGCGCATACTGCACGGTGTTCAGGGTCTCGCTCAGATGGAATTCTGCCTGTGTTACACAGGCGATCATGTATGTAATCGCGTTGCCGCCGAGAGAGTCCTGCAGGAGTCTCGTCAACTTGGAATCTCGGTAAGAGACGTGTGCGCCAGCGTTTCGCGAAGACAACTGGGAGATAACCTTGCCCAGTGCGGCCAGACCAGCGTTGATGGAAATTCCCTCCTTGGCTCTTGCCCCTTCTGCGTGGGTGTTCTTCAGACGTTCACTGCCAGCCAGGTCGACAAAGTGCATCTTGCTGTCCGTCGTGGTCCAGGCCTCGCCGCCAGACATGGCTTCCACCGGCATAGAGTGTCGTTTGTCTTGGCTACCTGGGAAACCCGGTTTTTTCTGTACCAGGTTCAGAGAGAACACGGCATGTGATCGAGACGACCTCGCGTTAATGGCGGTTGCATCAGTTTGTCGCACAGTCGACCCAAAATTCAAGGCGTTCAGCAGATCTTCTACGGAGTTTATCTCGACTTGCCGCAGCCCTGTCAGGATTATGTTGCCTTTGGTATCTTCCCTAATTGTGACGGGGCTACGTTCGTGTGCGGGTATGTGCTCCGGCAACAAAAGATCCCGCAGTTGCTCGTTATATATTTCGACATAGGTCGCCTTCAAGGTCCAATTCTTGTCTGCGTTGCGCGCGGGCATCTGGGCAGAATACCTCGCGGGGGCGCGCAGTTGCGACATGGAACCGCGGTTTAGGTTCCCCCTTGAGCCATCGAGCTTCTCGAACAGCGCGGTTGCGGCGCGTGGGATGACACCTAAAATACCTCGAGTCAGAAGGCGGAAATGAAGGGGTGTAAATGACGAAAGTCTCCCTGGCCCTCGTATAGACCCGGCGGAGCCGCAGAAAGCTTACCCATGACGTCCAAATCACCCTGCTCGTTGGGACCCGAAGTACCCATTGTGTAGGACTTTCCTGCGCCTGACTGGCCATACGCCAGCAAAGACACATTGTAACCGGTGGTGAAGGCGGTGACGCAGTCCTCGAGGTAGTCCCAGACCCCAGCTTGGTCGTACTCGGGGGAGAAGACTCGGTCGAAAACAAAGACCTTGCGACCTTGAGGCGCATCAATGGCCAGGGTCGTGTTTGACATGACCTGGACCATAGATCTCTGGAAGCGCTGGGGAATGAGGTCGAACCCGGGGTCGGTTGGTTGTAATGGCGGCCGGATGCGCACGGCTATGGTGAAGACGCGTGTTAGTCGAGTGTGCTTTTGTCCCGCGACAGACACAGGCGGGGGGCGCAGATGGCGAGAAGCAATAGAGCGCTCCTTTTCCATTTACTCACCAACTTTGACTGATGTCCGGCCATCCTCATCTGAAGCCCTGCTGCCGCCTCCAGCCTTGCTCGACGAGCTCATCCGGCTGCTGCTCCTCTGGGTCGGTCGGATCATGGCGCTCTGGGGTCGCTGGGGCGGGTTCCCAGGAGAGTTGGGAGGTGAAGTCATGGTGGGCGGCTAGGGAGGCAGGGGCGAGCAGGCGTTGTTGTATGCACTCGATAGTGTTTATGCGCTCTCTTTGTCGGTCGGTCGGCCGGGCCAACCGCGCCCTCCAACACGCCTTAGCAGGCGATGACTGGGTATAACCGATGGCGCGAATCGTCGAGCTGGCGGCAAGACGGGACTGGTGGACGGGATTCAAGGAGACTCCCCGCAAGCGTGGTGCTTGGTGCGTGGCGGTCACCCACTCCACACAACAGGCGTCATAAACGTGAAGAGTGTTGGAGCCCAGCATGCAGAGAGGTTTTTGGGTTCTCCCTGTGGCCGTCGGGTATCATGAAAAAAAAAATATTGCAGCAGGATTGTTTGATTAGACGGTGGCCGGCTCGGGCTGACGAGTGCCAGAACGGACGTCGACGAGCAACAGCAGCACCAGATTAGAGGCCGCTGATTGGGATTAGGGGGGTCCACGGTGTTTATTTGATTGCGACTGGGGTGGGTTGGCAGTCCGTCTCCGGTAGGGGTCTGGGTCTGGGACCCCGGGTCTGGGATCCTGAAGCGCTGGGCAAATTAAAAGCGACCGAGGCGTGCTCGGGTCGCGTTCGTCGTTGCTCTTTGCTGGATCAAGGCAGCTTGTGGCAGATGGCAGGGTTCAGCGGTTGAGGACCGCCAGTCAGGGTTCCTTCTTCTTTCGGGCGCAGATTATTATAAATCTCTAAACGGCTTCTCTGCACCCGTACCGATGCTAGGTTACGGATGCTGGTGAGGGGGGGGCGAAGGGGGGGGGTGCGAATGCGAATGTGTGAACGTGTGAGTGAAGGAATGTGTGAGTGTCTGTCTGTCTGTCTGTCTGGCCAGCTTCACTGCCCACACATGCCCAGGTGCCCAGTACCGTCCAACGGGTGAAAGGGAAAGGAAGGGAAGGGCAGAGGACGATCCAAGTCAAGGACAGGACAGGACGGCACAGTATATCTGGGACTTGTTGAAGAAAGGTTAGACGGGGAAAAGAAAGTCGAGCTCGAGAAACCAAGCCAAGGAAAAAAGTAACGGGCACGGCACAGTAGGTAGGGAATGTACCTAGATTGGGACATGAGGTGCTGGGTACCTGGGGTACGTACCCCCGTTCTCCGTAGTGGGCAGGTTGAAGGATCACAGTTGCAACGAAGGGTGCACGCGGACGGAGAGTGGGATGGGGAACGGGGCGGGCCAGAGTAGGTGCGGGCGGGTCCCAAGTTGCGCCCGTCGACAGCAAATTGGCTTGATTGATTGATTGGGTTTATTATTACAGTACACTACTACTATGTATCTACTGACAGGACATAGATAGACTCTACATTTATTATTAGTAGTAGTAGCAGTAGTAGCAGGCTCACTGACAGACTCACGGACTCACAGACTCGCAGCAGAGACAGAGCCGGGTGCCGACTGGCTTGCGACGTCCCCAAGATCAACACCACATCCTGCCTGTCGCCGAAACCAAGTCTGCAAGTCTCTCGTCCTCGGTGGGAGCCGATGGTCTAGTCTGGAGAGACGACTCGGACTGGCTGACTAGGTGCCAGATAGTCTGCCGCAGATGGTATGCAACTGTCCTCTGCCTGTCCTCTGTCTGTCCTGTCCGCTCCCTCCGAGGCACGCAGCACGCAGCACGCAGCACACAGCATATCTCCTGCATTTCACATCCAACTCGACCATTCACAAGTCACAACACCAGCCCCCATGTACAGTACAGCCACACAGTCAGTCATCCTGCACGACGCACAAGAGGGCAGAGGCAACAGCCCCCCAGTCCCCTTCTCCTGGCTTCTGGTATGGCAGTCTGGGAATTGCAAGGGGACGGGCACGGCCCTGGTGTGGCGTGTGGTGTGGATGACGGCCGACTGGGGAAACAGGGGATCTCCGTCGGTGGCCACAGGTTCACTGCAGGTGTGGATAGTTATTAGCGTGGTGTAGATACAGGCCAGACAGGACAGTGGTTGAGTGGACAGATACAGGACCAGAGGGAGGGATACCAACGAGTTCTCGGAAGGGCTCGTGGCATTCCACACCCTCGATTGGCCCCTCCCTGCGTGCCTGGGCTGCCTCGGTACCTGGGTACCTGGGTACCTGGGAACCTCACAAAAACCGCCCGAAACGGGCGACCTGCCGACAAATTGGAACCACAGCTGCTAGCGCGAGGGGCCTATAAACTCAGCACACCACCTCCACCACCACCACCACCACCACTTCCCATACAGTTGCCTGTCAAGCTGTGGCTGCGCGTACATAGTCCAGCAGTGGACACTGGCAGACTGGCCCGAGGGCCCTGAGTGGACGGCCTCTGTTCTGAGCCTTGGCCTGCAGGTTTCAACACTCGGCGTGCTAGTGCCTGCTGGGGGTTGCTGCTGGGGGTTGCTGGGGTCGCTGGCTTCAGTTGGGCCTGCTATTGTGCTGATAGGCGAGCTCTGCCTCTTGTCAGGCCGTCCAGACCTCGCAGCATACTCCTTACTCTCGAATCATGACCTTCGCCGCCGTCGCCGCCATCACCATCAGCCGTGCCCCCTTTTCGCCCACCGACGATGAGGAGCGCCCTGCAGCATCTCTCCCTTGTACTGCAGCATCCTCCTACCACCATGCATCTCATGACCATGATCGCCACTGGCCGGGTGGGTCCTTCTGCTGGCCTGACAGCCCAGCCCTGACAGCCCTGCCCTGTTCTAACTTTGTCCGTGCTGCCAGGCTGCCAGGCTGCTTGTCCTGTGCTGGTGAACTTTGAGGTGAGGGCGAGAGAGCTGGAGAGGTGATCGTCTCGCCTCAATTCAGGGGTGCAGGCGCAGAGCAGCAGTAGCGTGGCCCCGTCCCTGTTTGCCCTTGCAGCTCACCTCCACCAGGTGGCCCCCGTGTGAGTGGTCTGGTCGGGGCCAACCACCCAATCACCGCCCCCCCTCGGCACGCCGTCCCCAGCTACTGACCGTTTTGCATCAGCTTCGGACTAGTGTGGGCGGGGCGGCAACGTGGTGCCCCGGTAAGCTTTGTGCCTTTTGGCTGAGCAAACCGTCAGTCAGGTCCGTATGGGCTTGTCCGTCGCAAGATTGGGACGGCCACTACCGCTATCTGTCTGTCTACTGTCTATCACTTATCAGCCCAGAAATCAGACAGACACCCTTCCAAGACGCCACCACATTACACTACTATCACTGCAACAGCCCGACGTCCAGCACTCGCTCTAATATCGCATGGATCAACCGTGGTATCTAGTGCCCCAATTACGCCCCGTACTACCTGCACTCCGTAGTGTAGTTCGTACAACAAACTCAGCGTCCGAGTCACGCCTTTTTTCCGAGGCTGCCAGATCACTGCCAGATCTGATCCATCATCTCCGACCCTGCATCCATCCTGCCAGACTGCCAGACTGCCAGACCGACGGACCGACCGCATGATGGCGCTGCCTCTGCCACGCAGCAGGTCTGCTATGTGTGCCCTGTCCATAATTCTGCTCCACGGCCACAGCCCCGAGGTTGGGCCCTTGAGACCACCATGCGCTGGCTGTCCGGAAACGTTGGTGCCAGCATCTGTGACATTTCCAACTTCAAAATACCTGTCGGCCTCTGTCAACTGCCGCAGCCGACTCCACACCCAAACCAAACCAAGTACATGACAACCAACATACCTGGGCGTGGCGCCCCAGAGAGACATTCGCCAGCTTCTGCAGGTTCGGACATTTTGATTCATGCGCACACCCAGGCATTCCCATGCTTCCCCAGCTGCACCTGTCTGCGGTCCCGTGATACCCGTACCCAGGCTCCTGGTGCACGCCAAGCAAGGTCTGGACGAGATGGACATCTTGTTTGTTTGCGAGACTCACTCATCCAACGATGTGTGAGTAGAGGTCTGCAAGGGAGTATAAACACCACCCCGGCCACCCCTCTTCCCTTTACGTCGTGCTAACAACACGTCGTGCAATACCCCACTCCCTTATCGTCTGTCGGTGTCGACCTCAACCATGCTGCGTCTTCTCAAACCCGCGGGTTTGGAAATGCAAAACGCCCAGGCCGGCACACTAAGGCTTGTTCGCAAGGGACTCATCCTTCCAGAAGTACACGTTGAGCATTCATGCGACACCCGCCATCTCGGTCTGCGAGGACATCCCGGGCGCCCTGTGTCCCCGTCCCCAGCCTGCTCGTGACCCATTGGGCAGCCCACCGCAGGTGCAGTTGCAATGGAGCTTCAGTGTTGCTTTGCACTGTGGTATCATATCGCGGTGGGCTTCACTTTCGTCTATTACGTGATGCCCGAGGACGAAATCCCTGAAAGCTGGGTCGTTCGGGGGCTTCTGACCACCCACGGGGTTGCCAATTGCGCAATATGCTCCGATTGTCAAGATCTGAGCACGCTCCCATCACGCCAAGGGCTCTTCCAGGACCCTGTCCGCCGGGCCACCGTGCCCAGGGGTTCCCCAGGTATCGAGCAACTGGCTTGTTCTAAGTCGTTCATCCAGAGGAACGTCAAGGAGTTCGAGTCTCGCTTCAGAAAGCAGGACGACATTCATCTCATGCTCCTGTTTCTACTGGTATCCGCCCTGGCATGACGGCAAGTTCCCAAGCCCGGAGCTCTTAGGCCGGCTGGGCCCTGGAAGACAGACACGCGGCGGATACCAGCGCGGTGCAGGGGACCATCTCGAGTAGCCGACTATGAAGCTTTCCTCCTAGCTGCTAGCCTGGCCCGGACCATGCCGCCAGCGACCCAATCTCGTGTTCCGCAGCCTGTGGTCGCTTTTTAAAGCTTTGCTCAATGTGCAAGGAAAAGCACATCGGGCCTTAGCCGGCGATCTTCATAGATCAAATTCTCATTAGATATGTAGGACCTCGGCCGGAGCCCAAGTCACACATTGAGCCCGGACAAGAGGTGTTCGGAGCTGCAAACTTCCATATTCGAGGCCCGCACGTTGGGCGGAGCCCGCCTGCCTGCATGAACAAGGCCGTCCGGCCCAAGACCCACCGTCTCCCCCGCCTTGGACGTTATCACATCACGAGTCTCCCCGCCTTGAACACTATCACATCACGGGTCACGTACTACACGGATACTAATACGTATGCATGCCTGGTCAAGCGGTCTAGAACCCATACACAGTAGGCAAGAGAGAGGGAGGCTCTACCAGCAAAACAAGTGCTGACAACCCACGCACCCAGCATGCACGCCCACACCCACCTCCACCCACTGTAGAAACAGCCATGCCCCAACCGGGCGTGGCGCGCCTCCTAGCGAGCCAGCTCGTCACTTATTCTCCGGCCGTGCACCAGCGCTAATGCCGCGGACGGTCACAGACAAACTGTGGTACACATAACTGTGGTTCTCGCGGCACGTGTGGCACCAAAGTGATCGCCCATCCCATCGATCGGGGGAGTGAACGCCTCACGCCTCTCGCACGGCACGGCCTCTGCACGGGTGGTGGCGCTGTTCTTGTTTCCTTGAAACCAGGCTTTTGGGGGGCGCAGGTGCAAGATGGGTTCGGATGGGATGGAATGGCACGTCAGCATAGGCGTGGTTGGTTGGGATATCTCCCCTCCCTCCGCCGAGCAGCAGCAGCAGCAGTAGCAGCAGAGAGACGTGTTCGGGGGCTGGGGTTGGCATGTCTTGTAAAGAGTCGGTAAGTCGAAGACAGCAGATAATATCAGAGGGACGCGGACTATAGTTGCCTGTAGTGGACGGCCGTGCAGGACGGATAGGCAGATATCCAACGTCGAGTCTCGTTCGGCTAGGCAGCGTCACATGCCGCGCTGCCGGCCTCTCTTCTTCTCTCTGCGACTCTGCGACCTCTCCAGTGCTGCAACTCTGCGAAAGTATACTCGGCACAGATCTCAGCCAGGGACGGAGGCATGTTATCAGACCCGCGAAACGGGACCGTGGGTTTTGCTAGGTTGCTGCTTCTGCTGCTGCTGCTGGCCCTTGGAACCCATCGTTCGATCCGGCTAATAATAACTTGTAGACAATGCAGAACTAGATAGATCAGTGTCCCAACTGCCTGAGCAGCAAATGCCGCCAGCCCATTTATTAGTCTGCAACGAAGAAAAGAAGCCCGGGCGTTGCATTTCAGCAAGCCTCGCGCCACAGGCGCCGTTTCTTTGGGACACCTTTCGCCCAGGTACTCCACCTAGGGCGCCAGCCCCTCGGGAGTCTCTCGTCGATATGAGCCTTTTCCGTCCGCGAGCTTAGTAGGGAACCCAACCTTCTAAAGTTTGGGGTACTTATTCGGGAACAAGGCTAAGCTGCTCTAGGAGCCTGGCGCGCCCTGGTGTTGCCCCTCTCAATTTCCAGGACCCGCGCGAGAGAAACGTCGTGTCGTCCGATCTTCCTACGTACTCACCAAGCCACCATCGCATCGCTGGCAGCTGCGGGCTTGCCACCACCAGGGGACAGCTGTCAGTGGCTGGCTGGTGGCGCATCGTGCAGACGCCGCGCGGTAGATCCCTACATGTGTATGCACGCCGGATATCAGATCATCTGGTAGCTGCGGAAGAGGGCCGTATTGGGCTCCTAGGCCCGGCAGCGTGCTTCTCTCGTGGCGACCATGGGGGCTTGAGTACCTAGGTACGTTAGGTCCGCGTCAGGTTTTGTGACCCTACGTTGAAGCTAGACTCGGGGCGCAGACAGACAATAAACCTAGGCTAAGCATTGTGCCGGATGGTGAGGCATCGTCGGAGCATTGTGCTATTGTGGTGCCTCCGAAGGAATTGTATGGCTGGCTCAACCCGTTCTTACATGCAGTATGTGGTTTCGCTTCTATTCCGTATACGTCCGAGGACATACATGGCGCCCTCAAACGGTGGTAAGCGCTCAAGACCCATCGCTTGAAAAGAACAATGTAGATTTCCAAATCTGCTTATCCTTATTCTGAACTGATCAAGGACATACCGCAACGCATAGCCGCCATGGAATCTCAGACTATCAGTCAAGATAATAAAAGTCACTTTACCCGGCTACAAACAAACCATGTTGAGAAGGACAAACGTGAAACCTGCCCAAAAGACAGTACAATATGTTGAAGTTGATTAATTGAATCCTGGCAAATGCTTCCGAACTAGTACTGCATTTGGCCAAGACATCCATCGCCAATGATTACAAGCCAAGGCCATAGCCATGTGGTCATTGGTATTGGTGCTTACTAACAATGCAGTATGTTGTATACATCATTGATGCCAGCCTTGGACTTTGTATGAGTCCATGAGACCTGTTCTTTCCGCTGAATTTTGTTCTTGAAACTTCTCGAATTAGAGCGACCGTCTTCAACACGATACCGGCCAAGACGTCTCTAGGAAAACTCATTTGTTTTTCCTCGTTCTACTTTCAGGAAGCCGTGGAGGTACAGAAGAGATTTCTTCAGTCATTCCAGTCCCGTTTACGACCTCGGTTCCTAAAGCTGCACAATACCAGACTCTGAACAGTGATAAAGGGAAAGGCAGCGGCGCGATGGTCACGATTGATTCAAGCCCTGCGTACGAGCAGATCGTGCCTCGGAATGCCTTTGTCGTTCTTGGTGATTTATGCCGCTCTTGTGTGGCGTTTTCCGGACAGTCTACCCTGCTTCACAAGCTGTTCACAGGGGATGATGTTCTCCAGGGTACTGAGGAGACATGCAATACTTCGGCTCAACAACTGAAATCAGGGTACCTCGATGGCTGTCACCTTTGTGCCCTACTTTGGGACCGTGCCGGGGGACGTCTCTTCGACCCAAGCAAGCCGATCATTGCGGGCGCCGAATTGACCATCTGGCTCTATGTTCCTACGAAGTCGTATCAACATACACTCAAAATGCCTCGTTGGATCAATCAAACCAATGCAGCCCGGAAGATATGGCGGAAGATGGAGATAAGATGGAGCAAGATGTTGATGGAATGGCGGAAGATGGTCCCTCCTACTATGTATGGAGTTCTGTAAGTACTACTTGCTTCCGAGAAAGATTGCTGATGATTATAACAGTGAAACATCGGATGCAATTGAGATTAGTATACGAGCAAGGACTACAGACTTGGGCCGCTCGATTGATCTACGCGATCCCCAGCACTTCCCATTGCCTAGGCTATATATATTTCCTTCCAATAGTATGTCAGAACTCGGATGCCTTTGCAACTTTGTGCCCCCTATTAAAACTGGTCTTTATAGGCCCCTTGTTGAACAGAGATGCGCTCCGTCCTATTTTCGAGCCTGTATCTTCGAAACATGACGACAAGTTACAGCAAGTTGCCGGCTGGTACCACGCCTGTGCCCGTGAACACGACAAATGCAGCAAGCTTTCAGCATTCGTTGCCCGGAAAGAAGACCATCCTTCCCGTCTCCTAGATCTTCGCGGAAGTCAGATAAGATTAGAATGCGCTGTTGAAAACATCATCAACCTTGAATACACCACGCTCAGCCATAATTGGGGTCTAAATCCATCATTGCTACTGCAACTAAACCAAGCAAATATTGAAACATTTAAGTCGGAAATACGGCCAGAGCAACTGCCAGCCAAATACATAGATGCGATTCGGGTAACGAGAGCCCTTGACATACATTATCTTTGGATCGACTCCCTCTGCATTATACAGGATTCCCCCGATGACTGGAAGAAAGAAGCCTTGAAGATGGCAACGGTCTATGGGCGAGCTGCCTGCAATATCTCTTATATCCACCCACCGTCCGCAGAAACTGTTCACAAACACCTCCGAGACCCACGAACTCATCTCCCCTGCAAGCTGTATTCTCAACCCAGAAGTCCACACTACGGGGGCTCACGCAGCGCCGCAATGTCGTTGAGAAAGCGGACCCAGCCAGACTACCTAGTAGTACAAGCCGATTCGGGACACTCCGCCCGGTATTGGTCACCAAGCACACGTAGACAGCTGTGGCCACTGCTATCTCGAGCATGGGTGTTCCAGGAACATGCACTGTGTCCCCGGAATATATGCTACGGTGACGGAAGGCTGTTGTGGGAATGCTGCGAAATAGCCATTGATGAGTTCGACGGCCCCATACAGTCACTCTCTGGGTCAAAGGATCACTTTTACTCCATATTTGCGGGACTGGATCTTGAGACCAGCGTCAAATTGTCGCAATTGCGCCCCCTGAACATCAAAAACGTATTTATGACTGGCCAACTCAAAACATTGAAGAACCAGTGGCCCTCAATGGTGCAAGAATATCGCGCGAGACAGCTCACATATGAGACGGATCGACCGATGGCCCTTGCCGGCGTCGCGAAAGTCATCCAATCGCGGACTTCTCTCACGTACGTTGCCGGCATGTGGGACGGATTCTTTGAGCTCGGCCTCTTGTGGTGCGTCGGTAGCATACCTGATGCAGGGCGATTCAAGGAGGAAAGGGACCAGCTGTTAAAACTGACGCCATCATGGTCTTGGTTTTCAATCCCCTGCGATGGATCAGCCTCCGGGAACGACAATCTGGATTTCAGAATCTACCACACCCTGCTCCATCATGAAAACCATACCGTTCGTAAAGCGGAGCTGCTGTCTTCCGGACATCTCACACCCAGAGATCCGACGACGCTCCTCCACGACTTCGAAGACCAATACATCACTTTGAGATGCCAGAGCATCTCCTGCAATCTGGAATGGGACGGAAATAATATTCGCGCCCGGCCGCATGGTCAACACTGGCTGTGTGTCCGCGGAATGGAGGGAGTCATGCATTACGCGCACGACGAGCCTGCTCTTCTTTCCGGATGTACACTGCCGAGCGATGCTTGTATGATACTGACCATTATGGAGGCTTGGGAATCGATTCATGGCGATGAGGTTGGAGACCGCACCTACGTTCACGACAGCATGGAAGAAAAAGGGCACAGCGTTACTGTCACCGAGTGGGCATGCGCAGGACTTGTAGTCGTGCCGGCGGGTCGAATTATACAAGGCAGGCAAGCTTGGCGTCGTATTGGGGTATTTGTTTTCAAGGATAAAATTAAGGGGGTCTGGACCATTTCGACACCTTTTGATACAGATAGATCCACGGAGGTGGATATCACGTTGGTATGATGACGGACTTGGCGCATTCGCAATGCAAGCTTCTCTCGAATATAGATGTATAGTGAGGTAACTAGTTTTGTTTCTATTCTATATACAGTGAATCCATACACAGCTCCTTCATAGAGTAGTAAACACTTAAGAGCTAGTATTTAAAACATTACTATATGGAGACCTCACCACTCGTAAAGACGATCCTCTGGAGGCCCATATATAGGTCCGGCCTGGTGATAGCAGTTAGAACCCAGCAACAACAGAACAAGCCCAGGCAGGGGATAGTCATGAGAACCCACCATCAAGAAAGCCTTGTCCTTCTTGCCACTGGCCTTTAGCGAGACCCAGTCCATAGCCATGAATTCGCGCTCGATTATGTGTTTGACAACACCATCCATGGCCATGAACACCTCGTCTGGTTACGGATAGCCATTCTCATTGATATAATTGAGGCATGCCTCGATGTTCCGGCGGCGCTCAGAGTCTGTCTCGGTCTCAAGTGCTTTCGTCGGTACATATCTCGCAGTATCCCAAAGTTCCGGGTCAAGTTTGGAGGCCACGCATTGTGTGGCCTCCTCGTCTCTGGGCTGTGATGTAGCATCGCTGGCCCTCCTATTGGGCTCGGCTGGAGCGGCCACGGGCCCGCTATCGCGCCTCTTCCTACCGGCCATCACGAATGCAGTCTTTCAGACCAGGAGTCGACCCGAAGTATCTGGTTCAGACGTGCCAATTGGTCTGAATAATCGTGGCGGGTACGCTGTAGGTGTTGGTAGAGGAGTGGCACAGCTGTTGAAAGAAAGCCGTTACAGTAAGTTGGTGACAAAATATTGGCCTGGTGGGCCAAGGATCAACCGAGACTTTGAATAGCTTACAACTTGAAGCGATTACGCAACTCATACATGTTGGTGCCTAGAGTACATGCAAGCCAATCTGTGCCGTCTTTTTGGTGGAGCGACCTCATGCTGTTCTGAGTTCTGTTCTTGACGAAAGATCGCTTCGCCCAACAGTATAATGGTAGTTTTAATTTTAATCTCACGTGACATTAGAAGACCGTTGCAATGGTTGCTGAATAATATTGTACCTTGGTGCTTAACTTGCGTGTGACTTCGATGGTGATCGTTCATGGCGGCTTGCAGATGACCATCTGACAGTGTTATTATTTCATTCATTATTTGTCAACTTGCTTTGAAATAATCACTTCGCATATTAACAGAAAAAATGCCGAGATCCCTTCGCTGGGAATCGACTACCTGAGTATGGCGGCGTGAGGTTTTGGGCAGCCCGGATCATGGCCACATGGATGACATGAACCTTGGAAGTCTCTAAGCTTGGACGAATTGTTGAATTCCGGGGACGCCCTGGATCAGTTGCCTTGTTGATGGTTTCCACATAGAGGACTTCAACTGTGGATATTTCACCAACCAGCTGATAGAACTTTGTCCCCATTTTCTTACTGCGATGTGCGGGTGATTTGAGCTCTCGCCAAAGTGGGCCCATAAATTTTGTGGATGCCGGGATATAGATACATGAACACTGTATCGACACCGTATGCTTTTTAAGCGCTGGGTATTGAGCGTTTATCACCGTATGAAGGCGCCATATATACCCTCGGACGTATGCGGAATAGAAGCGAAACCAATTATTCAATGTTAGTCTAGTTGGTTGCCGCTCAGGGGTTTTGTACTGTAAAGACCACACATCAATCATTGGGACCTAAGGCCAAGGAATTTAACTCTGAATTCACGGAATACTGCATCAGTCTTCCGTCATATAAAGATACCAGAATGATCGACTAGAGGTGGGTACCGAAAACAAAACTAGAGGAGCACAGGGTTGGCACTGATCGGCTCGGCGGCCTGTATGATGGCATAAGCAAAGACAGTTGAAGACTACACGAGTCTTGTCCACCCAAAGCCCTCACATGAGGTATTTGGCGCCAATACAACTTTCTAGGAGGGTTCCTTTGTCGGCCGAAAAACGACCAGGCCCTGAATTATAGCATTCCCTGATGGCTGAGAACCCCAGTGATGAGGTATCAGTGGTTTGATACTCTGTCAACTTAGGCCGCAGCCGGAACAGAAGCGAGGACTATCGGGATGAGAGAGGAAGTAGGGCCCAGTAGCAACTGGATCAAGTTGATGAGACTGAGGAGGTCGGACAGGCTGTCGGAGATAGCGACAACGTTGGCGGGCAACTGGATGATTCCGTTCTCTGTAGCGGAATGAGTAGCATTAGTATCATCTGTTTTTTTTTTATTTGATCCATGACGGGAACTACTCACGACCCAGAGCTTGGATTCGCTCAACAATGGGGGCGGCCAAGGTCCTGATCTGGCCGGCAAGGGCCAGAGCCTGCTTGAGCTGGTCGAGGCTGGTGCCTGTGGGGAGGTTGCTGAGGATCGTGTGAACAGTGTCGATCAAGGACTGGATGGACGACAGCTGGTTGACGATATCGGCAGGAGAGGAGACTGTGCCGGCGGGAAGCAGGGGCAGACCGGGCAGGGACAGGTCTGCGATTGGGAGGGCAGGTAGGGCAGGAAAGCCGTCAGCCGGAGGTAGACCAGCTTCTGGATGAGGACTCCGTTAGCACACTAGTCCAACAAATAAATTGTGCCAGGGGGCTGGGAGGCCTACGGGTAATGTTGAGGACGGCTGTGGTTTGCTTGAGAATAGTTTGAAGGGCGGGGATAATGTCGACAGGTTTGGTTGGGATTGGGACAGGAGGCAGCCCAGGCAGTTGACGGGCTTCAGCATGGTGCTCGGCAAGATCATCGGCCGTGTACGAGGCTCTCTCCTCAAGGCTGACCTCGTTGAGGGGAGAGGCAAGGCTCACACTCAGAAGCGAGCCCATGGCAATGACAGCGGTAAAAGCCTTCATTTTGAGGGATATGTGGAGACACCAGATCTGAATATTTAGAAATAGTTAGCTACTGCTTGAGGACTGTCCGGGGTGAATTTTGGATGATGGTTTGCTCAGGTGAAAGAAGAAGATCACTCTCAAGGTGTCCCATAAGGTTTATTATATATTCGTGGTCATAGGCCTCGCTCTCACATCAAATGCCTCTCGTCAAGACGCCCTTTGATGTGTTAGCTCTTGGACCCGATGTTGGGTCAGTCGTCAAGCTCCCGCCGATCGATCCGTATCACAACATTCATAACTCGAAAAGACTCACATGTATCTTTGAACAGGGTCAGCAGCCATCATACTGATATTTGGCAATTGAAGCACTTGCTCGGCCTTGTCCACAGTTACGAAGTACCCTTGGAAACACAAGTCGCCACACACTTGCCAGGATGTCTATGAGTTCTCGTTGCACATGTTACGCGATCTCTTCTCTAGACTCTTCTGTGGCTAAAGAGGGGAAACAAACCGCAGATACGAAAGTCCCCGACGGCCTGGCGACACAGCTTAGGTGGCTGAGAATGTTACCCCACAGGATCCTTCCATGCATATCCATTTTCTCTAGCAGAACTTTTGATACTACCCATATAGAGGTTACCGAATGTCGAGGGTGTATGTGAGCCGGGTGCTTTTGCATCATCAATACAACAGGGAGAACAGAGTAGCTTACGAAACCAATAGGCACACATGTTTCGACTGATAGGATGGCTCTCGATGACTGGCGACATATCTTCTCAAAATTTTGGAAACTAACATCTAATGTGCCATAGTTGGCGTAACGTATCGCTCTGTCCTAGACCTCGGGAACAGGACACCCGGGGGTGGCGTAATATTAGTGCTGATGCTGAGGCTTGCTCAATGAGAGACCACATGCAAGCTGATCGTCTAGGGATCAAGATACCAGCCCTGGTGCTGCAGAAGGATTACAACACGACCTCGGGAGAGAAGCCACGAGAGTATTCAAGGATGCTGCCGTCTAGATCAAAGATTCAAGTGGTAGGTTGTCTTAGACTTAGGACAACTCTAATGCTCGTGTGAAGTGATGAATTAGAAATTGCAGCTATGCACGCCAAATAGTCAGAAAAGTTTCTTGGCACTTGAGCAGGAACAGTTCCCCGGCAAGCCGTTGGATCGCCCCCGACTTTGTCTCATCCGCATTGCGATTGATAACTCCATTGTTACATAATAGCTTGCCATCCATGATGGCCATTTCAAGAAAAAGTCGGAGTCATTCAGAAAGTTTCTAGTCGCATTTGAGACAGAGCAGAAAGTTTGCCTCGGTCGAATTGTTGTGCCATGTGCTTTGCTGCTCCTAGGAACATTTGCAGCCACATGCATTCACCTGGGCATTTGGGTAGGAAGACAGCAGCATAATGTGTTCCCTCCCAGAGTCATCAGCACTTCCCCGTATGCTCAGAACGAAGTAGTCATTTATCAATCTTTCTTTTATAAACAAAACAGCCACCACGAGAACACTCGATTGATTGAACTGTCCTGTCATGTTGAAATCAAGTCGAAGTGCAGTAATGCGATGGTCCTAGTCCAATTATTAGGTACTTAAGTACCTAGATACTTGGGTATGTGTTATGTAAGCATGCGACTGCTTGGCCCAGCTCTATTTACTTTGGTTGGCCGGCCATCCAATCGTTCCTTACCATTTAAACCTTATCTGCGTCGACGCGCTCGAGACGCGTCGTTCCAAGGTTTGTCCCGAGAAACCCTCCAACGACACTTACCTCTCAGTGTGATGTGCGTGACATGGTCGAAAAAGAGCAACAAGCGCCTAAAACATGAACGGACAAAGACGGGCGCTAGACGATGACGTCGTCGACTTGACAGCCATTGACGACGATGACCCGATTCCAGACTTCAGGGCCGGGCCATTGGCCGGCCGTGCCAATTCAAAGGTGTCGAACGCAGACGATGTTCTCATTCTGGAAGACGACTTTGATTCGACAGGGAGCCTGCTGGCCGACGATTTTGACCCCTTCGAAGCTCGGCCCACCAAGAGACGACGCGTCTCTGGCGACTCTGATAGTCTGCTTTCTGTAGGCGATCGTGGAAAGATTGCTCAAGGACCCGCGAAATTCGCGGCAGAGAGGACTCGAGAGGGACCTGGCGTGCTTCAAACTGCTGCTCCAAGAAAGTGGAATCCCGACCCGATCGAGTTCACGAGCTCTCCTCAAATGCCAAGGTCTTCGAACAAGCGCGACGCGATCTCGAGTGACCCTTTTGCAATTTCTCCTCGGCTCCCAGAGAAGGAGAACATCATCAACCTCGTCGATGATGACGATGACGATCCATTCGCAAGCTCTCCTCCGAAACCGACAGGCAAGCCGATGATGCCGCCCAAAGGTGGCAGGAAGAGAGAGCCCAGCCCAGGACTACCAGAGAACAGCCCGCGGCAGGTTCAAAAGCGTACCCAAGGGTCCGCGAGATCAGTGGGATGGGATCATATTTCGAGCTCCGCTCCCGAGGCCAGCGTACGGGAGGATCAGTGGGGTCTTGACGTTCAGTCTTCGCGCAACGGGCTTGCAAGGAGCCGCTCTGGCGGGATCGATTTGGGTGACCTGGCAGATTTCCCATTTTCGTCCGATGACGATGAAGACGAGGAGTTCCCTGATATTGGAGGCATGAAGAAGTCGAATCTGAGCTCGATCGCCAGGTCGAAGGCTTCAACAGTGTCCAGAACCTCAGCGTCGAAACTGTCCACATCCAAAACATCCAAAACGAAACCTACTGCTGAAGACAAAGCAGCCGTGAGAGAGGCCGAGAAATTGAAGAAACAGAGAGAGAGAGAAGAAACCAAGGAGCAGAGGAGATTGGAAAAGGAGAGGGCAGCCGCATTGGCCGAGGTGAACAAGGTCAGGACCGACAAGAAGGTCAGCACTCCTGAGATGATCGTCGACCTCCCATCGTCCATGAACCCCAGCGTCAGGCTGCAAGTCGAGGCACTACTGGAGGACCTGAACGTTCGGCACTATCCGTACGCCAGCCCCGTTAATAACGTGGTCAAGTGGCGGAGGAAGGTCAAGGCCAGGTTCAACGACGATGAGGGCTACTGGGAGCCAACCCCTGAGCGCATCGAGACCGAAAAGCACGCAATGGTCATCATGCCTGCAGCTGAATTCGTGGAGCTCGCCCTCGGGCTTAAGGGCACCGATCTCGAGGCCCACGTCCTCCAGATGCAGAAGCACTACGACGGCGACCAGCTCATCTACATGATCGAGGGCCTAACACCCTGGATGCGCAAGAATCGCAACGTGCGCAACCGCCAGTTCCAGTCCGCGGTCCGTAACGCCGGCGCCGACGCAGAGGCGGCGGATGCAGCAGCACCGGGAGCCGCCAACGCCCCGCCCCCGAGCAGCCAGGCGTCCCAGGGCCGTCGCAGGAAGGACCCCAAGCCGCCGCCGGCGTACATCGACGAGGACCAGGTCGAGGACGCGCTGCTGCAGCTGCAGGTGCAGCACGGGGTCATCATCCACCACACGGCGGCGCCCATCGAGACGGCGCAGTGGGTCTCGGTCTTCACGCAGCACATCAGCACGATCCCGTACCGGCGGCAGCGCGACGCGGCCAACGAGTCGGCCGGGTTCTGCATGGACTCGGGCCAGGTGCGGACGGGCGACAGCGCCGCCGACACGTACGTGCGCATGCTGCAGGAGGTCGCACGTGTCACGGCACCCATGGCGTACGGCATCGCGGGCCAGTACCCGAACGTCGGCCAGCTCGTCCGCGGCCTGGAGGCCGAGGGCCCCCTCGCGCTGGAGGCGATCCGGAAGAGTGCCAACAAGGACGGGGCGTTTACGGACCGGACGATTGGGCAGGCTATCAGTCGGAGGATGCACAAGGTCTTCACCGGGAGGGACGCGACCAGCACGGATATATGAGGGTTTATCATGTTCTTACTTGGTTTGCTCCGAGTTCAAAGTCAGGCGCCGGATACTACCGTCATCGTTCTACATCATCGGATTCAGAGGGCAACTTGTGTCTTTCTCCTCGTTGGGTTCGATATTGTTCCTATTATTGCGCTCGGCCACAAAGAGGCTCCGAGGCTGTATGTATCTATCTACCAGGTCCTCCATAGAGGCATATCCGCTGAAAGAATAAGTAGACATTACATCCAAAAACTGGACGAGTCGAACTCAAGTCCCGACCTCCCACCGGGGTCCTCCACCAGTCACTCACCCACTCACTGCCCGTCTCCAGTGTATCAATCATCTGCCCACAGCTAAATTAAATCAGGGGTCCCGAAGCGGCAGCTTCCTCGCCACCCCAGGCAGCCCGATGCCCCTCATGCTCTCGACCCCGACCCGGACAGACCTCGTAGCCGCGGAGCCGCGGGCGGTGGCCACCGTCACCGGCCTCGGCGGCGCAGGCGGATCCCTCGTCACCGCCACCCCGGGCTGGGCGGCGGCCTCGGGGTCCGCGAACGGGTCGGCCGCCGCGGACGCGGTGCTGTTGTTGCTGTTGGACCGCGACGGCGGCTCCGACGAGGAGCCCTGCAGCGGCCACTTGACCTCGGACGTCCGCTTCGGCGTGGTCGTGGCGGCGGTGGCGTTGTTGCTGCTGTCATTATTCGCCGCCTGCTCGAGCGTCCCGAACGGGGAGACGGTCCCGGTCTGGAGCCACGCCTGGAGGTTGTAGTCGGGCTGGATCGACCTCCGGGGCGGCGACGGGGGGGTGGTTCTTCCTCCTCCTCCTCCTCCTCCTGCTGCTGCTGCTGCTGCTGGCCCTCCCCGCGCGCCGGGGATGGGGGCTGCCACCGGCGGCGACGGGTTCACCTTCGGGAAGACCTCGTACTTGGGCGTCCGCGGCGTCGTGGCCCCTCCCTCGCCGGGGATGCTGTCCTTCCTCCGCGCCGGCGGCGGCTCCGACAGCTTGGGCGTCTTGCGCTCGCGGTAGTTTGTGCTCCGGGCATACCCGATCTGGACGTTGCTGTCCGGCCCGGTCCCGCCGCCACCACCCGCGGTGGGCCCCATGCCCAGCCCGGCCTCCTTCTCCGGCCCGTACCCCTTGGTGACCATATCGTTACCCCTGCTCCCCCTCAGCGACCGCGCCCTCTCGGAGCCGACCTTGGTCGTGGTCCCGCTGGCCGGCGGCGACATGAGGATCGCGTCCTTGACGTCGCGGGTGATGTTGCCGTACGACTCCACGCCGGGCCTGCCGCCATAGTAGCTGCTCACGCTGGTGTTGAGGGGCGGCGCGATGCGGTCCTTTTGCCTGCGCTTGTGCCGGATGATGAGCCACACGACCAGCACCGTCAGCAGGGACGAGCCGATGAAGGTGCCCACGATGGCGAGCGCGGCCTGGGTGATCGAGACGGCGGCGCCCTGGGCCTGTTGGACCTGGTCCTGGGCTTGGTTCTGTGCGAGGGGGGGTCAGCGGTGAGATGGGATACGTTTCATGTGTGGGCGAGCACACGTCAGGCGCAGCACTGCTTTATGCGAAGAGCACCCCGCGGACGGACAGCCTTTGGACCTAGCGGTCAAGAGTATGAGGGTGAAACTTACGTTGGCGAGCGTGATCTGCGCCTGGGCGTCGCCAACCTTGCTCGCAAGCTCGCCCGAGGCCCGCGCGAGCGCCGCAGACGCACTGTCCGTGCAGCTCGCGAACGCCGAGCTCCCGCTCGACTGGGCGTCGCTCACGGCCCGGGTCAGCGACTGGACCGACTGCGTGGCCTGCTGGAGGCTCTGTGACAGCTGCTGGCTCTCCTGGGAGAGCCGCTGGGACGACTGCGAGAGCTGCTGGCTCTGTTGTGAGAGCTGTTGTGAAGATTGTGAGAGTTGCTGGCTGGCTTGTGAGACCCGCCGTGACGCGTCGCTGAGTGACTGGAGGGCCTGCTGGGCAGATTGTTGTGCGGACTGGAGCCGGCGGTTGAGGTCGTCTATCTGGCCCTGTTGGCCGTTGTTGTCCTGGCGTTGAATTAATGGAATTAATGAGGGTGCCGTGGTGATCTGGGCGGCTTCCTCGGCTGTGGGTGACTTTGCCTGGGCATGTTGCAATCCGATGATATCCTCCTCATGTTGCGGTGGTATGCGTCTCTCAGATGTGTTTTCCTGGCGTCGTTGCTGCCGTGCTTCCTCATTAACTTTTTCCCACGATGTTCCATCCTGCTCAGCCCGGACTTCCACCAGCGGGGCTTTCTGTCCCGGCGAGACGTCGTCCCTTCCGAGTCTCAAGTCGCCCCTCTCGGGTTTCCTCGTGCCGTCGTTCGCCCAGGCACAACTTGACGAAAGCAAAAGAAGCAGAGCCAGCTGTGTTATTCGTCTTCCGGCCATCGCGGATATTGGTGATGACCAGCATCAAACGACGCGGGACTCCCAGAGCTATCGCGTCGAGAACATTATTTTCCAAAGACTGTGATGTGTTATTATTCGTACTCGGGCAGGTCCAGAGAGTCCGGGCAACGGGGCTAAGTGGGTAGTAAAGTTGCCAGCAACGGTAATCCGCTGCGAGCACCACGACGACCGGACGAGATGCGGCAGACCTGAACCTTCCCGGAGAATCCCTACAGCAAGGTCTAAGGCGGGGGAGAGTGTGTGTGATAGTGATAGAAACGACGTCCGTGGGCGGGAGGGATGCCAGGAATATGGCAGTCCAACCACATGCCCTCCCCGCCCCCCTTCTATCAGCCAGGGCGACAGTATCTGCAGGAGGAATGACGGGCCAGTTTCTGAATCTAAGCGAGCTGTCAAACGTGGAACGGGGGGTTCCGGGTGATCGCCGGATTACCAGACAAAGCAAGAGCCTCCCCCTCCTGTTGGTCCTTAATAGGGCTATAATAGCATAAACAAGCAGACAAGGTCAGATGCGGAGTGGACGTTGACACCGAGCAAGCGGTGGGCGGGCCTCGCGGCTCACCGTCAGTCAGATGGCATGAATTATACATGGTCAAGGGTGGGCATCATAAACACCCACGGTCCGACCATATGGCGCCGAACGTGGTGGGATACGACTCGTACAAGGCGGGGACGAGAGGGCGCTCTTGGTTCATCCGGACGCTGGACGACAAGAATAAACACACATGAACGAACATTACTCAGGGACAGACGAACTCCCCATCAGGCCGTGACACTGGACGCCGCTTGGCAACCCGAGTATTTCTGTTGTGATCCCAAAACAAGCGAGGGCGGGGTGGGGTACCAGAGAGGTGCAGGCGCCGCGTGTAAGTTTCTCAAAACGGCGAAGGGTGGAAGGGAGCAAGGGGAGGGAGGGGTGCACATGTGGATGACAGATGGTGCAGGAACACGACATGGGAGACTGTTGAGCCGCATGTGCCCCTTGACAATGCCTTGGCTTCAAGGTTGGCTTCAAGGCTGGACAGGGGAGCGAAGTGCTCTCGACGGCCTCAGTCAAGTCCAGCCCATCACATCAGCATCAGCATCAGCATCAGCATCACTCTCGGAACTCGGATTCGGTCGAGTGGCGTTGTTGCTGGGCCGTGTCGTCGGATGTTGTTTTGCGGCCCGGCGAGTTAGACCATTGATCTGAACCGTTCGTCATCTCGAGCTTGTCGTGTCGAGGCTGCCGGGGACTACCTGTCGTCTGTCCACGGGTCCACGGTTCCACGGGCAAGATCGAGGTCTTCCAAAGGGCCGCCCCGTTCCCGTGGGTCGTGACTAAGCGTTTCAGGTGCTTCATGCCAGCAGGAATGGCGGGCATCTGCCCGTTGCATCTGAGATCGTGACGGGAGATGTTCTCCTTCTCAGGTCCCTCTGAGGCTCCTCTCAGGTCTAAGGGGGAGTCCAGCCCCGGTTATCGCTTGGCCTGCCGTGCTGGAGACGTCTCAACTCCTTGCAAGCACGGGCCACAGCAGCATCGAGCCCACGACGTCAAGTGCTTTATAGATCGGATGCTCGGAAGGGAGTAAGGCTACCCTGGTCGAGCCGTCGCCAAGCTTTTGGCGGGACCAGGGTGCAGGCCTGGCAGGTCAGGTCCGATCGCCTGTCCCCTCTCACTGGCTGACTGGATGGCGGGCGTGGCGTTCACCTTCAAACACCATAACAAGCCCGCTATGGACGTGGGCTGTGGGGTGGGAAGAGGTGTCATCCCGCTGGTTGGCAGCTTTCCAAGTTAAGCCGTTGGCAGCAGAACCAGGTACGGGCCAAGCATCAACGCATGTCTCGGAATACCACTCCAAAGAAGGAAACTTTGTTTAAGAAAATCGCCATAACATAACTCTCATATAATATAAACCAAATCATAAGTCAGAGGTGAGTAATCTTCGAGGGCCAAGGAGACGGGAAGTTTGCTGCAGAAGCGTGGTTTCGGAAGGAAAAGCATACGGGCCACGAGTCCCACGAACGGGTGACGCTCTGGCAGATCGCCTGCCGCCCCTCCTGTCGATGATACCCGACCGGTGTCAAGTTTGCCCTGTGGTCCAGAGAGAGCCAAGCCCAGCACGTCCAGGTAGGCATCTAAATTCCTGCCTTCATTGACCCTTGATGATGATGATAAATACATCTTTTTGACCAACAAGACCCTCAACTGAGGAAAGCTCACCTGCGATCGCATGAACGCCCGTTGCATCACGCGTGGCCCCGGCGAACACCATCTCCGCAGCCCGAACCTCATTTGTACCCGTGAACGCCTTTCATTATGCATGTAGCCCTCGGTTCGGCTACGAGTCACTTGCCGGTTTATTGATCCATACCGCATGTCACATCTGACAGACATGCGTGGTCGCCATAACATCAAAAGTCCCGTCAGGGCCACGTCCTGGGCAGCTTGTCTGGTCATACTTGTGTGTTTTCTTGTTGCACCGGACCCTCTAGTCCGGCGTCGGCCTTGTGATTGGGGCCATGCCAGGCTAGCCCATGTCTCTTACACTGGCAGCTTGAACTTCTTGCCCTTCAGCACCTTGTTGTAGTAGACCCAGAAGAAGTCGCTGTACATAACGGTCTGGATAAGGCCGGCGACAACCGCGATCCAGTCCACCTTGTGGCCCTCCTCGGCAAAGTACCGGTATATCCAGTTGGGGATGTACAGCGCGCGGTAGAGGCCCAGCGCGAACAGGTAGTGGGTAGTGATGGTCTCGGCCTCCCCGGTGCGCTGCAGCATGAAGAGCTGGGGCATGATGGCCACCGACTCGAGCCAGATGGAGAAGGCCCACAGGATCTCCGACGGGGTGTACTTGTACGGCAGCAGGATGGCGAGCACCGCTGCACCCCCCAGCAGATACTGGACGCGGAAGGTGTCGACGTTTGGGTCGTTGGTGGGCTTGTATGCTGTCGTCATGAGGTAGATGATGTAGCCCTGCGCGCCGATGAAGGCGATCTTGAAGAGGAGGTTGTAGAGGCTGTTTGTCTGGAACAGGTCTGTCGGGAGACGGGTCAGCCGTTGCCGTTGCAAGGGCAGCAGGCACGGGGGCTGGGTTTCACCAGGACGTACCAAGATATCTTGTGACGTAGACCAGAAGATAGAGGGCTTGTGACTTGAAAGAGATGCCCGAGCAGCTCTGGGAGGGTGGTTAGTGCGTGCGATCGAGGTTGGTCCTGGGGGATTTCCCTGGGGGGGGGGGGTCACTAACGCTCAGGTCGATCATCTTGTGAAGCAGAATGAAGATGGATCCCAAATGGGAGAAGTCCGCTGAGAGGCGCATGTCAGTGCCGTTCTATGTTCCCGGCTGAAGCCATCGCAAGATAGAAGCCCAAGATACACACCTGCGACGCGGAATACGTTCAACATCTTGAATTATACGGCCGTGGCAGCCTCGCTTTTTTGGTTGGGTTAAAGAAGAGAGTGTGGGTTGACCATGGGAAAGCCAGAGCGAGCCCGATCGTGGATTGAGCGTTAACGAGAGCTGATGGTTTTCGAGATGCGAGATGCGAGATGCGGGATGCCAATTGAACCTGGGACCTTTGATCAGTTGGGGCCAACAACAAAATGACGACCTGCCAGCTGTGCAGTATGGGCTGAGGGAGCTCTGCTAAAGGACACGAACGCGATTTGCTTCTGATTGGATCCCTGCTGGAGGACCGCTAATTTGGAAACAGAACCAGGAGCACCTTCTTCCTTACTGCAGCCCGCAGCCTGCAGCCTGCAGGAGTGCACGGATCACTTTTCAGGAACACGAAGGGGCCAGGTCGTCCAGCCTGCCAGCAACACTGCCGGGCCGCAGCTGAGTCGTGGCGCTAAGGACCTACATTTTGTCTCTGCCTGCTGCCACCTCTAATCTAGGTACCTCCCTACGCCCTCGCCCCGGGCTCAACGGCTTCAGCGGCTCATCGCGGCGTGGCGTACAAGATTACCAATCCTTGCTCCAGGTGATGCCTTCTTAGACGTCAGTCGAAGCTTCGACGGGTCGCAAGGCGAAGACCACACCAAGCTGACCCTGTTGCCATAAAATTAATTCAAGAGATTCCCAACCTCTACACATACGAAACCTCCGTGTCTCCAGACCACCATCCATCGTGTGAACGCTGACCCATTCAAGCTGACTGATCGCATCACTAATTATAACTAATTAGCGTTGGGGCGAGACTGTCACCACAGAGAGAGAGGCTCACTCCGATACATTCCTGGCCCAACACCATGGCCGCCGAACCAGAGACGGGGCCTCTCCAGCAGGAGGCGCCAACACTCACAGTCACCGTCACCAAAAGCGGCAGACAACTGGACACATTCCACCTCCCACCAGACGCCATCCTGAACGACCTCCTGAACGCCTGCGAGGACCACCTGGCAGACTCGCCAGACAAGTACGACTGGGACAAGGCCAAGTTCATCGCAAAGGGCAAGATGCTCAAGGCCTGGGACAACGGCGAGCAGGCCATAGCCCACCTGGACGGGGCCAAGGTCTTCCTCCAGGTGCCCACCCTCCAGGCCATAAAGGACCTCCAGGACTCCTCCGCAGCAGCCCGCGCCCGCGAGGCCCGCCGCCACGCCCAAAACACCACCGCCGCCCGGCCCGTGGCGGCGCGGCGGACACGGCCAGACCCGGCGCGCGCCCAGGCCGACGCGCAGTACACCTTCCAGCGCGTGGAGCCCCTCGGGGGGTACACGAACCCGGAGCGCAGCCGGGCGTTCCTCGAGCGGCTCAGGGACGACCCGGGCATCCGGGCGTCGATGCGCAAGCACCAGTTCACGGTGGGGCTCCTGACCGAGATGGACCCGGCGGCCAACACGCAGTCGAGCCACGAGGGCACGACGCGGCTGCTGGGCCTCAACCGCAACCGCGGCGAGGTCATCGAGCTGCGCCTGCGCACCGACGCCTACGACGGCTACAGGGACTACAAGACCATCCGCAACACGCTGTGCCACGAGCTGGCGCACAACGTGCACGGCCCGCACGACCGCAAGTTCTGGGACCTGTGCCACCAGATCGAGAGGGAGGTGCAGGCTGCGGACTGGAAGAGCGGAGGCCACTCGGTCGGCGACGGCGATTACTACGAGTCGCCCGAGGACGACGTCCCGGACCACGGGGGCTGGACCGGAGGGACACATGTGCTTGGCGGGAGCAGCAGCAACAGCGCGGGTGGTGGCAGTGGCAGTGGCAGTGGCAGTGGCAGTGGCAGTGGTGGCGCTGGTGGCCTGAGTAGGAGAGACGTCATCGCCAAGGCCGTCGAGGAGCGCATGAGGAGGTCACAGTCCGAGAACCCCGACGGAGGCAGCGGCAGCGCTGGCCAGGGAGGCGGCAGCGCGGCGCCGTGAATGATGCAAACAGGAGGTTTCTCGCGCCAAGAGGAAGGGCCGTCGATTCCCCCGGCCTCCGCCCCGGAGGCGCAGAGGAGGCACTGACAGACCGCCGAGGACATCTTGGCAAGAAGGATCCACCCCTCCACCGACGCGAAGGCAGCGGTAGAAGACCCCTCGCGTCTGACGAAGTCTAGCCCATACGAGGAGATCTGCTCAGGGGTTTCACGCCACGAGGCCGCCTACACGGGAAAACACGGGGCGTTTTCCGCAAAGGCTTACCGAGTGACTCGCTTGGGGGACATCGAACCCGAGCCTAGCCCACAGCAATGGCACGGCGCGCTGTAAAGACATGCCAGAATCAACCCGCACCCAACCAACCAGGACGACTTGTCTCCGCCCCAAGATGGAGATGGGAAGGATTCCGCAGGGAGGCGTGCCAGCTTAGGGGCGGATGGGGGCGACCTAGTCCCGCGGGCGAAAAGAACCATTCAAACCAGATTCATTCGCCTCATGTGAGGGAACGCTACCGGCACAAGATGCCACCTGCTGCATATGGATGCATCACTCGACGGGCGGCACTCTCCCGCCCGTGTGAAACTGGAGACAGGAGAGCAAGCCACAAGTTTCTTGAATATCATCTCTCATCACGTCTGTCTCGCACACAGCACAAGGCTAGCAATGCACGACGTTCAAGTTGCTCTCAGCGAGCAACAGCCCGGCGTGGGAGAAAGCTACCACTCCTTAGCTGTTTCTGTTGATAGAATCATGGCTCGTTTAGGCGAGCATGTGGGAATGCTGCATCTCTACTATTGCGCAGGGGCCTGAAGATTGAACTAGTGGACTATCGTCGATTTTGCTGGATCTAAAATAGTCCCCCTTATAATGACAAACAGCTTTACTTTATTTAAATAATCGCGACCGGCGCAAGCTCCAAAATTAGAGTGATCATGCATTTATCTCAACGTGGCCTCTCAAATTTGAGCTCAAAAACGAGCAATACGGAGAGACAACAGTAGTGGTTGCATGTTTCATCTATACTTGAATTCGGGGTATCATGAAGAGCTATGCCTAACCGCGTACAATTTTGTATGCAAGTATGTATACTGTGTGGTATGTGCTGCTTGCTGCTGATGCTGCTGCAACCTCAACCTCGTGACTTAGCGCCAAGCCTGGCGCCGGCAGCGTACCAGCTGCGGCGACGGGGGCTAATTTAGGCCTAAATCCAATCCGTCCGTACCGCCGTTGGAGGATCGTTGCCGAAACCTTGTGCCAGGCCAGGCCGCGGTCCAGGTCCGACGTCCACCGTTCAAATGCTCCTTTTCCTCCTTACACCATTGTCATGTGGAGATGACAGTCGGTACAACAAAAACAAATATCATCATCCGAAAAGAACGCCATCGCTATGCTGAATAGACAAGCAAGAGTTATGCTTCGTTGGCGCCGTTCGCGGCATTACGCCGGTTCAGCGGCTGGTGAGAAAGCCTGTTGGAGCGCGACGTGTGCGCAGCCCTCCTCTGGGGCTCACGACCGACCGTGCACCGGGAGGAGTGCATCGATGCCGGTGCGTCGGGTGCCTATATCATAATAGCACCCATTTCGGAGTCCCGAGAGGATCTGGAGGATGGATCGCGTCGGTATCAATGGGTGAAGACACCCCAGGAGTCTCCGCCGCAGACCCAGTCCAAACAAAAGGACTAGCAGGACAATGCAGGCCAGAGTAACGCTGTCCCGTGCTTCTGAGGACCACAGATTGCGGTAAAAGGATTCCCAAGCCCCGGTTCCAGAATGCCCCTAGCCCTGCAGAACCCATTCCTTGACTTCAGGATTCCAGCGGTGGCTAAGCGCAAGAACAGGTCAGCGGGTTAATACTTTGACAAGAGTGTTAATTTGGGAGGCATACCCTTGCCATTCGGTCGTCACCAGGCTCTTCTTTCCATACTCGCTCATCAGAATCGTGTCGAAAGAATACGGCACAATGGCGGGGACGCCCTCAAACTCGGTCTCGCGCATGGGATACAGCTCGGTGGTCTGGTAACGGTGGTTGTTCTTGCAGGCCCAGACGCCCGGCGACTTCTCTGGCTCCCGCTCGGCAAGGCCGGTGATGTCGATGAACATGCCGTTGGTCGTGTCGATCCACCGCGCGTCAATGACGTTCATGCCGTTGCCGCGCACCCGCTCGACGTGGTTCGGGTTCACGTCCAGCAGGTATACCTTGCTCTGCTCCTCGCCGGTGGCTTCGTCGACGTAGCGGTATTCGTGCATGGTGCGGTTGTAGTGGTCGCCTATGTACTGGAGGGTCGAGGCCGTGACCTGGACGTCGAGGTCGTAATCCCAGGGCATGATCTGCCCGTTCCACCACCACCCCAGCAGCGTGCCGTGCGCGAGCCACGTGTCGATGCCCAAGGCGCGGAATACTGACACATAACTTCGAATGAGGTGGCGCAGCGCAACACGGTGCGCCTCATAGTCAACCTCTCCCTGGAAATAGCGGCCGTCGTAGTGGCCCAATGCCTCTGTGCCGCCGGCCTCGAAGAAATACTTTTCGCCGCCTTTGGGTTTGTCGTCACCCCATCTTTTCTCAGGCAGACTTAGCACTGTCGTGGCCAACGAGCAGGAAAGGAGCAGCGTCTGTAAAAGCCTCATAGTGGTGAATGCGGAACGTTCTTTTTGGAATAAGACAAAGTAGTCAGCCCAGGCTACCGGCTCTGAGGTAGCAGGCGAAAGTGCAGTGCCAGAGACCGTGGAATCGAGGATTTGATGCTGACGAATATGCAGGATAACAAGAACAGAGGTGGTTGCAGGAGAAGCCGGACAGGACTCGCTGATCTGGGACCAGATATGCGGTCGTCTGCCAGATATTGGCTGTCGACTGAATACGAGCTCGCAAATGGTATCGTAGAGCAATGTGGGCTGGACTCCCGGATAGGATAAGAGGGCTCCTCGATGAGGTGGATCAGCAGGAAGCTGGGGGGCCGGAGTTCCAATGGGTCCTAAAAAGCTCGAGGTGGTTCAGCTGGTGGCGCAGGCGCACAGTCTCGGCGATATCCACGTAGGTAGTGCTTGTTAATGATGCTGTTCGTCGATGTCGACGGCGGAGTGTTGACGGCTTTGACGGCAGCCTCCCAATGCTCGCTCGGTTAAGAATACAGTTTACACAGGCGAGGCGGATATTTGTATATGTACTCGGTACAGATAGCCGACATGCGGTGAGGAGTGGGTCGATGACCACAGAGAGTCTCTCAGTGCTGTGCCAGGCACTGCAGCGTGATCCACCAGGTCGAATCGGGTCGGGATGGATCAGGGATGTTGTAGGAAGCAGGCAGGGAATCCTGTGGATTTGGCGATAGGGACAGGAGGTGTTCTGACAAGACCTTGGCAAAAGACAGAATGGAGGCGCAAGCAGAATGAATGTGGGAGGATGCAGGCAGGTGAAAAGAAATCAAGAATGAGTGAGGCTTTGCAGTTGACAGCCAGCCAGATAGACAGACAGCAGACAAGATGGCGCATGTACGTGGAACCAAGGGGGTGGCTCGGTGTGGAATTGCGTAAGACAGGCAACCCAGTTCGTCTCGAGGGGCTGGACGGGTTGACGACGGCATCAACCAGGGCTTCCTCAGGCGTGTCAGGGAAGATGACGAGCAAGGAAAGAAGTGGGCCTCGCAAATATCTGATCCTCGGGCAGAAAGATGGGATTGCAGACGCAGATGCAGATTGACGCTGGCCGCTGAGTTGCTGCTGCTGCTGCTATGCTTTGAATTATCCTGAGAATTCCCAAAGTACACACAGCACGGCAAGCAGCATACATCAAACTCTGATTTTTTTTGGCCGTGTATCACTGCCGGCCATGCACATCCATCATCATCATCATCGATAATCATTATCGTTCCATGGAGGGGTGGATGGGGCCTGCATCGCGCTTTCCTTTTGGGACCTGAGTGGTGGTCAAGCCATGTACCTTGTTTCCTTCTATTTTTTTCTCTCCCACCGGACAAAACGGCATCATCGATACAGAGTACTTCCTTCCTTCCATCCAGTGACTGTCGCGTGCACAATCTCCTGTTCCGTTCTTTCCGACATTGGTTGCAACCAAGATGGCATGTGAACCCCTGCAAGCCCAGAGGCATACGCGTCTTGGCGCTTATCCGTCAAGGAACAGGGTCACACAGCGACATGGGCCCAGCGACCCAGCTACGACCCCAGAAGGATGCGGATTTTAAACTACCACTATCACATTTCAGCAAGAGCCTCCATCATTGCCATCACCAGTGCACCACAGAGCCTCCAGCTTAATCGAAACTCTATTTGGAACGGGGTCCTACCATATTAGCCTGTGTATCAAGACACGTCCACCGACCACACCAGGGCTTCTTGCACGGGCTTGACTCGCCATCCCCAAAACAAAAAAAATAATCAAAAAAAATAATCATCCGATACCGCCCACAAGCCCTGCAGTAATCAATGCCACGGTCCATCCCATCTTGTTGTGCTGTCCATCCTGCAGCGCCTGCCCAATGGCTCTCCATGCCTCTGGCAATACCAAGAAAGCCAAGTTGCGCTCGCTGACAACCAAAACTCCAACCCTCTCTCACCTATGATCGACAGCCTCAGGGGCTCCTCAAACCACCTGGGCAGCCCATCACATCACATCAGCCTGCTGGGCAGAGCAGCACAGGCCTGGGACAACTGGACGATGACCTGCTGCAGCCAGCCCACAAGGCGGGCGCCACCTCGCACAGCTTCAGTCAGACCAATATCATACCGCGGAGTTGCGTGACGCGCGGCCCCGTCACCGCACCATTTCTCCCTCCGCTGGACGTCTGACGACCGTCGGGTCTGTCCTCTGTCCTACCCACCCGCCCGTGACCTATCACAAAGACCCGCCCGCACTCCGGGGGCCGTCTCGTTGAGGATGCTGCCCTCACTATGCCCCATGGGTATCGGTCCGACGGTCGACTCTTTGGGGGCAGCATATGGCATCTAATTTTAATGCCGTGCTTTGCTTGACGACTCCTCTGTCTCGGAGCCGCGAAACAGCTACCCATGCCCAGGGCAGGGCAGGGCAGGGCAGGGGGCCAGGGGCCAGCAGCGCTGGCTGCCGTTTATCCCGGCCTGCTGGGTCCCACCACCACCGGCGTGGCATTGCCGCGGGAGGAGGCGAAGCAGTGTCGTCGTGACGCCCGATCCGGCCGTCCCCCACGCGGGATCCGACGACGACTCAGGTCCTGCCTCTGCCTGCGTACGCTCAGCGAGAGTGTGTGTTTGCTGCGTGAGCCTCAGATTATCCGTACACAGTAGTCCCCAAGCCTAATAAGCCCCTGGATCGTCCTCCCATCTGGGCAACGCAAGCCAGCAAACTGAGATCCAGCCCTGCGGGTTGGTTCCGCAGGCGGGGCCCCAAGATCACCAGTGTGCCGGTTTGTGCCTATCAATCTCTCTCAGCAAGGGAAATCCTGTTCTGCCCAACAGGTCGCACCAATGGGTCTCCTGGCTGAAATGGCTGACAGGGCTTGGGGCGACGGCATATTTTGTGCCCTCTTTTGTCTGTAACATGTCTTGTGCTACCGACACCCCAACATGCCACTATGTATGCAGCCCGCCCGCCCGCCCCAAAAGCCTGATCCTTCGGACGATCTTCACCAATTCGCTTCGTGCAAACTCCTCGGGAAACCGGCACTCTGCCCAGCAATCATAAGACCAGTGACGAGCCTCGGTTTTCTGGAACAGTTTGCCTTGGCCAGCTGGGCATCATGTCCAGCGCCTATCGCAGTCGCGCTCTCGTGCCTCGACACCGGCCTGCGAACCCAAAGAGCCCGCCCCCCTCACTGCAGCTTCCCCCAAGACAGTGAGGGCTCCTGCAGGAAAACAAATACTGCTGCCTGTGCGTATGTGAGAGAGAGCTGGGGGGAGGATTCAGCTCGCTAATAAGGCTAGGCGCTTCGCATGCCGTCTCCCCAAGGCGTGTCCGTCATTATGACACCGTAGATCTGACAACCTGCAAGTCAGAGCCGCTAAAGGATCACTTTCTGACTCTTTTGTCGGGACACCTTTGACTTGGCGGGGGCCCCCCTTCGCCTGGCCTTGGTTACACAGTATTCCTTGTCCGTACTGGGGCTGACTGGGGGCAGCTTTTCATCCTGCCCGGTCCTGTCTGTCCTATCGTAGCAGATACACAACGGCTGGCTTGCCGGGCTTGCTCTATGACCGTCAGCCCTGAGGGGAAGGCACTCTATTTCGTCAGGATTTCGTTGCAAGTGCCTCAGAGGCTGAGACGAGGGAACGTAACACAAAATTAAGTGACTTGGAGATGCCTGGATGATGGTGAGTGTGTCGAGACGAATAGTTTCATTTAATGAGTCTTACATCCCGGGAACCACCAACCATACAGAATACTTGCTCAGAACTTGAAGCAAGCAATGAGGCCCACATCCACTTCATACGGCGAGGATCAACTCCACGCCAGGGTAATAATCATTCATTAGGGAGTCTTAGACCAATACGAGCCTCCAAGGTTTGCTCGGGTGTCTGCTACAGTACATAGCCTGCCAAGGCACGTGTGCAGGTAGTGGGCATTACTCACTCCTCAACCTCTCCTAACCACCTGCAGGCTGTGCTCCTACAGCAAAGTCTGCTGGATATCCTCAAGTGCTACACTTCTGGGATCATTACTTCCTCTATAGAGACCTAGTATCGCCGTATGACTCCATCGTGGCGTTAACGCCGTCGTTAAGACGGTGCCCCTTAGCCTTGTCTGTATGTCGTAAGGCTGAGGCTATAAGTACCTATCGTGTTATAACCATCATTATTGACAACGTATTTTTTCTAAGCGCTGGGTCTTGAGTGCTTACCACTATATGAAGGCGCCATGTATGTCCCCGGACGTATACGGAATAGAAGTGGAACCACAACCACATTACTTGCTCTATGATATTGACGGCCTATATAAGACCACCACCTTCAGCAAGATAATTTTAGAAATCAGACTAGAGCCCCTGCAGCTTACCTGTCCCTCGTCTAATTGAAGTTATCCTAAGGAGTACCAATCATGTGGTCCCTTTTAAGCTCGTAGCAGGCACCGCCACCCTCGCACTGGATCTGGCAGCCTAAGGAACCACAGGTAAGAGGTCAACTTTGGGACATTATCGTCAAGGGGTGTCCTGACAGAGGTTGTCTTAGAATATGTTACCAGGTTGACTTATAGGAAATATAATGAGCAATTAAAGCAAACAATAGTTAGTTAATTAATATTAAAGAGAAGTCTATAATCTCTCTTAACGCTTAGAAGGAGTAAATATAAGTATTAGTTAACTTAATTAGCTAAACCTAACTATACCTTTTAATATACCCCCTATCTATTAATAATATTATTATTATAAAAGATATTTAAAATATATAAATAGTATAATATTTTAATTATTAAATTAATAAACCTATTATTAAACTTTTTTTTATTATTTTATTAGTATTTATTAATATTAAGTTTTAAATTTATTAAAATTAAATAAATAATAGACTTAATAAATAATAGAAACCTAATAATATAAGCTTTAAAAATACTTTTATATAAATATTTATAAAATTCTTTATAAATAAAATATATTTAATATTATAAATACTTTTAATACTTTTAAATAAAGTAGTAATAAATAATTATATACTTTAAATAAATAGTAATTTTAATATTTTAAATAAGGTTTAATATAAGTTAATTATTAATATAAAGTATAAATAAATACTTAATATATAAAATCTTTAAATCTTATAGTACCTAAATTATTTAATATAAATAAAAGGATATAAATAAATAGGTTATATATTTAGCTTTATAAGTTAATTTAGTAACTATTAATTAATATTTTAATAATTAAATAATAAGTAATCTATTAAGGAGCTAAATCTAACCTTTAAATACCTTTAAATTATTTAAATTTATATTATATAAAGTATTACTATATATATTAAGCTTTATAGATATAATATCTTAAAAATAAAATATTTAATAATTTAAAGTTTACTTAATATAATAAAAATATTCTTACTAATAGTAAAATATTATTCTATTAAATTAATATTAAATATTAAAATAATAGTTATTAAAAGATAAAATTAACTCTTATACTTATTATTAAAAGTTTATTAAACTAATAAAAACTAATATATTATAAGGTTAATAAAAATATTATTATCTTCCTTTTATTTTAGGAATAAATTTAGATTTATTAAAAATATAATAACTATTACTATTAAGTATATTAAATTATTAAAGTATATATTTAATATAGCCTTATTAAAAATAAAAATCTTAATTTTAATTTAATAAATTTTAAGGTTAAAAATACTAATAAAGGTCTATATTAATATACTTAAATTTATTTAAAAGGATTACCTTAAATTTAATAATACTATTAAAATAATTAATAACTAAAATATTATTAATATAAATAGTAATAATAATATTATTACTTAAAAATATATAAATTAAATATAGCTTAATTATAAAATTTAATAAGTTTATTATATAATTTACTAAACTATTTTATTTTAATTACTTTAAACTATATAAAGCTTAAAAATCTTAAATATAATATTTTTAAATAATATTTAATATTTAAATAATAAATATATATAGATATTATATTTTAAATATTTATAAAATATATAATTTTAATATTAAATTATTAAAAATTTATTCTAATTATAAAAATAATTTAAATAATAATTCTTAATATTTTATAT